AGCAACAGCATTTTATTTAGTAGTATGCAAATTGCAATTTTCCTAGCATTGCCTGAAGACCGCAAGACACTGGGTCAATACCTGCCAACTTGCAGGGCGGAGGGGCAGAGTCCCGGGGACAGGGCTGTACTGACATCAGCAGGAAGGCCAGCAGGTATATCTCATCCTTTCAACTTGGATTTGGCGTACGTGTCGTGACAAAGATCTGTAATGGCCTTTTAAATGAGGCAATATCTCTTTTTAAAAAATATTTTTTAATACTTTTCCATTTAAACATATATAATCACATCATTATTATCCACTTTACTTCTTTGGCTCTTTAGAGCCTGTCGACTTCCTTCCCTCCCACCTCTTGGCTTTCAAAACTAACCTTTATATCACAGCATTTTATATATTTTCCAATTCTAATATAACTGCAAAAACAAAAACGCAAAACAAATAGCAAAAACCGACAGACCTCAGCATAACACTCAAAGCGGAGCACGTTCTGCTTCCGAAAAAGGTTTGCAAACCGGACACTTACTCCCGGGTTTGCAGTGTTTGGGTTCCAAGTTGTTTGAGTGCCAAGACGTTTGAGAACCAAGGTACCACTGAAGACACAAGATCTACCCACCAGGGAAGAATGGCAGATGAAGGTGATGGACTACATGGAACTGGCGGAAATGACTGGCAGAATCCGAGACCAGGGAGAAGAGTTGGTGGAAGAAGATTGGAAGAAATTTAAAGTCTACTTACAGAAACATTGTAAAATTAAGGAACGTTAGAAGGATGTTGGAATGAAGTAATGTGGTTTTAGCAGAGATGCTGTAAAGGATTAAGAAAAAACAGATTGTTAAATGGTGAAAGGGGGGAAAGTAAAGTTAAAGTTACATTATATTAAGATAAAATAGAGGACAAAAACTGGAAAAGATGGAAAGGACTTGCTGAAATAGCTAATTGAACTAGAATACAAAAAAGGGAGGTGTGAGGAGGTCAAGGAAACAAGCAAATGAAAGATAAGTTATGGGAAGATTCATTGTATTTTTTTTTCTTCTTTTTTCTATTTTTCTTTATTGAGATGTGATGTTCTATTTTTGCTTAGTATGCTGTTTTCTATTTTTTCTTTTTGTAACCTTTCAAATTTTAATAAATATTATTTTTTTTTTTAAAAAAAGAGAGAACCAAGGTACCACTGTACCCCCCATATGAATGGGGTAGCAGATTTTGTTAAAGACTTGAGCTTCTTTCAAACATTTCAATAATTAACATATTAATCGTGTAATAGTCTGCAATCTGTTTTAAAAATCTAAAGTGGCTTTTGTTGTGCATCTATAATTGCTGCAAACCGAACTGCAAAAAATGCTAAAGATTTCTTTCAATAAAAAACCAGAGGCCTACTTCCTGGGAATAACAGATTCAGATATTCCGCAAAAGAGGAAGGGTATCTTTTTATATGCGACCACGGCAGCAAGAGTTCTGGTCGCGGCAAAATGGAAGAGTAATGAAATCCCCTCTATACAAGATTGGATCCAAAAGCTGACAGAATATGCCGAATTAGATGGTCTATCAGAAAAAATAAAGAATAAATCAAAACAGGAATTTGTTTCAAAATGGGAGGTTTTCAAAGAATATCTGAAAAATAAATATAGTAGTTTAAATTCTGTTGCAGCTTTTGAGGAACTTCAGTAATAGTTGCAAGGTAGATATACGAAATTATATATATTAAGAATAAGTTTAATTATGATAAAAGTGTGTATTGGCAATAAGTAATATGAAATTGAAATATGGAATAGACGGGAGGCCGGGTCTTTAGTGTTAAGACCAATATATGTTTTATTGTTTGCTAAGAAAATTATGTGTCTATGGTTATTCCTGTGTGTAATTTGGTATTTGTGTTTTTTTCTTTTTTCTTGCTATATCAATAAAAATATTTTTTTAAAAATAATACAATTGCTGCAAACCACTTTGTGTGTGCGCACGTGTGTATTTGTGGTATACAAGTATTTTTAAAGTAAATAAATGTTTCTAAACCACCCTTCATCAGAACATAAGGAGATCCTTTGCAGTTTGTTCTCTCGGTGGCTAACCAGAAGAGTATGGAAGCCCACAGACAAGACCCGAGTACCACTGAGTCTTCCTAGCAACTAATATTCAGAGGCATATTGTCTCCAATAGTGGAGCCAGAACATAACCACCATATCTAGTAGACATTGATAGCCTTAGCTCTTCCAAGTCTTTTAAGTTGAAGTCTTCAGTTTGCATCTGTATTGGAATTGTTTAAGAAGGTTTTTTTTATTGTTTTATCACTTGTTGCGTGTCATCCTGGGCTCCTATAGATGGGCAGAATATAGATGTAATAAATTAAATTTGCCGGACTTAAGAGCAATTAATTAAATGCTGTCGTTTTCCTTAATGAATGTAAGGGCAGGAAAGGGGGTATTTGACAAGGAAGGGAAAACAGAGGGGAGAATGAATGTTTCCTATCTGTTCTGTTGCACAGAAGTTGTACTGTCAGTGTTCTGTTAGGGCGAATATCGAGTTTGTTTACCACTGCACAGTCCTGACATCACTAGTGTCAGCTAGTGCTTGTGCCATCACTAAAAAGCACGAACGTTTTGCCATTTGGGGCTCCTGGGTTGTACATACATGCAGCACAATCTTTGGAAGGTCTCCTCAAAAAGCCAGTCAAATCCCACTTGTTCAATGGGACTTAGTCCTAGGTGTGTTCAGAGCCTTAGGCTACTCAAATCCCATTGACTTCAGCCCATGTTTGCACATACTAATCCACATCCCATTAGAACTGCTTTTGTTTTTATTTAAAATGCATTTTTGACCACAAGGTGTCACTGCGCGGTTTAACAGAATTCCTTAAAATGACATGGAAGGATCTGTAGTTAGAGAGAAACAGAATTGTAGAGCTGGATTGCATCCTCAGAGTCATCTAGCCCAATCCCCTGCAGTGCAGAAATCTCAACTAGATCCTACATGATCCTATGACCACTGGCTCAGTCCACCAAAAGTCTGCACAGAGGATCATTTGAATGCTATGCATGCTTGCTTGGAAGGCTAGATTTAATCTACCAAATACCTACAATGTACCATATTTTTTGCTCTATACGATGCACTTTTCCCCTCCTAAAAAGTAAGGGGAAATGTGTGTGTGTCTTATGGAGCGAATGCAGGCTCCATGGCTTCAGCGAAAGCAACGCGAAGCCTCTGGAGCGCAGCTGATCCCTCTTGCTCTCCTGGCTTCAGAGATAGCCGCCTGAAGCCTCCGGAGCGGCTATCCCTCTAAAACTCCCCCTCTAAAACTAGGTGCGTCTTATAGAGCGAAAAATACGGTGATTATGGAACTTCCACTGCTGTGTGTGTGTGTGTGAATGCACATTCCCCTTTTCCTCTTCTATTTTAAAATTTGTTCAGCCCATTTCCCTTCCCTTACTTCAGTGGTATCCAGTGGTATTCAGAGGGCCAGATTTGATGAAGTGAAGGACTGTGAGGGCCGACCAAAGTTGTTGACCTTTTTAGGATTGAAGTTGTTGAGCTTTTTCTAGGATTGTAGTTGTTGAGGTGTTTTTTTAGGATTTTACCCCAGGAAATAAACTGCCACAGGGGCTGGATTAAACCAACCAGCGGGCCGGATTAGGCCCTCAAAACAGACCCTGGACATTCCTGCCTTACTTGGATGACAGGAGTGAAATAGCGGCTTTCTTTCATGCTAGGGCAATTTCTGGCAGTGATGCCCAAAATCTAGAGGCAATCTCTATGCAAGAGGCTGGTCTCCAGTTCTCTATTACCATTGCCACCACTTGATTCGCTAGATGTGTTTTTTTAAGATGGGGTGGGGTGTGGAGATTATCTCAGTAAACCCTACAACAGTCCTGGAAGGCAGGCCATTATTAAACCCATATTACGTGGGAGGCTGATGCGAAGAGTTGTTTAATACCAAAATTATCTGTTGATTTCCCAGTTTACAGTCTTCACTGCTCTACACCACAGGTATAGTGACAGAGATTGAATGCCCAGTAAAAACTCAGTGTTGCCACTCGCTATTATTCTCTATGAGGACCACTCCCCACCCCACCCCTCATCGCTTGGTAATGGCTTCCTATACTTTGCAATGGAATTACAGAAAACCAACTGTTCAATTTTAAGACCTCAATTGCCATAAAATCTGCCGTGCCATCTAACTCTAATCCCTCTATCAGATCTCATATTCTGGATATAAAGGATTCACTAAAATGCCAGCATGTGTGGTATTTGCTCTTACAGAAAAGGTCCATCATAAAATACAAATGGTGTAACCGTCAGAAGGGAAGTTTTTAGTAGATGACATGTGAATGTGTTATCAGAGACTGAACGAACACAGGGAAAAATTCACTGAAAACCCATGTTTGAATCTGTGTAAGACAACATGGCAGCCCATTTTAGAAGGCCCAAAAAATCTCAGGAAAATGGTATGAGGTGGACTCTAACCAAGGCATGTAGACTTTGAATACGGGCTTCAGGAAGCCATTCCTTTTGTTCTGGGGGTGGGGGAATCATAATGACCCAATTTGCACACACAAATCTACTTTATTATAACAACATTGTTGTAGTTTGCTTCTGAAAAGATCTTAGACACACACCTCAAATACCATGCTTTTCAGCAGAATTGGTTGGTTAAGCCGCAAGTAATCAAGGGATGTACAAGCCAACAGGCAGCCTTGGAAAAAACAACACCCTGGAAAATTGGAGTAAACAAATTCAGATGTCAAGGAAAACAGCAGAGGAGGCTGAGCAAATCTAGTGTTCAGAAGCAGACTCAGTTCCTTAAGAGGAAATGAAGTTTTGCTGGCGCAAATGCCCTTTGCTCCAGTTATCTAAATCTTGAGGTCTAGGACCTTTGTTGCAGATTCCTGTACTAGGCTGTCCATCTATTCAAAGGAGGGGTCAGTGAAGGCCCACGACTTGCTTTGGAGACAAAAACTGACAGCATTTGATGTAAGAGTACATAAGAGACCACATAAAAAGTACAAATTGCGGGCTTCTAAACAACAAGTTTATTGAGGACAAAATTCAATATATGGCAATATCTGCAACTGGGGCTATTTTAGAGCACTTTTAAAAATCACCGTATGAAATTACAAGAGGCATAATGTGCATGACAAGCAATGAAGTGGTTTGCTGGTTGGTGCTCACAGCTGATTGAAGGTGATGTTGCTGTATATACCATAAGCAAACATCCAGCTACATCTATTTGTACAATAAGGCTTTGGACGACAACCTATTCCCCACCTCATCCCACAAAATCTTTCCCATAGCTTTGGTGATCTGGCTCCCTTTTAGAAAAGGTTTGAACTGTGCTGACTGTGCTGAATAGCTTTTAAGGCAAAATAATGTTTCCTCGTTCAACCTCATCGCTTACAAATAGCTCCCTGTGCAGTTGAGAGTGGGGGATAAATGGCTGGATGTTTTCTCAAGGGAAAAGCTCTGCACACACATGTGTTGTATGTGTATTGTTTAGTGAGAAGTCTGTCCAGGTAGAGGAGCAGTTCAACACAGCCGCCTCCCGCAACACAGACAACAGCTTCTTGTGGTACAATTTACCACCAATACTGTCAATTGTATGTTTTGTCCCACAGATTTCAATGGATCTTCTTGATTTACCGTATTTTTCGCCCTATAGGACGCACTTTTGCCCCTCCAAAAATGAAGGGGAAATGTGTGTGCGTCCTATGGGGCGAATGCAGGCTTTCGCTGAAGCCTGGAAAGCGAGAGGCGGCGGTGCGCACCGACCCCTCTTGCTCTCCAGGCTTCAGGAAGCTATCCACAAGCCTTGCGCGCCCGGCGGGAGTTCCTGCGGGCTTGCAAGGCTTGCGGGCAGCAGCCTGCAGCCCGAAGCATGGGGCGCCCTCCGGAGGACGCCCCGTGCTTCGCGCAGGTGTCCGCAAGCCTTGCATGCCTGGGGGGAGTTCCCGCGGGCTCGCAAGGCTTGTGGATAGCAGCCTGTTCTGGGGGCTGGGGTCGGGGGAAGCTCGGGCTTCCCCCGCCCCAGCCCTGCGGCTGGGGGAGGGAATAATTTTTTTTTATTCATTTCCCCCCCCCCCCCAAAGAATGAGGTTCATCCTATGGGCCAGTGCGCCCTATAGGGCGAAAATACGGTATCACACAACATCCAAGAGGAAAGACAGTAAGAATGCATGTTTGGTCTGTGTTGATGTGACGGTTAATAATTACACCTGACGTAATTGACTATCTAGGCAGCATTCAAGTGTGGGGCGGAAACCCCAAGGCAGCAGAACTTCCGTAACAGTGAAATATATGCATTTCATATAATTAAAACACAGTTTTACTGCTCACTGTTTGCTTTTCTTAAGACTCGGCATAATTCTGTAGAAAATACTGCAACGAGGCCATCAGTGAATCTTCAAATTCACAGCCCTGATTCACAAGACGCTTTGTACCTTTGGATAATTAAGTGCGTCTGGCTAACATCAAGCAACACAAATATGACCTCAGGTCTTGCTCGACAAATAAGACCACTTTACTGGCAGAAGGAGAAGACTGCACAAACAAACACACACACACACACACACACACACACACACACTTTGCATCTCCACTTCACTGCTGTTTGCACGTATGACCGCTCAGAGATGAGAAGCAGACAGCTCCGTCTTTCCTCCTGTGGTTACTACTTGGATCAGACTCCCAGAACATGGACGGTTTTTTCCAGTGATCCAGTCATAAAAGGTTCTGTTAAAAACAGAGATCAACATTTTGTGAATTAATTCAATTCCTAAAGCAGGCTGCCTCAACCTCGGCCTTCCCGATGTTTTGAGACTACAATTCCCATAATCCCTGACCACTGGTCCTGCTAGCTAGGGATCACGGGAGTTGTAGGCCAAAAACATCTGGAGGGCTAAGGTTGAGGAAGCCTGTCCTAAAGCTTCACGTTATAAATCAGGCTTTCTCAACCTGTGGGTCCCCAGATGTTGTTGAACTACAATTCCTATCACCCCTAGCTAGCAAGGCCAGAGCTCAGGGATGATGGGAGTTGTAGTCCAACAAGATCTGGGGACCCACAGGTTGAGAACCGCTGTATTTGAACTGCTTTTAAAAAAATAGTGTAGAAGCTTCTCAGGTCAGAGATTTTGTGTCCAACACTCCTCCTAAATACATTTTCATACTGCAATTCTATACATGTTACCCAGAAGTAAATCCAATGTTCAAAGGAGCTGGCTCCCTAGCAAGTGCTTAGGACTGCTGTCCTAACCTTGTCATTTTAGAATATTCAACATCTATCCATTCTTTATTCTCTCTTATACATTTATATCCCACCTTTCTTCTGCCACGGAACCCACCTGAGGCCCTGACCAAGCCCAGACCTGCTTTGCCTCAGCTTGACTGGCCTGGTAAACTGAGTAACTTATATTTATTTTAATTTATTATTATTATTTCTGCCGCAAGGAAGCAAGCTGTTATTATTCCCCTTTGCCGGGAAATGAGTTTGAGAGACTGCAGCCTGCTTCGGGATGTTTCAGTTGGGTACTGAGTCCACTCTAAGTACCGCTACTGTCACCTGGAGGCACAAATGGCCTTGAAGGCTCAGAGTGCCTTCCACCAACTTCAGCTGGGACGTAGCTGGACAGGGACAGCCTAGCTCCTGTTGTCTACAGTCTGGTAACCTCTAGGTTAGTTTACTGCAATGCGTTCTACATGGGGCCACCTCTGAAGGCACCAAACAGGACTAGGCAGCGTTCTTGATTCGTACTGCCCAGGGTGGATTTTATTTAAATCAAATTGATTTAAATCACGATTTAAAATCATGATTTAAATCACCAGTCAGTAAGACTTGATTTAAATCTTTTTTCTTTTCTTTCCCCCCCCTTTTTTTATTTACAGGAAGACTCAGTCTTGCTGGTATAATCTTAATATTTACATCCAGATGAAGGTTTCATTTTTGGAATAATACATTTTCAGAGTAGTTTTTACAGTTATATCAAAAATTACTGATTTGGTTATACTATTATAAATACGTAAGATAGATAATTATGAAATTATTGTGAGGTTTAATAAGTTAACTGTTTATGTTTGGACAACTTTTCTGCTGTACTTTATTGGAAGGGAAAAAATAACCATTTCCTTAATAACAATTTAAACAATTTATTTAACTAAAGCAATAACATTATAGCATATGTATCCATGTTTGTTAACTTTTAAAAAAAACACCTTAGACTGAGTTTTAGCACCCATAAAAAAACTTAAAACAAATCCTTATTTCCTGATGAATAGCCTTTGCACTATAATATAACCTAACTAGAAAACTATCTTTAGAAAGATTTTTCATCCAAAAGCATTTTATTTTAAATATCCGATTTAAATTTTTTAAAAATCTGATTTTTGGGGATTTTTTTCTTAAAATCATTTATTTTTATCCACCCTGATGCTGCTGCCTATGCACAGGCCATAAAGGCGATTTTGAGCTGAACTGGCATCCATCAATTCCCACAACCCATCCTTTCAGAATCTCTCTCCCAAGCCGCCATGTTCAGCCACTTCCACTTCACAGAAGGGCATTTAACTTCCAGTGACTGAGGATCTGCACTCCAGAATTTGAAGGCACAGGCGACCGGGACACCCTAAAGCAGCAGCTGTTGAGCAAGGAAGCCTCTGTTTACTCACTCGGCAATGAAATCTAATGGTGTCCAGGAGCCGACATCCGCATCAGGCATAGATTTCCTGTTCATCGGTGTATCCAAGGTAACCCTGGGGCAAAGAAAGATAAGCTCTTCAGTTGTACACTGCTGCATCTGATAAATGTTGCCTGCGTTTCTTCTCCGTCACAATGCACGCAGTACGTTGAGGACAGTGGAAGGTGGAGATTGCTCTTTTTATTAAGATCTCGCCTTCTCGGTGACTATACTGAAACTGACTGCACACCTTTGAGCAATAGGAATTACTCACTTGCATGCAAGCATCTCTTATCCAGAGGCAAAATGGCGTCTCACACAAATGGTGGCTGGGAAAAGATTAGGCACCTCTTCCAACTGCTCCTGTGCATAACATAATCTACAGTGGTACCTCGGGTTATGTTACCTTCGGGTAACGTAATTTAGAGTTATGAACGCGGCAAACCCGGAAGTCTGTACTTCTGGGTTTCGCCGCGCGCGCATGTGCAGAAGTGCTCTATGCACCGTGCATGTGAACAGAAGCGGCGCCTCCGGATACAGACTTTTTGGGGTAAGTACGGACCCCCGGGATGAATTAAGTTTGTATCCAGAGGGTCCACTGTTTTCCAAAGCTGCTTTGCAGCATCCTACCTAGGACAGTCTCTCACATGCATGATTGTTACATGCAGTTTGACCATCAGATGGTCAGCATTATGTCACTGCCACATAAATACACCATAGCTGCGGTCCTCAAACAGGTGCCCAGGAATAGGTGCCACTGATTTCAGGCGCTAATTAAATACCGTTTTCAAAGGAGAGCATCAGACTGAAACTTCAACCTTATTCTGGATTATTGTAACTCACTCTACGTGGGGCTGCCCTTGAGACTGACCCAGAAACTCCAGCGGGTGCAGAATGCCGCGGCGAGACTCCTTATGGGGTCCTCGCTGCGAGATCACATTCACCTGGTGCTATACCAGCTGCACTGGCTCCCGGTGGAGTACAGGATCAGGTTTAAGGTGCTGGTTTTAACCTTTAAAGCCCTATACGGCCTAGGACCCTCGTACCTACGGGACCGCCTTGCCTGGTATGCCCCACGGAGGAACTTACGGTCTTCAAACAAAAACATCTTGGAGGTCCCAGGCCACAGAGAGGTTAGGCTGGCCTCAACTAGAGCCAGGGCTTTTTCAGCCATGGCCCCGATCTGGTGGAACGCTCTGTCCCAAGAGACTAGGGCCCTGCAGGACTTGACATCTTTCCACAGGGCCTGCAAGACAGAGCTGTTCCACCAGGCCTTTGGTCAGGGCACAGCCTGACTTTGGCAATCCTCTCAGAACTCTAGCCCAATGGTTGCCATTAATTTGATTTGAACTGATTTTATAATGAAATGATTTTAGAATGTTTTATCATTTTACTGTTGTTAGCCGCTCTGAGCCCGGCTTCGGCTGGGGAGGGCGGGATATAAATTTTTAAAAATTATTATTATTATTATTATTATTATTATTATTATTCTGATAGCAGCAACATACATACTCTAAAAAGTGCATTTTGAATAATGACCACCCAGGTATGAACAGAATTAACACATGCATTCATGGCCCCATAAACAGGACATAAGAATTAGGGCTGCAATCTGACCCAAGCTTACATGGTTGCCTAAAGTCCTGTTAAGAGTTCAAGATCAGAAGCAGGACTTCCCAATCTGTAGTTTGGTCCCTTAGCAACTATACCGCTCAAATTATAAATTAATGCAAAACAAGAAAAGAGAAAGAGAGGGAGAGATACAGAGAGAGAAATCCAACAGGTTCAAATTAAAAGTATTTGCTTTCAGCAGAGGGAAATTTAATGTTAATGAAATGTAAAAGTTAAGTGGCATGAATCCACCCCTTGTCCATGATTCTCAAGCAATTGCAATTTTGAGTTGACAGGCCAAGAGTTCACATAGACCACAAGCCACTGATTTCAGAGGTTGCTTCTTCAACATGGCACAAACTGGGCATATGAAAAAACCTAAAGCAGAGGGTGCTGTAAGGATGAAAATGCCACCACTTACGGGAGAATGGCAACCGCGGCAGACCCCGGTGGCAGCCCACTGTTTGTACCCGAGAGGCTCTGGCAAAGCTGGTGGACTGCTCCTTTGGCCATGCCATAACCTATCATTCCTAAAACAAAAGGAAGAAAACATCAGCTTTGTGCAATAAAAGCGCTAGGAAGCAGAACTGTTTGAACGAGACACCAAAATATTGTCACTGTTTCACAGTACATCAGGAGAATAAACCCAAACTTTTCTGGCTTCTGGAAGGGAGCCGTCTAATGTGGTACAATTGTGAGGATCCATCCCAGCAGTCCACTGTGTGCATACATCCACATGGGCACCTCTATGCGCAGTGGGACACCAGTGGCTGGCTCAGCTGTAATTTTGCAACAAGGAAGTCAGCCAAGAAACGGTGGGAGCAAAACCTAGTTGCTGCTGAAGCCTCAAAAGTCTCTTGTCCCAGGACTGTACCACTTCAGACTGCTAAGGGGGGGGGGACTGTCAGGGATTGTTGGTAGGGGAAAGAGGCTCCTGACTCAAACTTTCCAGGGTTCAAGCTTCAGGAAAACAGTGACACAAATAAGCAGCAAGACTACAATCAGAACTATGTACCTGAAAATGACCACCCAGTTTATTAGAGCCAATAGCCTCTGATAAGGGACGCGGGTGGCGCTGTGGGTTAAACCACAGAGTCTAGGACTTGCCGATCAGAAAGTCGGCAGTTCGAATCCCCGCGACAGGGTGAGCTCCCGTTGCTCAGTCCCTGCTCCTGCCAACCTAGCAGTTCGAAAGCACATCAAGGTAAACGGCGTTTCCGTGCGCTGCTCTGGTTCACCAGAAGCGGCTTAGTCATGCTGGCCACATGACCTGGAAGCTGTACGCCGGCTCCCTCGGCCAATAAAGCGAGATGAGCGCAGCAACCCCAGAGTCAGCCACGACTGGACCTAATGTTCAGGGGTCCCTTTACCTTTACCCTCTGATAAAGGAACTGAAGGGAACAAATTACATAACATTCCAACAAACAGAGATGCAATAATATAGTTCCAAACTATCCGTATTTCTATCTCAGCAGAGAGCCACTCCTCTTCACAACTTTCGTCAAAGCATTTATTGTGATGATCTATTGAAAAGGTTCGTCGCTGGAAACTGTCAACGGTTTTGGTCTCCAATAGCCACTTGCCTTCAGATATGCCAACTATGGTACACAGTGGCAACATGAGTCATGCCTGTAGATTATGTTGTTGTTTAGTCGTTTAGTCGTGTCCGACTCTTCGTGACCCCATGGACCAGAGCACGCCAGGCACTCCTGTCTTCCACTGCCTCCCGCAGTTTGGTCAGACTCATGTTTGTAGCTTCGAGAACACTGTCTAACCATCTCATCCTCTGTCGTCCCCTTCTCCTTGTGCCTTCCATCTTTCCCAACATCAGGGTCTTTCCCAGGGAGTCTTCTCTTCTCATGAGGTGGCCAAAGTATTGGAGCCTCAGCTTCAGGATCTGTCCTTCCAGTGAGCGCTCAGTGCTGATTTCCTTCAGAATGGATAGGTTTGATCTTCTTGCAGTCCATGGGACTCTCAAGAGTCTCCTCCAGCACCATAATTCAAAAGCATCAATTCTTCGGCGATCAGCCTTCTTTATGGTCCAGCTCTCACTTCCATACATCACTACTGGGAAAACCATGGCTTTTACTGTAGATTATAGGGTATACTGTAGGTTATACTGGTATACTGTAGATTATAGGGTTGCCAGCATGCCAGGGAATGACCCCTTCTTTGCAGGATAGTTTTTTTATCTGCAAGGCTTTCTTGGAGGTGTGGGCTTGGTATGAAGGAACATCCCATAATGCTGGCCCTCACATGCACCCAAACACAAGTTTACTACCTCAAAGAGAGGTTCTCATTGAAACCCACCTGTTTACCTTCTTTCCCTTTTCATTATATGTACAACAAAGTGTCAATCCCAGTGGCAGATGGTCAGGTTTCTATTCCCTACTCTGCCACTTGTGACGATTGCCAAAAGCAGAATAAATTAAACAAACTTGTTCAGCTTACATAATTTATTCAGGTCACAGAATTCATTGTTTCCAATGCAGAATTTGGATTCCATGATTAGAAGTTTGATTTTTAATGCAAAGTACACAGATGTCCTGTGACTGACATCCAACATTAAGTCATACTCAGAACAGACTGATTTATATCATTAGACTTCAGTGGGTTCATTGATTTCAGTGGGTCTGCTCAGATTATAGCTAGCAGTGAATATCCTCCAGTTTCCACACTCTTTTCTGTGTCAATAGTTACGAAATGGACCAGGAACATTCGTAACTATTGACAGAGGGTTAAGGTCATTGGTCTTTGAAGAAGGCAGGTTAAAGGTAGGATCTATTGTAAACAAGCAGAGCTGCCACTCATTTTGAAGAAATAAGACAGCAGCCTAGTTTTACTGTGTCTCACAATTCAGAAATAACAGTGTGCTTATGAGTCTTCTGCTTTTTCACCCCCCAAATTTCTCTAGATTGTGGCTCTCAAAGCATGGATCCCCTTACTGGCATCAAAATGTCCTCTGAAAAGGCCTTAACAGCTAGTCAACAGACACATTGCAGGACAAGAGAATTTGAAAGACCCCGGGCTGGTTTTTCATCAAATGGGAATAATTGACACCACAAAGAATACTGGCAAAACACACCACAATATTTTACCTGGAGTTCCAGCTAATGCTGCTTTGGCCCCTGTCAGGGTCAACAACCCCCCTTCCTTCAGGTGCTTGGTGGCCAAATGGCTAGAGATCGTTGACGTCCAAACACTTTGTTTCCACATCAGGTCAGTATTTTTGTATAAAGCTGGTGAGCAGAGAAAACCCAGGACACATTAGGCATCAAGACAGAAACTATAAAAACAAACAACCCACCATACCCACTTCAAAGTTAACTTCTGAAGGCAAGATCTTCACTGGTCATCTTTTGTATTCTTTTCACTATATGCTTAAAACTTGGTGACTTGAGAGACCTATTCCTGATGAATCTTGGTAGTAGTAGTAACAACAACAACAAATAATAAATAATACCCTGCTCATCTGGCTGGGTTTCCCCAGTCACTCTGGGCGGCTCCCAACAGAATATTAAAGCACGATAAAACATCAAACATTAAAAACTTCCCTAAACAGGGCTGCCTTCAGATGTCTTCTAAAAGTCAGATAGTTGTTTATTTCCTTGACATCTGATGGGAGGGCGTTCCACAGGGTGGGCGCCACTACCGAGAAGGCCCTCTGCCTGGTTCCCTGCAACCTCACTTCTCACAGTGAGGGAACTGCTAGAAGGCCCTCGGAGATGGACCTCAGTGTCTGAATGATGGCGGTGGAGATGCTCCTTCAGATATACCAGTTGGTTTCTTGTTCTCTTTAATGTTTTACTGTATGTTTGTTTCATTATATTCTTGCATTGGTTTATATTGTAACAATATGGCGAAAGGAGTACAATGATATTTTAAGGCGAGCTTCCCAGATAAAAGACTCCAAATTATCCAGAAGACTCTGATTTGAGCTCTCATGAATCTAAAAAACAGGGGCCCCAACACTAGCTCCCGCTTCCCAAAGAGAAAGGGAAGGAATATGTAGCAATGTTCTGTTCTATACTTGCCCAGCTTGAACTACATGTTTCTGGTCCAGCAAACCATGGTTTGCTGAAGCAGTGGTGAGCAATGAGCTTAAGTGCTTCCTGCTCTCTTAATCTACTCCTCTTGCACACCTGGCTTCAGAGGAGATTTCCTGGTTTGCTAGATGAATGGCATCCGAACTGTGGTTTAAGAATTCCCTACAAACAAGATCAGAATGTGTTTGGCAAATCCTATCTGGAATGGAGCACACAAACCACAGATTCCTGGTTGGGACATCACCGGGAAGCTGTGGCTTATCAAACTGGGAGGTCTTCTCTGAAGCCAAGCTTACATGTGCTCCAAAAACCAATACTTTGTTGGAGCAGGAAAATCATGCTTTGAACGCTGTTAGACACAAACCATCTCGGAAATATTACGCTCATAACTGAGACTTATGGAGCTGTTTAGGATCAGTTAGTTCTCTGAGGAATAGTCTCCTATTCTAATATGTTTCTAATATGTAAGTGCAAAAGCCTGTCCTGAAGTCTTTTATAATCACTGGAAAGTGCTTTGTAGTACCATGCAAAAACCTGGGTTTGATTTTAGAAACCATTAACTCTTTTCCTGGAATTTAATGGAACCGACCACCAAACCACTAAAAAACAGAATATTTTCCAATGGTCTCCTTAAATGCCAGACATAACTGGATTGTAGAATGTGCAGAACTTATGTTGCGAGACTCTGTGAAGCGGTATTTTCAACCGGAGTTCCTTTTATTTTGCAAATATAGTACAAGCAACCCCGCTTTGCACGGGTTCAAAGCATGAGCGACTGTGCATGCATGGGTTGTTTCTGGACCCGGACCAAGAGAGAACGGAGCTGGGTGGGCTTATGCATGCTCTGCCAACACGTGCAATGACCAGGAATGCAACCCCCACACAAATAATTCTTAAAGACACGGCAAACAGGATCTTATTCACTTCAGGGTCACTGGCAGGGTTAAGGCCTGGTTCAACATTAAGACTAGTTCACCATCTGAAGCAGCTCCAGGCCACAGCTGGTCTATTTGCTTTAAAGTCCGCAATGCAGAATACATCCCCTTTGGATGGAGAAAACCAACCTCTGACCTAGTGCAACAACAACGGACAAGGTAGAATCCAGTCAATTACTTAATCCACGTAGAGGATTTTAAAGCCTTTTAACTGGGTTTTAACAGCACAGTGCTACCATTCCCCTAAAAAAAATCTGATGACTGGGTGGTGGTGGTGGTTAGGACTCTGCCTGGATTTTTCTCTGCCAGGCTCTAGCAGCAGCAGGAGAACCAGGGGGCGGCAGGGCCCCTCCATGCCAGAGGTCCCAAGCTACAGCCAAGTGGGTGGTAAACTCCCCCTGGCAGTTCTTCCACTGGCAGTAATGTGCGAAATAGGGCCCTTTGGCCGTGTTTCTCAAATGTGGGTCTGCAGCAGTTGTTGGACTACAACTCCCAACATCCCTAGCCAGCAGGACCAGTGGTGAGGGATGATGGGAGCTGTAGTCCAACAACTTCTGGAGACCCAAGTTTGAGAAACACTGGTAGGGTGTTGTGGTTTTGGGATCACAGGATTCAAAGCCTGGAGAGGACGTGCTGGGAAAAAACCTCCTTCCACCACCTTCTGAAAAATCAACAGGCTTGCCAAGGATCAGTTTTGCATCTGGATACAGCCACCGGCTTAAAGCATCATAAAATGAATGCAGGACAGTGACCCTTAGCAAGATACTAACTGCTTAACAATTTAACAAACTTCCATCAGCTTTCAATATTGGTTGGACACAGCTACTATACTCGATTTTCCGATCACACACGAAAAGTAAAGAAGCCGTTCTGAAAACTCTGGTTATAAGACAAAGAAGAAATGATTTCTTCCATGGCATTCACAAGTTTGTCGCTTACATTTTGCTTTCGCGCTGCCTCCAGCCCATCCACCGGCAACACAAAGTATAGCATCGACTTTTTCTTCGCCCAGGAGTTTTCCAACATCTTCTGTTACCTTTAAATATGTGAAGACAAAGAAGTAGTGTGGGGGCGTGTCAGTTCCAAGAGAAATACCTGGAATTTGTATACGCCCAGATCTCAAAACTGCAATTTTCTCAGACCTACATCTAATACAGGAATTGAAGCAAGGTGGGAAACAAGTGCCTGAAGTGACGGGGGCGGATGAGGGGGGGTAGCTGATCTCCCCTCACCTGTGTGCTACTTTTCATGTAAGAAATAGGATCCACCCACATTAGGATTTGAGCAAGGCAGGCAAATCAACAAACACACACATAACCCATGTCACGTTTAACCTTCAGAACCAGGCTTTCGAAATCAGGGAAATTATATATAATGGAATATAATGGAACTAGGCTTAATATAAACCAGTGCTTGCCAGGACTAAATCCCAAATCCTGAAATCTCTTTCCAATGCACAACCCTGGATTAGGGTGGGTGGGTTTGACCGCAATACCCGATTATGGTTTTGGGTCGATAAAACCTTCCACACCTCAAATTAGAAGGCAGGGCTTCTAGAACAGTGGAGGCTGGTTCCAAGCAAATCGGAGGTAATAGACTCCTCTTTTTAGAACGGAACCAATAAACATGGGGGAAGGAAGAACAAGCGACAGAAAAACAAGCATGGGAGTTGATGTAGGTGTGCCAAGATCACCAGTCCATTTTATCTTAACATGCTTTTAAAATGATATACCGCAAAATATTTCAACGATATATCTCTCTCTCACACTCACACACATATTCATGCTACCCAGGCCCTTTTGACTTGAGTTTGTTATCACACAACTCAGGCAGACCTTTAAAAGGGATAGGCAGCATCTTGAGCCAAGATATTCCCACCTGAATGTTCCCCAGAGGCAAAGTTATTACATCCCTGCCCTAATGTTGGCAGCTGAACCTTTAACAACTGCACGGCAGGCAGGAATTAAGTCAGTATGGCTCCTCCTAGTGATGGGGCAAATGGAAAAAAATGCACCGACTGAATTTTCTGCCTTTCATAAAGCTGATGAAGGTGAAGAAACTGTCGGAAAGTCTTTCCCAAAAGGAAAGAACATTTCACACACAAACAGGATCTTATTTTAGACAACGGCTATTATTTTGCAACCCAGAAGCTGCCCCGACATCTTTCTGCTTTCATTTTAATTGCTTCCAACACAGGAACAAGGCACAATCAATACCATGCACGTTACCTGATCTGCTTGTTCAACGAAGGAATCGCTCATTTTCACAACAACATTGGCACTCGCTTCTTCGTTTTCTCCCAAGTCAATGCTGGCCACCCACTGATTTAAAAAGAAAAAAGTTTTCTGTTTAAAAAGCGATTTACTATACTTATTTCGTGTTTTTGTCTTTTGCACCAGAAAACAAAAGTATTTCCTAAAATAGTTTCAAAGGGAAACAGGGAGGAGTGTCCATTCTTTCATTGCAGATTTATTTCAGGTATGTTGCCCATACAGTGGTACCTCGGGTTAAGTACTTGATTCGTTCCGGAGGTCCGTTCTTAACCTGAAACTGTTCTTAACCTGAAGCACCGCTTTAGCTAATGGGGCCTCCCGCTGCCGGCGCGCTGCTGGAGCACAATTTCTGTTCTCATCCTGAAGCAAAGTTCTTAACCTGAAGGACTATTTCTGGGTTAGTGGAGTCTGTAACCTGAAGCGTATGTAACCCAAGGTACCACTATACTTTGCGCACTTCCTCAGGCTCAAGCCCAAAAGCAGGACAGCTTTTCCCCCTATTTCGAAAGAGCCCTTTGTTCCTTCCCACCTCCCCAACAAGTATTGCAAGTGTCCCCTTGCGATTCCTTTAACGCGCTGCGTAAAATTGCTGTTTCGGGAGATGATGCGGAGATGCGCGGGGATAAGGAGCACTGGCTGCGCCCGACAACCTGCAGCTTCGTCTACCGAGAGCATAAAAAAACCTTTAAGGAAAGGGACAGGACCAAGGGCCACCGGGAAAGTCCGTGGCACAGCGAGCAGCCGCGCGCCTCCTTTTGCAGCGAGGCGGATGGAGCTCTTTGCGCACCCGCGCGCGCGTTGCGCGTTGCACCGGGAAGGCCCGGGGATTGCAAAGCCAGGGGTTAGGCTTGGGAACGGCGCTCCGTGAAGACGCAGCCGATCTGCAGAAACGCCAAGAGCACCTTGCCCCCACCCCCACCCCCGATTCGTCCCCATGGGGCTGCTGCCCTTACCCAGTTCTTCCCTCGGAAGTAGCGCACGCATTGGGAGCCCAGGGCGCCCCGGCCGCCATACACGAGGACCCGGCGCGCTTCTGCCGCCGCCATGGCTCAGCCTCGCCCGCAGCCGCCTTTCGCCTCCGGCACGGGATCGGCGAGCGGCCGCAAACGCTCCGCCTTCCCAAGAAGGAAGGATCTTGCGCGGAGGAGGAGAGAGAGAGCGAAGCGCCTCCCTCGCTGCTGCGCCGATGGCGCAAGCGCCCCCTGCCCTGGGAGCTGGGAGCAGGGTTTTCGCCACGGAAAGAGCTGCGTTTGTTTGGAAAGGGGAAACAAACAAAAAAGTATAACCGCATCAATGAGTTCAGAAGCGTAACAATGTACCAATATTTCCTTAAACTGGTGCGACCTTTTTGTGTGTGTGTGACTGTGGAACCCAGTTCAGCTACTGATTGATTGATTGATTGATTGATTGATAGTGTGGCTGCAGTACATTGTTTATTGTCAGGGCCGGATTTAGGTTTGATGAGGCCCTAAGTTACTGGAGGTAATGGGGCCCTTTATATGTCCAGCTGTCCTTTGTCAACAACAAATTGTCACTGTTTCTTGTGTTGAATATATGTTATATGGTAATTTATGGACTTAATAGGTATCTGAAGCCATTTGCACATGCAGAATGTAGGCACCCTATATAGAGAAATGAGCAAACCAGTGATATTTTAGGGAGCAGGCTAGCAGGCGGGGCCCATTACTTACATCATAGGAGTCTACACAACACAAAACACTGTTGCTGTATGTAGGTTTTATTTTATTTGTTTTTTATCTTATATTTTTGAAATGTACATCCAGTTTTTTTCCCCTTTAAATTTTTTGGGGGCCCCCAAGAAAGTGGGGCATAGCTTGTTTAGCTTATATGCTGGACCATAAAGAAGGCTGATTGCCGAAGAATTTATGCTTTTGAATTCTGGTGCTGGAGGAGACTCTTGAGAGTCCCATGGACTGCAAGAAGATCAAACCTCTCCATTCTGAAGGAAATCAGCCCTGAGTTCTCACTGGAAGGGCAGATCCTGAAGCTGAGGCTCCAATACTTTGGCCAGCTCATGAGAAGAGAAGACTCCCTGGAAAAGACCCTGATGTTGGGAAAGATGGAGGGCACAAGGAGAAGGGGACGACAGAGGACGAGATGGTTGGACAGTGTTCTCGAAGCTACCAGCATGAGTTTGACCAAACTGCGGGAGGCAGTGGAAGACAGGAGTGCCTGGCGTGCTCTGGTCCATGGAGTCATGAAGAGTCGGACACAACTCAACGACTAAACAACAACAACAAAATCCAGCACTGTTTATTGCTTTCATTTTATGGATCAGTGGTCTCGTTAGATAGTAAAATTCATGTTGAATCGCTGTTTTAGGGGTTGTTTTTAAAAGTCTGGAACGGATTAATCCATTTTGCATTACTTTCTATGGGAAAGCGTGCCTTGGTTCTGGAACGCTTTGGTTTTGGAACAGACTTCCGGAACGGATGAAATTTGAGAACCAAGGTACCACTGTACAGAAGTTGTGTATGGTGAAGCAGACGATTACTCAGGCTGATGCTGTGCTAGCTAGTATAGCAGCACTGTTTTCCCAACAGCAACACTTCACGCTTGCAGTCTCCCAAACAGCTTATTCTCACCAGTCACCTCTGCAAACTGAGGCATATTCGTGCTACGCCTATCAATTGCCAAACTGTTGTCTTCATTCCCATTCCAAACAGGCGAGGTGTTTTCAAAAGCTAACCAGCAGCCATAAAAGAGACATCGATGCTCATTAAGCAATCTTCTTCAGCTTTTATGAGGTTACCGGTATTTTGCATTTCCCAGCAATATGCTTGAGCTTGCAACTGTGCAAGGCAGGAACAGCACGTGCTTCTCCAAGCTGCAACCAATTTGCGTTCCCCTTTACGCCCAGAAGATTGTTCTAATTGCAAGCCCAGGCATCCAGAAATATTGTGTATCTGTTTCATTTAATAGTATTGGAAAGCAGAGTATCATTAATTTGGGAGAGATGACAGTAATGACATTTAGGAAACGCAAACAAACTCAAAGAGATGGCATCTTGGTGCCATACAGCCAGTGGAATTCTGATGTCAAATTCTAACATATCCATCCTAGTTTGCTTCCTAGCAATAATTAGAGACTTGGCAACAAATTGAACAAGCATGTGCAATTGAACAAGCAGCTAAACATCTCCCAGGTCAGAAATGGAAGTCATTTGACTATTTAAAACAGGTAAAGAATTTGAGCCTTTGAATGAAACACTAGTCATGTAACAGATATGGTGTTTCTCTCTCAACAACAAGCACCGTTGCCGTGCAGAGAGATGACGCTCTTCTTTGTCATCCTTGTGGATTATTGTACAAAATTGATCTTTTGGAGCTGGTTTTTGATCTGCACATCTCAGTTTGTGAATTAGAAAAGATGCTGTGGGAAAAGGATGTTTTTGAAACGACAAGCATTGCCTGAAAAAGATCCAACATCTATAATTACTGCTGGGAGATCCTGAAAGATGATTTATTTGAGACATTAGAATGCCCAGCTACTTCAAATGGGCTGTCTTTGCTTCCATCGCTGTGTTGAGCTTTGCGTCTTTTATCTTGATCCTCGTTGCAATGAGCACCCAGAAATGGATGACCGGAAAAATCCTTTGCAAAACAGGAGCTGAGCTGGTCAATGCCACAGACCCAGAGCTAGTCAAATTCATGGGGGAAATTTACTACGGACTCTTTGGAGGTGGCAAAATACGCCAATGTGGGTTAGGTGGGCGGCGATCCAAATTCACAAGTAAGTAACACTGTTGGTTCATTTCTCGAATGTGTGCCTATTGACCATACATTTTCTTTATGTTTTCTTTATGCTAAACATTGGGATTTTACCTCTGTGGCTTGTTTTCTGAGTTATTTTATTTTTTTCTTCTCAAATTGGAGTAAAAAATGTGGGTATATTTTAAAAACTGCTCTCCTTGACTGAAATGTGGGGACTTGAAGAGGACCCCCACCATACCCATGGCCCTTAGATGCTGAAGTAGGATCCTGATGGGGAGAGGAATAAGAAAATGGGGGACGATGTTGAGACAGGGGTCATGGGGAAGAAGCAACTCTGGCGCTGAGGGCAGGATTGGTTCCCCACTTTGGCAAGGCAAGGGGAGAATGAGTGGCCTAAAATGAGTCCTTTGGGTTGGACAAAGGTCTACTTATAAGTAAAATCAGGACTGGAAGTGAGGGCAAGGGAGCCAGGAAACGGATGTGGTCAGTGGAGGAGAAAGGGTGCTTCCAGGCCACTCCTGTTCTGGGAATCATATACTGGCCAATTGAAGTTGTGCAGTTTGGAATTCTGGTGGGATAAATGTCCGGCTTAGGCCAAAGAGAATACTTCTTCTCCCACTGCTTTTGTCTGATGTGGTTGTCGGCTATTGTTTCTGGGACACCTGCACCAATCAGAAGCTGCTCCTTGGTTTTTGAACATTTCAAAAGTCAAGCGGACTTCCGGAAAGGATTAAGTCTGGCGCTTTTGTTTTTGCCATTTATTTTGCGTTTTTGAGGCTTTTTCGGCTAACTTGTTTTTGTGACTGATTGTGTGACTGCAGAAATGGATAAAAGCCCCCCCATCCAAACTTTGACTACCATCAGTGCAGGTAAGTAAAAAAAATAATTTTAATTTTTTTCATCTACAACACTGTCTTATTATTTTATAGTACAGTACATTGACTATTGCTTTCATTTTATGGATCAGTAGTCTTGTTAGATAACAAAATTCATGTTAAATTGCTGTTTTAGGGGGATGTTTTTAAAAGCCTGGAATGGATTAATCCGTTTTGCATTACTTTCTATGGGAAAGCATGCCTTGGTTTTGAAATGCTTTGGTTTTGAAACAGACTTCCGGAACAGATGAAGTTAGAGAACCAAGGTACCACTGTAATCCCAAGTCCAGTGGCATCAGCACTGGAGGGAAAACCAGGCGAGATGTGGTGCAGCAATAAAACTGCTACCACCATTGCAAAGCTAAGCAGGGTCCGACATGGTTTCAAATTGGATGGGGGGACCTTCTGTTGAGATTCTTGAATTGCAGGAAGTCTCACAGGGTCCATTCCGGCTCTACAATTCTATGACTCTGTTGTTCAGTGGTTCTACGTGGGATCTCCCTGACAATTAGGTTCATAGTCTACAGGTTCTCCTAGATCCAGCTTGGTCTCTGGAAGCCAAAATAGCCCATGGAGCCCGGAGGGCTAAGGCTGTAGCCCCACAGGCAGTATGGGCATGGTTATCTGTGTACTGGTAGCATCCTGGATTGATTATGGCAATACCTTTGAAGATACCTTGGATACCCCAGTCAAAATACATCTGCTGGCTTACTCTGGGAATAGGTGTACGTTTCTGTTGGAGATAATTCAGACTGAAATTCCCAGGTGTCAAAAAAGGTTATTTACGCTGCCACTACTGCGGCCCGTGTTTTGTTAACCCAAAAATGGAAAATGAGTGAGGTCCCAAGCAAAGACTGGCAACTTGAGTTGACTGAATAAACACAACGTGCAGACTTAACATATAGAATAAGAGAACAAGGAGAACATACGTTTAAAGAAGATTGGAAAACGTTTATTGCACATATGGGAAATAATTGTGTACAGCTGAAAACGCTGGCAGCATTAAGATAAATTCAACAGTGTAAGTAAGTTTTGATGGATGCAATAATGGAATACTGAATGGTATAGTTTTGGTAAAATATGCAGGAATTTATGATATGTAAAAAGAACCATGGAACGAGAAGGGAAGTCCCTGATATCTCAAGGATGTAAAATGAGTATTTTAGATTGTAAAACAGAAAATTTAATAATAACTATATATAACTCCACTGGTTGCTGGTCCACTGTTGTGCATAATTCAAAGTATTGTGCTTGCCTTAAATGCCCTGCATAGTTTTGGATCTAGGTACCTCAAATAATATATGTTTCCATGCAAATGTGTCCATATATTGTGGTAATAGACAAGCCCAGCCCTATCATTAGGCAGTGAGAGACAACCACCTCAGTCCATAAATGCTGGGAAACACTGGAGACAGCCCTCCCAGTGGTTCAGAGCAGTGGACTCGTAATCTGGTGAACCGGGTTCGCTTCCCCGCTCCTCCACATACAGCTGCTGGGTGATCTTGGGCCAGTCATACTTCTTTGAAGTCTCTCAGCCCCACTCACCTCACAGAGTGTTTGTTGTGAGGGAGGAAGGGAAAGGAGATTGTTAGCTGCTTTGAGACTCCTTCGGGTAGTGATAAAGCGGGATATCAAATCCAAACTCCTCCTCTTCTTCTTTCGTTGGTCCTGAGGACTTCCTTGCATTTACATTTCTAGCCTGTTTCCCTTGAATATTGAAGTAAGATTCAACTGCCAACCCAATCTGTTTCCATACATGGAATTGGGAGTGGTGGCGTTCAGGGCCGGCCCAAGACATTTTGGCACCTGAGGTGAACTGCAAGATGGTGCCGGCCCTGCCAGGGAAGAAGGGAGGAGTGAGAAGCTACACTGGGAACCAGAAGGGAATAAAGATCTACATCAGGAAGGAGGAGAGGAGGGCGACCAGCTGATTTCAAAACCACCTACAGAATTAACACATATGTGAATAACTTAAAAGAAGTACTGTGGGGGGGGGGAAGTATTTGATCCCCTGCTAAATTTGCCCGTTTGCCCTCTGACGAAGAAATGACCAGTCCATAATTTTAATGGTAGGTTTATAGTAGCTTTGAGAGACAGAATAACGACAGGAAAACCCCCAGAAACCCAGAAGACAAAAGTCAGAGATTGATGTGCATTCTAATGAGTGAAATAAGTATTTGATCCCCTATCAACCAGCCAGATGTCAGGCTACCTGGTATCTTCACTGGATGCAATGAGCTGAGATTAGAAGGACCTGCTGTAAGGGAGAGGTCTTATTGCTTTTACAGTGGTACCTTGGGTTAAGTACTTAATTCGTTCCGGAGGTCCGTACTTAACCTGAAACCGTTCTTAACCTGAAGCACCACTTTAGCTAATGGGGCCTCCTGCTGCCGCCGTGCCGCTGGAGCCCAATTTCTGTTCTTATCCTGAAGCAACGTTCTTAACCTGAGGCACTATTTCTGGGTTAGCGGAGTCTGTAACCTGAAGCGTATGTAACCTGAAGCGTATGTAACCCGAGGTACCACTGTATATTGTTTTTATCTTTTTTTGTACACCACCCTGGGAACAATTTGACAGAAAGGGAGCATGAGAAAGAGAAGGAAAGAAAGTTTAGGCATCTTTAGAAAGCTAAGATAGCCAAGGCATCTAACGAACTTTGGAAACCACACCCAAAAATGGGGGGGGGGGCGTGGAGCTGTCAGTAGTAGGGTCCAAAATTGTGTATTCCTCCCTCCACAGGGGTGACACCCTCAGATTTGATCCTGGCTCCTGAAATATTTGATTGCAGTGAATATGAATTCTAATATTTTTCAATACTTATTGCTGCAATCCTATACACACTTAGCTGCAATCCTAACCCCACCGAGGACTGCATTCAATAGGACTGAATTCTGAGTAGACATGGTTAGGATTGCACTGTTAGTGGATTAATAAAACACTAAACAAGGCCCATTATCATTTTAATTAGTACCTGAAACTAGAACCTAAAAAGTTCACCTGACTTTAGTTGCTGCTTTTCAGGTCACTGAAGATGGGTCCCATTGTCACCGCAGAAGCAATTGATCCATTACTCCACATCACTGGAGCTTGGTTAAATTACCTTGACCTGTCATAAACAGAGCTTAACTGTTTAACATTAAACATGCAGTCAGAGCACAAGAGCATTATCATTCTCATGTTGAATAGCAAGTACTGTACACTCTTCAAAATCTAACGCTTTTATATCATCTGAACAGATGGAACATCTTCCAAGGAAGGAATTTCCCATTAATCTTGAATGGAAAACTTCATAGCCTTTGTGGGTCCTGCCACATTTACACAACCCAAAACTCAATGTTGTTTTCTTTTCCATGTCAGTATTTCCACACCTGGTGAAGAAGTTGAACACAGCTCTCCACGTGGCAATTATCCTTTTCCTCTGCATGGCGTTTTCTTTTGCTCTGGTCAGTTTGGCATTCTGCATATTCAACATAATTAAAGTTCCCTATCGGGCTATCAAAGGCCCAGCTGGAATCGCCTTGTGGAACGTCCTTGCAGGTAAAATGTCTGATGGCACCCACTTTTTCCTTTTGCTAGATTAAGGGTTTGCTTTCCATTATTTCTGCATGTCACTAAATGCTCTTAGGGAAATTTCCATTGGCGTCATTGGGTATGTGTAGTCTGGACAAGAGGAGACTGAGAGGAGATAGGATAGCCATCTGCAAACATCTAAAGGGCTGTTACGGGGAAGATGGAGAAAGCTTGTTTTCTCCCATTGCAGAGGGTAAGACCTGAACCAATGGCTTCAAGTTACCAAAAAGAAGATTCAGACTAAACATCAGAAATAACTTTACGTTGGCAAGAGCTGTTTGACAGTGGACCAGACTCCCTGGGAAGGTACTAGACCATGGGTAGGCCAACTAAGGCCTGGGGGCCAGATCCGGCCCAATCGCCTTCTAAATCCGGCCCGCGGACGGTCCAGGAATCAGCGTGTTTTTACATGAGTAGAATGTGTGCTTTTAATTAAAATGCATCTCTGGGTTATTTGTGGGGCATAGGAATTGGTACTTTTTATTTTTTCCCCAAATTATAGTCTGGCCCCCCACACGGTCTGAGGGACAGTGGACTGGCCCCCTGCTGAAAAAGTTTGCTGACCCCTGTGCTAGACTCCTCCTTCCTTGGAGGATTTTAAGCATGGAGCAAAATGCCTCTACAATTCTCTGTTTCTAAACTATTTTTGCGTTTCAGTGTATTAACGCCTTTGTGTTTTGAATTCTCTTGCAGGTGGCTTTGCAGTGCTGGGTGTGACTAGCTTCATGGCTGCCGTCAAACTGCACAACCTGACTGAAAGGATTGCCAATTTCCAGGAAAACGTCTTCCAGTTTGTAATCCTGGAAGAACAGTATGAAGACTCTTTTTGGCTTTGCGTGGCAAGCGCGACCATTCACGGTGTGAACTTGCTGCTAGTTGCCATCAGCACAATTCATTTCCCTAAGCGGAAGACAAAGACAGAAGAAGCAAATGTTGCAGCCGAAGACATCATGTACTGAATACCTAACCTGGCTGGCCCCAAGCTTAAGACTTGCATCATCTGTTTATCTGCACTATGCGAAAGAAGGGTATAACACCACAGTGTGGAGAGGGGTGCATGAGTGTGGAGGAAGTGCAGCAAGAGCCACAATGTCCCTGGAGGGTCCACCAAGCCAAGAAGAAGACCATTCCCACATTCCATTAAACTCCTGGGAAGCTTGAGTCTTTCCCACACTGGGTCAAAATTTCCCAGGAGGCCAGCACAAAGCAGGGAACACCCCTTCCCATTCTCTCACTTGGACCTTGCCCATAGAACTCCAAAACTGTACAGCTCACCTGAGGAGGACGTTTGCCTCGGGTACAATGCTGTGCAATGGGTAATTTATGCCTGGACTCACTCAAAGGTAATTTAAAACACAGAGGAAAAAGCACATACCACCTCAGAATGTGGGTGTGACATTTTTCTGAATGCTCCCAGCCTAAAAATCCTTATGTGCAAAGTTAACATGGCGGGAGAAGGGCTGCTCAGAGATCTTTCTCCCTTGACCACCTGGCTTTCCACATTTGCAGTGGAGGCCTCTACTTTAGAGTGAATGGGGTACTGCCTCACCAACCCTAGTTGGCCCTCAGTGTACTACCAACTGCCTGTCTTCCTTCCTTCTGACCAGTCCAGGGGGCGGGACGCATGTGGCAATTAAAAATAATAATAAAAGGGGGCGGGGTTCCAGGAAAAATAACTTTGGCAATCCCACGTGCTGTTGACGATATGCAATTTTGGCTTCTGGCACAATCACCGGAATGCAAATTGTGGGCTTACTGGGAGCCCATTCTCATGTGATACCATCCTGTGGTTTGTGCCAGAAGCTTCTTCTGACGATTCAGATGGAGATTTGAGCTGATGGTGGTTGTTTCTCTGCAGGCTGGCTCAAGCTGTTTTGCTATCCTATACAAAAATCATGACAGGCCTGGCACACAGATACTAGTCACATCGTATAACGTGTGGGGAGGGCAATTGCGATTTGTCTGAGAGTTTTCCCACCCCCTTTTTCTGCTGCCCAGAAGTGAATGGAGTCAAGAAAAAGCGCCGTAATTGATGTGTGTGACACATTTCACAAGTCCCAGGCTCTGATAGTACAAGGGATTTTTTTGCTCCGTAGAAGTGAATGGAGCAAAAGTCTCAATTTACTTGAATGAAGCCAGGTTTTAAAAAGACTGCAATGGAGGGGAAATGTACATACAGTGTGACAAAGCACACCAGATATATTGTTCCAAAGGTGGGCAGGGGTGAATTGTGTGTTTCCAGTTACCTTGGTGCTCCTTGGTCTACTGCTCCAAGCAGTGGATTTTTGGCTGGTATGGTATGTGCTTGAGAAAACATATTACCAGAATACTTGCACATTACCAGAATATTCAGCCAACAAAGCTTTGGCCATGGTGATTTTAAGGTGGGTGTGGTCTGTTGGTGTTATTTGATCTCTCAGCAGAACCAGCAATTAACATAAAATTCATTGTAAAATCTGTTTCAGAGAGGATTATTTCAAAATGGACTAGTAATGGCATGTTTTTTAAGATTGTTTGCAATTCTAAATATGCAACACAAATTGGAAGGAAAAGACCTTTACTGCTTTTTTTAAAATGGAAACACTGAGTAACTTAACTTCCACTGTTAAAAATTAGTATGAAAATATAGTGGATACAACATTTCTATAAAGACTATGAGACTGTTTTTAATTAGCTGCAAAAATAGGATTGCCGTACTACTGCTCAACAACTTTGCCCCCCAAAAAGCACAACTTTTCTGGCCAGATTTTCACTTTTTTAAATACGGCAACTCTATGCAAAAATGGAAAATGCTTCCAGGATTCAAGAGGAAAAACTTTCAATACGCGTCTGAAAATAATTTGGAAAGCCTTTGAGTCTTTGTCCATTCTGAGAACAAAAGTATTAACTGAAGAGAAAAGGTTTTAGGAGCAAAATTTGTTACCAAAAGGGGGGTTAGCTTACCCATTTTTCCAAGAAGTTGGAATTTCCAGGGTGGTCTTTTTTCAGAAGCTGATTCCTTGTGATGAGAGAGAGCACTTCCAGTATTATTGTATTAGCTGTTTATTTACAAAAATACATACACTACTTAGTAGAAGAAAACAGACTTGTACAACAGACAGCACAACTGCTAATCCTGTCTCGCATTCCTAATGAATACTTGCATTCCAACTCAGTTTAAATTATCCATTCCAAATTGAAATTACCTTTTGATTGTCTCTCTGTCCTTTCTTCTCCCCCTGCCCCACAGTGTGACATTCTCAGGCCTGTAGATTCCAGACCATTAAGAACCACCAAAAGCTCCTGTTGGCTATACAAGCAGAACCATCATGCTTGATAGTCCTCCTTATTGACCTAACTCATAACAACATAAAGAGATGATAGCCATTTTGAGAACTAGTATACCATTGTGGCAGGGACACGGGTGGCGCTGTGGGTTAAACCACAGAGCCTAAAACTTGCTGATCAGAAGGTCGGCAGTTCGAATCCACGCGACGGGGTGAGCTCCCGTTGCTCGGTCCCTGCTCCTGCCAACCTAGCAGTTCAAAAGCACGTCAAAGTGCAAGTAGATAAATAGGTACTGCTCTGGCGGGAAGGTAAACGGCATTTCCGTGCACTGCTCTGGTTCGCCAGAAGCGGCTTAGTCATGCTGGCCACATGACCTGGAAGCTGTACGCTGGCTCCCTCGGCCAGTAAAGCGAGATGAGCGCCGCAACCCCAGAGTCGGCCACGACTAGAACTAATGGTCAGGGGTCCTTTACCTTTATACCATTGTGGCAGAGACAGATCTGTGTACCAGGAAGTCCCCAGGTGACAATTTGCTTTTGCCAAAGACTCAGTGGGTAAATGTTCGAAAATCCCCCCCCCACGGCCCCACCCCGGAACCTGCAATGTGAGAATAATGATCTGGACATACCTTATGGAACGTTATGGCAGAATGCCTTGAGGAGACTGACATATATTACTGGCAGAGCTAGTTCCCACACCATTCCAGTATGATGGGTGACGCTCCTGCTGGAAGGAACTATAAAACTGGCTCTACCTAGCAGTTCTCTAAACTTTGCAAGACAGCAGTATGGGATGTTGTCTTGGAGACCTGACTCTGAACCCGTAGTAGTATTGTGGTATTCGTGTCAGTGGCAAAACCTTCAGAAAGCAGCTTCAGTAACGGATACCTTCAATTAAATGTGCTACAATGCGCCATCAAGACAGTGGAATATTTGTAACCACTTATACTGGCGTACTACAAATTCACCTGCATTTGAACAAGCAGAAAATGGTGGGTTTGCAGTACGGTGTGTAATAAACAAAAATCTGCCCTTATTCCCTTATGGGGAACACAAGAGCCTTTATAGAGTCCTTTGTAGGTTCTCCATCGGTCGGAGAAAATAACAGAGGCCAACCAGAGAATATTGAGAAGCAAGGCAGCTAGTAAGCCTGATCTTTATTGAAACTGTTGCAACAGGGTGCTCCCCTCACACACAGGAAAGGAGGAGGACCCCGAGCAAAGGTGTGCCCGCCCTTATATAGACATTTTAAATTGCCTGCCCTGGAGTCCAAGACCACCCCCAGAAACATCATACCTATATCACAGAAACGATGGTCTACAACAGAAATCTGAGTGCGTTGTTTATCTCCTGTCTGGCAGACCTGTTAATGCTTACTTGATTGGATACCCTGGGGAGCCTGGCCAGTCCTTTGTAATGACAAATACTTAGTTCCTGAGCCAGGTCACAGGCTCACCCTGTTCATACACAGACATACCCTTAAGACAGGATTTGTGAAGGCAAACACAATGGGAAGGCTTTTCCATTTTCTTTCGGCCTTGCAGAGAAATATTTGAGGTCAATTTGGGAGGGACAAAATGGTTTCAGGACTTTTTCTGTGGAGTTTCAGACATGTGGTTTATATATGCAGTTATGAACATTTATCATTACATATATATATATATATATACATTTGTTGTTGTTGTTTAGTCGTTTAGTTGTGTCCGACTCTTCGTGACCCCATGGACCAGAGCACGCCAGGCACTTCTGTCTTTCACTGCTTCCCGCAGTTTGGTCAAACTCATGCTGGTAGCTTCGAGAACACTGTCCAACCATCTCGTCCTCTGTCATCCCCTTCTCCTTGTGCCCTCCATCTTTCCCAACATCAGGGTCTTTTCCAGGGAGTCTTCTCTTCTCATGAGGTGGCCTAAGTATTGGAGCCTCAGCTTCAGGATCTGTCCTTCCAGTGAGCACTCAGGGCTGAACTGCTTTTAAGTGACACCCAAACAAGATGTTTACAGGGATGACAAGGCTGCCATGTCCACCTGCCAGTGTCACTCTGGAAATGTCCTCATCCCTGAGTTAAAGAATATCAGGATGTGAAAGACCTTTGCCTACCATCCTGCCATTTGGAAACCTCTGCCACTGCCACTTAAAGTTGATGGGAGCTATGCAGAAATGGTGAAACTTACTGGAAGAATAAGAAATCAAGATAACAAACTTTTGTTTTTAATTATAAAAGAATTATAAAAGAATTGAAATGATATTATTGAATATTTACAGATAAATTGTAAACAGATAAAAACACTGGCAGGATTATTGTAGTGGCCTGCAGTTTCATAAGATTATTTTAAAAATGATGAATAAATGAATAATGAAAAGATGAATAAATGAGCAAATTAATTTGGATATGCAGAAGATATTAAAAATAAGGAACCACAGAAAGAGGGGGAAGGAAGTCGAGTTTTGAAATGTCAAGATGATTGTAAAACTAGTGAAATGCATAAATTTGAAAAGTATTTTTTAAAAAATTAAAATAAGAAAAATAAAGTTGATGGGAGCTAGATCAACCAACGCGCCTCGAATTGGACTGGCTACTAATTGGTGCTTGTTTTTTTTTTTATTTCCCCTCTTTACGCGGAGGGAAAGTTGACTCTTTCTTTTTATCATCATCACGATTTATTAAATGCGTATACCGCCCTCCAGACCATGATCTCCGGGCGGTTCACAGCAATACAGTACATAGGAATACAGAGACAAAGAGGCGCATCGGTGAAAGAGCCAGCGGCGCGCCCGGCCCAGGGGAGGCGCGCGCGGAGGAATGCGCAACCCGCGGAGCCGCTCTCCTCGAGGCGGGCCTTCCTTCTCGCTGCGGCCCCGTGATCGCTGCTGGACGGCGGGGGGTGACCATGCTGCTGGCGCCGCTGCTGGCGAGCGGGCGGCTCCTCCTGGTCCGCGGCAAGGGGCTCCGCGTCCCGGTGGCCACCTTGTCCTCGGGCGCCCGGCGCGCCAGGAAACAGCAGGTAGCGGGGAGATGCGGGGGGAGCTGGTGGGTGCCGGGGAAGGAGGGGAAAGCGGGCATGCCGGGAGCAGCAAGGGAGGGACTAAGCGAAGGGCGGAGAAGCATGGCGGAGCAACGGCCGGCTGGCGACAGGAGAAAGGTGTTGGCGCGCAACGCGGGGGTAGCGCGCGTCTTTACGCGCGTCTTTGCGCGCTTGGGGTGGGGAAGGTCGGCTGGGGCGCGCGGTTGGTGGCGCAGCAAATGCTGGGCTTGCCTCGGTGGGGCGCCTTTGGCCTGCCCGGCATGAGAAGGAAGCGGCTTTATGGGCCAGAAACTGCTCTTCCGTGGAATCCTAGCATGGTCTAGTTGGAGGGTCATGTAGTCCAGCCCTTTGAGCTGCAAGAATTTTGCATGCCAGAAATAAACCCTGCCTCCTATTAGTTGAATTAAATAGCTGCTGCTTCTCAAAGAGATACTCTGCACATGCCCAAACACACTAGGGAGGAGGTCCCATGCAGTGCCTGTCCTTGGCTTGCCTTTGCATCCTAACCAGGAACCGTGGTTTGTAAGAAACTCCAGTAGTCTGTTAAGCAAGGCAGCTTCAGAGCTCACGGGTTGCAACTGGTAGGTTTTGAAATGGACTAGAGCAGGGCTGGGGAACCTGTCGCCTGCGAGGTATTTTTAGACTAAAGATACCAGATTTTTTCCAAAGAATCTGGGGACACTTAAAAAAAAGGGGGGGGGAGATATTTTAAAAAGAAGAAGTAATATCTTCTCTTTTGTGGTCTCCTCTGTCACGCAGCCTACTCTCTTGGAGCGCTAGCCGCCATGGAGTAGGCACAGTTGGGCTGGGCTTGGCCACGTGTCCTTGCCCTCCCGGTGTGCTCCTACCTCTCCTCAGTGGTGGCGGTGTGGCACGGTTGGGGCTCCCCTCTTTTTTCTCCTTCCTCTTTCTCTCTCTTCCTTCTCCTCTCCTCCTCCTCCCTGCATTGGCTCTGGGTTTTTACTGGCCTTGGAGCACCACTGGGCAGTCAGCCGGGTGGCCGGGCGCTCTCTCTCCTGGCTCGATTTGGGTCGCGGTGGGGGGGGTCAGCGGTTCCCTCAGCTGACGCGCCAGGCGTTCCCAGTTCCCCTGCAGCAGTGGCAGTCTCAGCAGCCCAGAGCCAGCCTGGTAACGCAGTTGGCTCTGGCTGGCTTCAGGAGCTGCTTGCTGCCGTGGCGCCCGCCATTTTGCCTCACCGAAAGTCCCCATATGATGTGTCGTGTGCCGCTGAACCAAACACGCAACATTCATTCCCTACTAATAAATCTGCAACACTTAAAATATAAATCCGGGGACATTAAATGAAATCTGGGGACATTCCAGGGACGGATTTTGTCCGGGGACAGATTTGTAAATCCGGGGACTGTCCCCAAGAAATGGGGATGATATGTTAGACTGCACCTCCCATCCCGTGAGGGACGGCCACAGACAGGTTCCCCACCCCTTGAGGTGCAGTTTATTTTGAAATTTAAATCATAATTCCAGGTTCACACATAAAGACAACTTGGGATTCGGGGCAAGTAACATTGAACCCCACACCTGACTGCGTGGGAGGAGGTTAGGGTGAACTGTGCAAGTCTGCTGTCTCCATTTTGTTTCTGCGGATAGTGCCAACCTTGGTTTTAGCATTTTGTGTGAATGTGGCAACCCAAACAGAGGGTTGTATCCATTGCATATGTGGAACAATTTCTGTGAGTCCAGCAGAACTCCCCTTTATGCCCTAAGTCCCTCTGAAATGAATGGGGAAATAAGGCTCTCAATGGCTCCATGTCACAGTGGATATATATTACTTCCATTGTGCTTCTAAATGTCAGTTACTGAGGATCATGCATGCTATTCTGCTCATTCCCACTTTGTGGGCTTCACATAGGCTGGTGTGATCCAGCTGGGCTCTTGTGTTTTTATGTTATAAAGGCCATTCAGTAGCTACGGAGGGGCTTTTGTGTCTTGGGTCTCTGTAACATGAGCAATATCCTGTGGGCCTACTGTGTCCTTGTCAGGAGCCAGAAACCTCTTGGAAATAATCCTGTTTGGTTTGGGCCAACCTAAATTGAGATGAGCAACAAGGTACAGTCATACCTCGGGTTGAAGTAGCTTCGGGATAAGTATTTTTGGGTTGCGCACTGCAGCGACCCGGAAGTAACGGAGCGCGTTACTTCCGGGTTTTGCCGCATGCGCAGAAGGTCAAAATGACGGCAGACGCGGGTTGGTGTTCGCTTCTGGATGCGAACGGGGCTCCGGAACGGATCCTGTTCGCATCCAGAGCTACCACTGTATATCAGAAACACAACACAAGGCTTTCGCTTGCCTGTTTTTGGAAAGGACCCAAATCTTCCCACAAACTTCCACCTCTTGGCCACGCCCAGCCTTAAAGAGCTGCGTTTATGGTTAATGAAGTGGGCAGGACCTGTTAGGAGACGTTGCAGAGGCGGGACTAAGGTTCCCTCTTCTGCTATAAAGGCTGCAGACTCTGCCGAGTGCGTAGCTTCAAATACAGCTGGCAACGGATCAACACGGCAGTGTCATGGGTGTAAATAAGGTGCGTGGTAAGGGGGGAATTGTGGAAAGTATTCAGTTAGCTGGTTGATGGCATGTTTGCAGAGGGCTGGAGAGTGTGCAAACCATGTGCATTATGTTCGTGCTATGAATAGGAGTTTTCCACTAATAATAATAATAATAATAATTTATTATTTGTACCCCACCCATCTGACTGGGTTTCCCCAGGGACTCTGGGCGGCTTCCAACAAAGATTAAAAATGTGCCTGCTTGTTTTAGATATTTTCCTGAAGCATTGCTCTTGTCAGAAAGCTGGTATTTTATGAGCTGGCTTAGGCAGAGGTGCACTTTGATGGGCAAGGCCACCTAAAATTGTGTTTTTAAAAGTCCTCCTGGTCTCAGTGGAAGAACTAAGCTGGCACCCAAAAGTCAACTCGGGTTGAAATTGATCTAGTATTAAAAAGTGCTTAGTTGGAACAGGGTCGCGCCTTTTTATTTAGCTTGAAAAACATTGACTCAGAGACTCTGGAGATGCAGGATACAGAATGAAGTGAAGGATGTGGAATGAGTACTGGGTAAACAGTGAATCAAGGATAAATTCTGCGTTCTGTTCTGCAAGTGCTTTCATAATTTGTGGGCGCCTTGAGTTGGTCAAACTGGATATTACATTTCACCTGTTCTTATAATTGCTCTCTATGTTTTACATACATTATAAAATGAATTAATAAAAAACCGACAAAAAAAGAATATTGGATATTACAGGGCAGTCTCTCTTCCCTTTCCCAGTATAATGATTTATTTTATTTTTTAAGCAAAAGCAATCTGGGTAGGGGGCAAGTCTGAGCCGACGGAGAGTCTGCTTGCTTAAACCATTTGTCTCTGTAAATTTTTCAGTCCAAGGACATGAAAAGCAGCTCAGGAAGTATGATTTTGGGGTTGTGTCTCTCCAAGCTGCTTTTCATATCTCCCCCATCCCGGACAGGGGAGAAGAGCAAGTTGAATTCAGATTTTGAGCTGAAAAATGATTGAGAGGGAAAAGCTCCTCCAGCTACTTGCCCTCTCTTCAGGTCTGTATCCTGCCAAGGCCATTTTGATTTCAGGAAACAAAACCGAGAGGGAGGAAAGAATAATGAAAGGACCCCTTGTAACATCTAGTTTGGACTTAGGAATGCTGCTGAGGCAAGTTGAACAGCTGAAGAGAGAAACCGGGTCAGATCAGATGATCTTTTCCCCTGTGAAGGGGGCTGGGTGGGCAAGATCATTTCTTCTTTCCCAGTGAGTGTGCCTGTCCTGCCAGGATGTCTGTGTCTATTGTTCAGTGTACATCTTCCTGAACAGTGTGAAGAGAGTGGTACTTCAATTAGTTTGGATGTGTAGGTCAGTTTAGATGTGCAGATATACAGTGGTACCTCAGGTTACAGACGCTTCAGGTTACATACGCTTCAGGTTACAGACTCCGCTAACCCAGAAATATTACCTCAGGTTGAAAACTTTGCTTCAGGATAAGAACAGAAATCGTGCGGCGGCAGTGCGGCAGCAGCGGGAGGCCCCATTAGCTAAAGTGCTGCTTCAGGTTAAGAACAGTTTCAGGTTAAGAACAGACCTCCGGAACGAATTAAGTATTTAACACGAGGTACCACTGTATATACCTTACAATTTCCCATCCTAAAGACTTCCATATTGCTTTACACATTATATGCAGACTACTTGACTACTTGCAGATTAGCATGTTGATTCCAGAATAAGTTTCACACAAAGGTAGTTTTTCAGTGGCTCATTCAGTGAAGTCGAGGTGTGTGCACAGACTGGTTTTCCAAAGCCCTTTAAGGCAAAGTGCAGCATTTAAAAGTTGACAAGTGGCTTTTCCTTGCTCAATAAATAACCAAGCGGACTTTGGTATCATTCTTCTCATCACCTTCCTTGGTTTTCCCAACTGGTTCTTCCACTCATTATTTTCCCCCCTCCTATACTTATCCATGAATTGCTAACTAGTTTAAACTTGTGCAGTTTCAGGCTGTGATATAGATCGCCCTTTCAGTATTTGCCATGACACAGAATATTGCTACATAAGGAACAGTCTTTAGACCCACAAGGGGAACTTGCTATAGAAACTACAGTCTGCAGTCTCTGTTTTCTGATGAATCGGGGAATGCAGTAATAAATTAGTCAAATGGACCAATTAAAATCCGTCTCCCTGATGTTACAATATCCCATTTTACATTTCCGTTGAGTTTCGTTTTGCCTGCAGGTCTTGGGTTCAACAGGGACACGGGTGGCACTGTGGGTAAAACATCAGCGCCTAGGACTTGCCAATCACATGGTCAGCGGTTCGAATCCCCGCGGCGGGGTGCACTCCCGTCGTTCGGTCCCAGCGCCTGCCAACCTAGCAGTTCGAAAGCACCTCCGGGTGCAAGTAGATAAATAGGGACCGCTTACCAGCGGGAAGGTAAACGGCGTTCCGTGTGCTGCGCTGGCTCGCCAGATGCAGCTTGTCACGCTGGCCACATGACCCGGAAGTGTCTGCGGACAGCGCTGGCTCCCGGCCTATAGAGTGAGATGAGCGCACAACCCTAGAGTCTGGCAAGACTGGCCCGTACGGGCAGGGGTACCTTTACCTTTACTTGGGTTCAACAGGAGGCAGAATGTTCTATGTCCCAATTTGTGCAATGCTTACCTGATTTTCTTACCTGATTTTCTCATGCTTGGCTCAATCTCAGTGCCAACCGCCTTAATTCAGCCACATGGCTACGACTTTTTCCTAATCACATCCTTCTGCTATCTGTGCTCGAATCCAAATCACACCTCCAAAGGGACAACTTCAAAGAGTTTGCCGTCAGCAAACCCCCACTTGCAAAGGAACAATCGGGAGTGTGCTTGAAACCTTTGCAGCTGTGTTACTCCCTGCCCCACATCTGGCTGTAATTATGGCGGCCGGATGGAGCAGATGGCATTGCTAGGGGAAAACTGGCTCTTGGTCCTGCACGATGGAAGTTGCCCGCCACTGTTTTGCAGTCTAGCCCTGCCTTTCTCAACCTTAGGTCGCTAGATGTCGTTGTACTACAACTCCCATCATTCCTATCTACCGTGGCCAATGGTCGGGGATGATGGGAGTTGTAGTTCAGGAACATCCAGGAGCCGAAGGTTGAGAAAGGCTGGTCTTAGACTGTTTTCTGACTTGCTTTGTTCTGTCTCTGGGATGAGGAGCTTGTGACTCTCCCCTAATCACTGACCATCACATAGCTGTCAACGTTTTCCCTTTTTTAAGGGGAATTCCCTTATTCCGAATAGGATTCCTCGCAAGAAAAGGGAAAAGTTGACAGCTATGGACCATCAGTCAGGCTGGCTAGGTCTGGGGCTGTTGATACAGCATTATAGTCCATAGGGAAGTTTTTAATGTTTGATATTTTATCGCTTTTTTTTGTTCTGTTGGGAGCTGCCCAGAGTGGCTGGAGAAACCCAGCCAGATGGGCAGGGTATAATAATAATAATAATAATAATAATAATAATAACCAACAACAACAACAACAACAACAACTAAAAGCTCCTCCTTCACTCCCCGCAAACCCCTGGAAGTAATTTGCAATTGCTATGTAGGACAGCATCTAAAAAGTAACCCTCTTTTTGTTTTCTTTTTAAAGGGCCTTGTCCTAGGAGTCTTTGTCGGCAAGAAAGAAGAGGGACCCGTCCAGTTTACTGAAGCAGGAGACGCTTTTGACAAAGTCGTGTCTGGGAAGCTCAGAGAGTTGCTGGCAATGTAGGTACCAAAACAGGTTCCCTTCTGTTTATTTGGCAGTCATGAAATAGCATGAGCCCATCCAGGGAGAAGCAAGCCTTGTACATAGCTGAGGAGCAGGTACCTGCTTACAACGTGGGATAGCTCAGTCGGAAGACCATGAGACTCTTAATCTCGTGTTTGTTTTGTGTTCTAGTTCAGGACCTCCACTGAAGAAAGGAAAAACCCGCATCTTTCATGGCTTGCATCAGGTATGGATTTACTGTTTTCTTAAGTATGTTAACCTAACTTATGCCTCCAAAGCTGTTGTTTTAAAATAGCAATTCATCAAATATTTCATTACATTCAATGAGACTTATGAGTATCAGGTTGCAGTCAGCACTTTTTTTCAACTCCCCGACACTTTCCTATCTGAAAATTTTCGTGTTTTATATGATCTTTCATGTGGTGTAAAAGTCACTTTTGGAATTCTAATGGAAGTGTAGCACTAATTTCCATGTCAATTGCTTCCAGGAAAAAGTCCACTTGAAACCAAGTGAAGGGAAAACTCATATTAAGAAAGAAAAAATAAAAATCCCTTTTACTGATGAGTTTCCATTTACCTTGGTTTTGCTGTGCTCTCTGTAAGTATGAAGGGAATGGCAGTGGCTTTGGTTAAACTGCCTGTCTGCTACATGAAGAATTTGCTATGTGCACTATTTCGCTAGTTATGTGAGGCAAAAAGGTGCAGAAGTAGACACTTGGATGATTGGAGTTCAATACTTGGGTAATGCTTGCTTAAGCAAAGTATGGTGAAATAAGGAGTCGCAATGGGCGGTTGTCTACAAGCTTATCATGCAGAGAGCATGCTGAAGGCTGCCTAATCAAAATGCACATGCGCCGGGAGTTGGAGTGATGTATGCAATGTGTCCTAAAATATCATGTATCCTTAGAATGCAGTTCCTGTGTGGTGTGGTGTTATTTCCAGCAGCGCTCTCACCTTTTGTGACCACAAAATAAAGTCTTTCTTGACTTAATCCTCTCTCTCTCTCTCTCTCTCTCTTTGGTGACTGACTTTAGCCCGGAGAATTCTGGGAGTTTTGTTCTATTATTCTCCTCTGGTTTTCATGGCTAGTATATTCCATATCTTTCTAACTGACTTAATTGCTTCAAGAGTTGTTGGAACTTTCAGATATTTTGATTCTAATACTGCTCACCCAACCAAAGGCTATATTATATGTACGGTTGTCCAACTCGGGAGATTAAGAACATCAGCAGGTCTCCAGTGTTTGATACTTGTCAGTAAATAAGCATGATGGTATCATTGCAGCTTTGCAATTCCAAATCCACCTTTCTTAATTTGTAACTGCATTTTTCTGCAATGATCTTCTCAGTAAATTTGAAACCCAAAGACATTTCTTAAAGAGGGGGTTTCATGGCCCACACTTGCATGTCAAAATTTGGGGGCAGTATTCAGGCACACGGTTCTTTCCTCCCATTCTCATGGTTGAACAGGGGAACAGAAGCACACCTGCCCAGGTGTCTGAAGACATGTACTGCTGTGTCATGGGTGTGAATGGAAATGAGCATGATATGGCAGTATAGCAGTCAAAAAGCCATAGCTCCACAATTCATCAGGTAAAAGGTAAATGTAAAGGACTCCAGACAGTTAAGTCCAGTCATGAATGACTCTGGGGTTTGAACTGCTAGGTTGGCAGGAGCTGGGACCGAACAACGAGAGCTCACCCCATTGCGGGGATTCGAACCGCCAACCTTCTGATCGGCAAGCCCAAGGCTCAGTGGTTTAGACCACAGCGCCACCCACCAATGTTTGATACTTGTCAATAAATAAGCATGATGGTATCATTCCAGATTGGGACTTCCAAATACACCTTTCTTAATTTGTAAGTGCATTTTTCTGCAGTGATCTTCTCAGTACATTTGAAACCCAAAGACATTTCCTAAAGAGGGGGTTTCATGACCCACACTCGCAGGAGAAAATTGGGGGCAGTTTTCAGGCACACATTTCTTTCCTCCCATTCTCACGGTTGTGGTGTAAAAGGAACATTAGAAATCGAGATGGAAGCACTAGCGTTGTAACCAGGGAAACTGACACAATAATCCCCGTGCTCAAATGCACCCAAAGGTCACCATACCATATTAACACGGAGAAAGTGAAATCTCACCATTGCCTTTCCAGCAGCTATCTGTTTTTGATTCTCTGGAACCAACAGGATGCAGCCAAACTAGATAGGATTGTGGCAGGTCTGTGTGCAGAGTGGGGTTTCCTGCTGAATCCTTATAAGGTGGCACTGAACCTAGGGTGGGGAAAAGAGAATTAAAATCCCACCCCCACCCCAAACCATTTCAGGTTCAAACGGATGTGGGCAGTGGAAGAAAGTAGCTCCTCCAGGCAGCCCATGTTGTGTTTTAAAATCTCCCCATCCCCACTTCATGGGGAATTAGCAGAACCGACTGCTGTTCATAGCTGCCTGCTCTCTGAGACTACCTCAAAAGTAAGGCTTCAGGAATAGTAAAGGGCTCTTGGGTGCATGTGGTAATTCAGAGATAAGAGCAGTTGAACAGTTAATGCTGAATTGGCAAGATAGGACAATTAATGCTGAGTGAGAAAACTGGAATACTGAGATAAAGAGGGTTTTTAAAAAATAAAGAGGAACTTGGCTTGAATGTCACTGAAACCAGCCTTTATCTCTTTATTCTGAGGTGTTCTACTGCAGCTAATCAGCATTTATGAGTAACATTATTATGATGCAATCTCCTTTAGAGTGGACCTGAGGTGCTTAGAGCAGCATCGGGGAATCTGTGGCCCTCCAGAGGTTGTTGGATTCCAGCTCCTCTCAGCTACAGCTGGCATGAATAATAGTGAGGAATGATGGGAGATGTAGTTCAGTAACCTCTAGGGGGTCACAGGGTTAAAAGTCCTGGACACAGTGAAAACTATGTCTTTGGTGTGAACATAGAGCACTGCATAAAAGCTTTGGAGCGAGCGTTTTCTTGGCAGGGAATGTGTAACAGACCCGCAGGATCTGCACCAAGTTCTCCTGAAGTCATTTTTAGGAATCCTCTGTTTGGTGCTAATCTTTTTTTTAATGACCCTTTGTGGTACATTTCACTGTTGGGCTTACTGTCGTACTTCTTAAACATCAAATCTATATCATTTGATAGCCTGTGATATTTATTTGGGTGGATGTGTGTGTGTGTATATAACAACAGTTTTTAAGTCCTTCCCACTATTCCTCTTCGTCGTTTTTGAAAGGGAAGAATCTTGCAAAGGGTTTCAGTTACTCTCATCTGTGCTGAGGGTTGCTTCATGAGCCCAGTGGGCTTTCTAAAGAAAGAAAATGTGCATAGGTGATTGAAAAGTTTGGAAATCATGGCTGGTGCAAAATCATGTGATGTTTACATGTAGGAAAAAGTTTGGATGTGAAGAGTAGATTTGAGGTTGCTTGTGATCATGTGGCATGTTATACTTTGCAGTGTCCTGAATGTCTCTTGTTTCTTACCTCTTGTGATTTCCAGTTAAATGGCCGTGTCAGTTTCTTATTTTATAAAATGTGTATCTCCTTTATTCAAGGTAGTTCGCCATTCAAACAACACCTAAATGATACAGATGAAAAGAAAACTCAAATTTTAAAAAGCAGTTTCTTAAATATGTTGAGTTACATTTTCCTAAAAATTAAAAAGGGAGGTGCTTTGTTGCGCTGCCTCAAAGTGACCACCTAAAAGCCAGGCCGGGGCTGATAGAAATTGAAGTCCAACATCTGGAACCCTACAGTTTCCTCCATCTCATCTCCAGGGACGGACTCTTAAGACGTTCAGATCCCTGTGGAGCCTTAAATATAAGCTTCCCATTAATTTCAGTTGAGCTTCTGCAAGGGAACATTAGTGTATTCTGGCACGCTAATAACAAAAAGGCAACACAAACATATTTCAAAGTATTCTTCATAATTACAGGGTGCCGTTGGTTTTCTGAAAAGATTTAATAATGTTTCTTTGCTGTTGGATTCCTGCAGGACTTTTCAAGTGTAGTTGTTGTTGGCTTGGGCAAGAAGGCAGTTGGAGTGAATGACCAAGAAAACTGGAATGAAGACAAAGAAAACATACGGGCAGCTGTTGCAGGTTAGCTTTTTTCTTTTCTTGTGAGTTGTTCTGTAATCTATTAAATGGGACGTGCTGCATTCTGAAGATACTTGCTGGTTTCAGAGCTAGGGCCTCTTAGAGCTACTGACCCAGGCTGCACTCCTGTGCCTACTTCTTGTTGTTGTTGTTTAGTCGTTTAGTCGTGTCCCACTCTTCGTGACCCCATGGACCAGAGCACGCCAGGCACTCCTGTCTTCCACAGCCTCCCGCAGTTTGGTCAAACTCATGCTGGTAGCTCCGAGAACACTGTCCAACCATCTCGTCCTCTGTTGTCCCCTTCTCCTTGCGCCCTCAATCATCAGGGTCTTTTCCAGGGAGTCTTCTCTTCACATGAGGTGGCCAAAGTATTGGAGCCTCAGCTTCCGGATCTGTCCTTCCAGTGAGCGCTCAGGGCTGATTTCCTTCAGAATGGATAGGTTTGATCTTCTTGCAGTCCATGGGACTCTCAAGAGTCTCCTCCAGCACCATCATTCAAAAGCATCAATTCTTTGGCGATCAGCCTTCTTGATGGTCCAGCTCTCACTTCCATACATCACTACCGGGAAAACCATAGCTTTAACTATATGGACCTTTGTTGGCAAGGTGATGTCTCTTCTTTTTACCTACTTACCCAAGGGTAAGTCCAAAAGATTTCAGTAGGAATTACTTCTGAGTAGATGTGGTTAGGCCTGCGCTGCAAATCAAACCGCTCTCAGGCATTGCGTGCAGATGTGGCTTTTTAAAATGCCAAATAAGCATCATTAGCACCCAAGGTACTAATAATGGCATAAGCTCAAAATAATGGCTGCAGACTTTGGCCTGTTGTAATTGCTCAGTCATCACTGTGCCACAGGCCAATTGTGGGTGAGGCACTCTCTTACTCTTGCTGAATTGCCTGCAGGTAGAAGTTGCTTGATAAATGTATCCCAAGTGCACTAATGGGCCATATATTAATAAACCAGCTTCTCCTTTGAGTTGTCTTAACTGGTGACATGAACTTTACCAAGTTGATTTGTAATACCAGAGAGACGGAGCCTGATAAAATTTTAAAAATCTGCCTGTTCCCTTCCTTTCTCTTTCCCCCACCCCCCTCCAGTCCTTAATGTTGCAAACGTGTATATTATTTTTCAGGCTTAGAATAAAAAATGTAAGCAATAACAAAACAAAGAGAGAAAGAAAGAAAAATCAGAATTTAACAAAAATAATTTATTATAGAATGCAAAGGGGAAAACGTAGAAATGAATATACAGAAGTCGAATTGCTGTGGAGGGAAGTGGAGGGTGGGTGATGGGTTTTATAATTAAGTGTATAATTATGCAGCTGGTGTAATTCAGATACTGTATTTTATGTCAGGGAATCATTGGGAATTTTGGTTATTATGTATATATGTTAAGTTTCAATAAATATCTTTGAAAATTTAAAAAAAATAATATTATTTTTCAGCTGGATGCAGGCAGGTTCAGGACTTGGAGGTCCCTTGTGTGGAAGTCGACCCTTGTGGCGACGCTCAAGCTGCGGCGGAAGGAGCTGCCCTAGGACTCTATGAATACGATGAACTGAAGCAAAAGAAGAAGCCTGTGGTGGACGTTCAGCTCTACGGGAGGTGATTGGCTGAGAAATAACATTTGTATGGTTCTGGGATCAACGTGCTTGTTCTTCGTTCCCTTAAAAAGGGGTCATCACATGCTGAAAGAATATGTAAAGGGGGTTTGGGAGGGGAGAGACATGGATTAGCCCCATCTGCTGTTGGTGGTGTCCACAACGGCCATGCCCCCTCCCCCAGTACGTGGGTTCTGTGTGTGTCTACAAAGGGGCAACCGTGCCCAGTCATGTGCGTATATTGGCATACTTATGGGCCCTCATCACATGCCAGCTTAAAGCAGGGGGCACTGTGTGTGTTGCTGGTTGACACATTCTTTCATTGTATGGAGGGTGTAATCTGAACCCCCTTTTTTGAATTCAAAAACAAAATGCACGGGTCTTATTTGCAAAGACTTCCTTTTTATAGGAAGGTGAGGCATAGAGGGACGCGGGTGGCACTGTGGGTTAAACCACAGAGCCTAGGACTTGCCGATCAGAAGGTCGGCGGTTCGAATCCCCGCAACGGGGTGAGCTCCCGTTACTCAATCCCTGCTCCTGCCAACCTAGCAGTTTGAAAGCACGTCAAAGTGCAAGTAGATAAATAGGTCCCGCTTTGGCGGGAAGGTAAACGGTGTTTCCGTGCACTGCTCTGGTTCACCAGAAGCGGCTTAGTCATGCTGGCCACAGACCTGGAAGCTGTCTGCGGACAAACGCCGGCTCCCTTGGCCTATAGAGCAAGATGAGCGCCACAACCCCAGAGTCGTTCGCAACTGGACTTAACTGTCAGGGGTCCTTTACCTTTTAAGGCATGGATAAAGTAAGATTCTCTTTAATAAGATCTGTACGAGAAGTGAGAATCAAACCTTCCAAATGAAAATTAATTGAGTCCTCTTCAGGTGCCAGCATAGTCTATATTGGGGTAGTGGCTGACATACAACTGGTACTAAATAAATGTTACATTTAGACTCTTTAGCTTACTGATTTTGGTCAGGCATTTGCTACATTTGAATATGGTGCTTAGTTTTAATGGCCTACATAGCTTGGTATCTGGGTACTGGAAGTAATATCTGTTCCCACTTCAACTCTGGTCATCTTTGAAGGCTATTCTCTAGGTCCCTCTGCCATCTGATGAGGGTGGGTGGTTGTCTCTGTCTAGTGAAGTTCTCCTGGCACCGGCCCTCATGTCTCTTTGGCACCAGACAATTTATTTCTACCTTTCCCAAGTCTTTCAAGAGTAAGGTTTTGCTGTTGATGTTTGCGGTTTTGTTGTCCCTGTTCATCTGGTCAACCAGCTTAAAATTCTACAGTTCTGCAATGTTTGCCGGTAGAAGGAGAGTCACTGATTTATGGCATTTCAGTTCTGTGATGATATTTTATTGAGTATCCTTCTGTATTCCTGTTTAGCGATGGAGCTGAGGCCTGGCGGAAAGGCCTTATCTACGCCAAGGGACAGAACTTGGCCAGATCCCTCATGGAAGGTCCAGCCAACCACATCACGCCTACCCGATTTGCTGAAATTATTGAAAAGAAACTTAAAAGTGTCTGTAGCGATGCAACTGTCCATATAAGGTGAGTTCAGTTGAAATAATTCTCTCACAATGGCATTGAGTGAGAACTCTTAGATTTGTGCCTGCTTTCAGTTGCTTGCTGTGAGCTAGTGATGGGTCAGCGCTGCTTCACAGACCTCTCCTTGGGTTATCTTTGCTGGTAGCATTAGGGAATTGGCGTGTATTGGTCCTCCATTGGAAAAGGATAAATTTCCTCACTTCAGCTACAGTAGTCCAAAAAAGTTTGATGCAATGTGTCAAACCACTGGGACCTGATAGCTGTTGTCAAGTTATCATTTTAAGCTTAAAAACCACAAATACTGCAGCAATTAAAATCCACCAACCTTCCAACTGCTATGAAGTCTTATGTAAATACATCTTTCTCTGCTTTTTGCTGTCTGGAAAGTCCTGGCTTTCAGTTCAGTTTTGGTGGTTCACCCAATCAAAGCAGAATTTTTGGGACTGTTCTTTACTAAATTGGCTCTAGGTGGTTTGCCAGAAGCTTCAAAAGGCCAACTGCCCATGTTACTTTACCATCTATGTTTCTTCCCCTGCCTCTTTCCTTTCCTGCCCCAAGCTTGCTTATACAGAGAAGCTGCTTTTTTCATATACAGAACAGAACTGTATCCATCACCAGCTTCATTTAATGAGAAGGCTGTTTTGGTTTAACTTTTGTGGTCAAAAACCGCAGGACAATCACTTTTGAAATGCCTTATAAACAGAATAGAGCAAAAGGTTAAGCTAGGTCTTTTGCTTTGTAATTGCCCTATAATTTGGGGGGCAGGGGGAGATACTGCTTTGCAGATAGATTGAGACTCTGCAGTTGAATTTGTGCCCTTTTGCAAACTGGGGATGCTTTTCCATTGTTCCAGGGATAAGTCCTGGATAGAAGCAAAAGAGATGGGATCGTTCTTGAGTGTTGCCAAAGGCTCTGATGAACCACCCGTCTTTTTGGAGCTCCACTATAAGGGAAGCTGTGATGCCAGTGAGCCTTCAGTGGTGTTTGTTGGGAAAGGAATTACTTTTGATAGGTAAGTATTGTGCATACCTTTGGAAGCAAAATCTGAAAATCCAGTCAGGTGTTCTCTTTAATCAACAAAGAAAGAAGCAATCAGAGAACTGCCTTTTCTCCAAAGTACACATATTTCAGTTAGAGCTGTTGATTTATTTGCAGGGTTACTGGGTGATTAACCCTCTTTAATGATTAATCAGTTAGGTGATTCAACATTACTTTGACCCAGTATTGGGAAAACTAATCATCCAATAGTTAGCATAGATGTTGGTTTTATTTATTATAATTATATCCCCATTCACACATGTTAATCGCTCAACCTGAAGCGGTGACTTGCATGTGTGAAGACAGAATTTTTTGTATCGCCTGGAAATCAATTCTTTGTGTACTGCCCTGAGAACTTCTGGTTTTTGTTGTGTAGTTGAACGCAGGCAGTTATCTAGTATCTGCTTCCAGATTTTTCCTGCCAAGTTTGTGGACTTCATAGCACAGTGGGTAGGAGTAATCTGTGCCCTCGCATTCATGAAAGCCTCTTGGATTCAGCAGAGGCATCTGCCAGTAGAAGGTGGGAGTTGGATTTTATTAATTCCTGTCTTCTTTGTGACCCCACCAATCTGTTCCAGAGTCTTGGGGGACCCTTGGAACAGGAGAGGTGGTACAAGCAGCTGCAGGAGAAGGGGGGGATTTGTGAAAACAGCGTCCCACCCTCCTTCCATTCACAGATGCCTCTGCTGGATTTGTAAATGGAGGGACAACTGTACACAACACAATGCCATGTTTTCCATGGGTGTGCCTTTTTAGAAAGGGGAAAATGGTCATTTTCTATCAAAGGTATATTTGGGCAAGATGTGGGAAGGGAGGTGTTGGTAGTTGCAGCCATTTGCATTCAGAAATTGGAGCCTTCCGTTCACGCCTGGTTGTGGTAATCTCTGACCGCTTTTCTCCAGTGGCGGCATTTCCATCAAGCCGTCTGCCAACATGGATGCCATGAGAGCCGATATGGGAGGAGCAGCCACCATCTGCTCTGCCATTGTGACAGCTGCGGAACTGAAGTTGCCCATTAATTTAATCGGTAAGTGGAATAGGAGGAGCGGGTGAAGAATGCGTAAAAGGAGCCAGGCACAGAAAGACCCGTGGGGGTATTTGTGGGAATGTTTAGGGATGTGGGGGAGGATATATTGTCTAAGATATCCTATCCCAACTAGTCTACAAGTTCAACAAACTCAGCAGAGTTAACATTCCCCCTTTTTAAACACACGCACAGCAGATAGCTTGCTCAGACTCGTTAGAGTCTCTGTAAATATTTCCTGGTATTTTCCCCGTTTAATCCCTCCTAAAATAAAACGCTACGCAGTCTTCTGTAAAGTATAAAACATTTACTCACAAGTAATCATCTGTTCACACAAAGGTTCCCAGAAGGCAGACTTAAAAGGTTAGAACATAGTTTAAATGTGATGACTATCTCCTTATGGGAGAAAGCCCCCCTTTTCTTCTCTCGGCCTGGAGCAAAGGGTGCATCTTAGTAGTGCTGTTGTTAAGATGGCATTGATAGAGACAAGAGGAGACAAGATGGTCGCCAGCCTGTGCTTCTGGTTCTTTCTACTTCAGGAAAGGCTACGTCCATCTCAAGTTGCACATAGGAAGTTTCGTCTCAGTCCTGGAAAGGAGGAAGTTCCGGCTGGAGGACTGAGACAACCTTCATGTCTACTCTAGCAATGTTGTGTTTGACTGCACCTGATTCTTACATCCCACAGTATTTCAGTAACATGCTTTCGCAACATACTGTATATTGAGACGTGTGGTAGCTCCACCTAGCCCAGATTTTCTGCTCTGACTGGCAGTGTGACTCTCCAAGATCTTGGACAGAGAAGACATTCCCTGATCTGCTGTCTGGAGAGCCTGGGGTTGAGCGTAGGACCTCACGCACATGAACAAAGCACGCATTGGCTACCACAGATATGGTTCTTCCCTGAACCTTCCTGCAGCCTTGGTTTGCCCCATGGCTTCTTGCTTGTTCTCCAACCTCTCTGAAGTTTGTTAGGGGTGTTGAGTGCTGTTCAGTGACCCCTGTTCCCCTCGCAAAGGTAGAGTTTCTAGAGTGGTTTAATGTGGAACTCTTGGAACTGTAGATCTTTCATGGAAATAGGGGACCCCAAGCAACTCTCAGCTCCCTTAATGAACTGCGTTTCCCAGGATCCTTTGGGGGAAGAAGCCATGATGGTTTAAAGTGCCTTAAGTGTGTGGTACAGGTTGGGCCTCGGTTTCCAGTAACCTGGCACCAAAGGAAGAACACATCTTCTAAATAAAATGTCAGTACAGTCAAACCTCTATTTACCACCGTCTCTTCTTACGGTTGTTCCAAGTTGCGACTGCGGCAAGCCCAGAAGTAACCGGCGGGTGGGTTTGCCGCCATTCGCGCATGTGCAGGAGCGGCGATCACCGTTCGCACATGCGCAGAAGCGGGCAATTGCCGCCCGCGCCTGTGCACAACGGTGCCTCTCCCAGCGACCCGTTTCGACCTCCGGAATGGATTATGGTCGCAAATAGAGGTTCCACTGTAGTAGAAAAGGTTTCATCAAAGCTTTTGAGGTAAACCTTTAAAAACAGGATTACTAAGCTTTTAATAACAAACACCAAATAATGTCGGAGTGTGATGTCAGATTGCAACAGCAGTTGACTTTCCCCCCCCAATCTCAGGCTTGACACCCCTTTGTGAAAACATGCCCAGTGGGAAGGCAAACAAGCCTGGAGATGTCGTGAAGGCCATGAATGGGAAAACAATTCAGGTATGTTTTTAAGATGCTTGTGTAAGCAAAGGAGGTTTGAGCTGCATTTGGACTGGTGGTATCACATTAAGCTGAGCGAGACAATTAGTTTTTAATGCTCTCTTGTGCATTAAAAATTCAGCCCTTCTTGCAGTTGGAACTAGAGCAACAAGGAATGGGCTGGTTTCAACCCTTTCTCTCTGATGAGGTGAATTTCGTTTTAAAATTAGCAGTGAGTTTTTAGCGCAAAGGGATGCTGTAACAGAAGTTGCACCCAATCACATGCAGTCTAAATTGACTCGGTCCCCATTCGACCACCTCATTTTGCTTCCAAGGGCCCATGCTAGGAGCCCTTAGTAAAGGTAAAGGGACCCCTGACCATTAGGTCCAGTCGTGACCGACTCTGGGGTTGTGGTGCTCATCTCACTTTATTGGCCGAGGGAGCTTCTGGGTCATGTGGCCAGCATGACTAAGACGCTTCTGGCGAACCAGAGCAGCGCACGGAAACACCGTTTACCTTCCCGCCGGAGCGGTACATATTTATCTACTTGCACTTTGATGTGCTTTCGAACTGCTAGGTTGGCAGGAGCAGGGACAGAGCAACGGGAGTTCACCCTGTCATGGGGATTCGAACTGCCGACCTTCTGTGGTTTAGGCAAGTCCTAGGCTCTGTGGTTTAACCCACAGCGCCACCCGCGTCCCAGGAGCCCTTAGGCAAATTATTATTCCTCAGCCTCCCCTCCTCTCTCCATTCACGGTGTGAGTGGAAAACAATACTGGTGCTGGCCAACTTTATATGGCTACTGTCAGATTGCTAAGAGAGTATGTGTGAGGAGTCTTGAACGCTATAAAGGGCTATTGAAATGCTAAGCTATTGGCTGGTTAATTAATTTTTTATGACATATATTACTTTTAATTAAATCGTCAAAACCAGAGGCCTTCTTATTGGGAATCACAGGATCGGATATTCCTCCGAAGGCGAAATATATTTTTCTATATGCTACCGTTGCCGTGAGGATTTTAATTGCGAGTAATTGGAAAAGTGATAAAACCCCTTCGAGGTCAGAATGGCTACAGAAACTAGTAGAGTACGCAGAATTAGCCAAGTTAACTGAAAGAATTAAAGAGAAGTCCAAACAAGTATTTATTACAAAATGGGAACCTCTTAAAAACAACTGTGGAAGTCTAAACTCGGTCGCTGCTTTTGAATAACCTCTGTAGTTGTACTAAGTAAGAAATAAAGATACAGGAGAAATGATATTTTACTGTAAAATGAATAGATAAAGGTAAAGGGAACCCTGACCATTAGGTCCAGAGTCGTGGCCGACCCTGGGGTTGTGGCGCTCATCTTGCTTTATTGGCCAAGGGAGCCGGCATACAGCTTCCAGGTCATGTGGCCGTGCAGAGCAGTGCACGGAAACGGCGTTTACCTTCTTGCCGGAGCGGTACCTATTTATCTACTTGCACTTTGGCGTGCTTTCGAACTGCTAGGTGGGCAGGAGCAGGGACCGAGCAACGGGAGCTCACTCCGTCACGGGGATTCGAACTGCCAACCTTCTGATTGGCAAGTCCTAGGCTCTGTGGTTTAACCCACAGCACCACCCACGTCCCTTCAAAATAAATAGATAGGTTTATGCAGAAAGTTAGTAGACTATAAATGAAGTATGGAGAAGACGGGAAGTCAATGAATTACAAGAAGATTTATTGTCAATTATATAAATTTATCTTTTTTGGTTAATGGTGTAATTTGTAACAAATGACGTAAATACTCTTTTTTGTATTTTGTTGGTGTGTAAGAACAAATAAAGCAAAAAATAATAATCATTCTCTTATTTTGGGGGGTGTTCCTCATCTTGAAAGGTTGACAACACAGATGCAGAAGGAAGGTTGGTCCTGGCAGATGCTCTTTGCTATGCACACAGTTTTAATCCACGAGCCATTGTAGATGCTGCTACATTAACAGGTACCTGTTTTTATTTATTTCTTTGAAGTTTCTGGCTTCCACATTCAACTCCAGATGTGGAATAGTGTTGGGATGATCCCCAGACCATGCTAAACTAGTTTAGCGCTACATGTATGGTTTCAGCAAGCATAAAGTGCTTTGCCCGAGCCTCTTCTGGGGAGGATAAAACTTAAACACAATGCAGAATTGCCCCCAAATAGTCCAGAGGCCATTGTATTTCATCCAGCAGAGCTTTTACTGCTGCTGAAGGCAAATGAACATGATGGTCACAAATCCAGTACATTCAGGATTGGCACAGTCCATAAGAAATCCAGTTGCAGCACTTACAGTGAAACTTAACAATACTTATAATAAGACTAAACCTTAGCACTACAGCACACCAGAACAAAGAGATAGAAAGAGAAAGTGAGTGAGTAAAACCCAGGCTCCCTCTGGCCTGATTATTATAGTCAGCATGACCTTGACAGAAAGATAACAGAACCAGTTTAAAGCAGCTGTACTCAGCTTCCCAGAAGAAATAACCCAAACAAAAACCTTCTGCCTGTTTCTTTCACACTTTCTGTAACCCTCTTGAATTAAGTACAGTGAGAAGCACATCAGATCAGTACGAAGAAATGCAAACTGACAGTATCAGGCTCACGTTCTCCCATGTAGCCAAGAGGATTTATGCCAAGTTGACTTTCTTCAACAAATCTTGACTTAGCATTACTCACAGACCAAGAATCCTGGTTTAAAACAAAAGTTACTTAAACAAGCCAAGATTACAACCCATGATTAAGAGTGTTTGCAACTAAGCATTATTTGTTTTGAACTAGACTGTAGATAGGAATGCATTGCATCTTCAGGAACAAACCAAAGTCTGACACAATCCCATGTATAAATATGTAAGATTATGCCTTCTGTAGGTCATAGAAATGTGTTTAGAAGCAGAGAGCAAAAGAGATTGTTGTAACTCCCTATGAAATGATGGGTTAATAACTTGATCTGTGTAATATTGTATAGGTGCCATGGATATCGCACTAGGATCTGCAGCTACTGGGGTTTTCACCAATTCACACCAGCTGTGGAACTATCTGTATGAGGTATGTTTGCAGCACAGATGAACAGATGTGAAGATGGCTACTAACTTAAAGGGCTTTAAAGAAAGGACCAGTGTTAAAACTTAGGTCTACAGCTGTTGTTGGACTACAACTCCCATCATCTCTAGCCATCAGGACCAGCGGTCAGGGATGATGGGAGTTGTGGTCCCAGCTGAAGGTCCAAGTTTGAGAAGAAACTCTATTAGACCAATATTATTGGGAACCTGTCAACAACTGTTAACCACAAAAGCTGAAAAAATGGAACCTGTTTGGAAGGTTATAAACCTCTTGTGAACTAGGTGTTGAGAGCAAGCTCCCAGCTTCTTTTAGCCATTCCCAGAGTGTTGTGCTAGATTAATCTTTTCCTCCGTTACGTTTTACTAAGTTTCAGCATTCTAAACATATACAATCAAAACACAATTTTGTCTTTTCTGTTATTTTTATTGACTTCCCACCCCGTTTTCCATGGAGCTTTGTTTCTTTCCTTCGGCTACACACTATCTTCTATCAACTAATTCATAACCACAATATTATAATCTAATTACTTCTGTTGCTTATAGCTCAAGCATGCTCACATCATACTATATTCTTCCACAAGGCACTCAATATTAGATTTTCTTAATTTTGCTGTTATTTTTGCCAGTTCTGCATAGTCTATTATCTTACTTATCCATTCTTCTTTGGTTGGAACTTCTTCTTCCATTTTGTGCTAGATTAATCTTTTACCTGATGCACAAGGCCATTCTAAAATGCTATGCAAGAACCTTTTAATTGTGAAACATAATTATATTGCACTATAGTATTAATTACCATGCTCAGGTCTCTTTGATCCTGTCTCATTCATTGATGTCGTGGAGAAAATGGCAGCTAAAATCATTCTTAAATGTTGCTAAAAGTGTTTCTGTTTTTGCTGATGATTTTAATATTTCATTGTAAACTGCTTAGGTTTCATTACAACCAAGTAAATGGTTTATGCCCTTAAAGTGAAACAATCGTATATGTTGAAGTTTTTCATGCTACTGACTTCCTTTACTCACAAGGCATTTGCATTTGTAGGCTAGCATCTTGACAGGAGACCGTGTTTGGAGGATGCCTCTCTTTGAACATTATACAAAACAGATGACGGACTGTCAGCTTGCGGACATCAACAACCTTGGAAAATACAGGTAAAGGTAAAGGGACCCCTGACCATTAGGTCCAGTTGTGGCCGACTCTGGGGTTGCGGTGATCATCTCGCTTTACTGGCCGAGGGAGCCGGTGTACAGCTTCCGGGTCATGTGACCAGCATGACTAAGCCGCTTCTGCCGAACCAGAGCAGCACACAGAAACACCATTTACCTTCCCACCGGAGCGGTACCTATTTATCTACTTGCACTTTGCCGTGCTTTCAAACTGCTAGGTTGGCAGGAGCAGGGACCAAGCAACGGGAGCTCACCCCATCGTGGGGATTCAAACCACCGTGGGGATTCTGATTTGCAAGCCCTAGGCTCTGTGGTTTAGACCTGCAGCCAATCAGAAGCCGTGCTTTGTTTTCCGAATATTTTGGAAGTTGAATGGACTTCCGGAAACGATTCCATTCGACTTCCAAGGTACAACTGTAACTTGCAATCAGCCAATATTTTTTTTAAAAAAAAGATGTTTGAGGTGGGTTTGTAAATCATGGCTTGTGGTAACTATGGCCTGGCATCGTGATAAACCATAGTTACAGCTATTAACTCTGCTTCCGGAGGCTACTGTACCATGAAGATGAGAGTGTACTTACAAAGTTGAGTGCTGAGAGGAGAAAATCAAAGCAGGCAAACCAGTTTTTCTTTTGCACTTTTGGAAGCACAAGTTATGGTTTGAATTTGAAACTATTGCTGGTGCAAACCATGGTTTGATGATATGTCTGAATTGAGCCTCCTTGGTGCTGTACAGTTTAATTTATAATTCTTTACTCCTACAAGTAAACAGATAAAAGTAATCCACTCATATTTTATGTTTCTTTCCCATTAGATCTGGTGGCGCATGTACAGCTGCTGCATTCCTGAAAGAATTTGTGACCGCCCCTCATTGGGCTCACCTAGATATTGCAGGTGTGATGGGAAATAAAGATGAGATTCCCTACCTTCGTAAGGGCATGGCAGGACGGCCCACAAGGACTCTAGTAGAGTTTGTTGCTCAACTGAGTCAAGACAAGCAGGCATTCAGAAAATAGTTAGATGTTAAAATCAGTTTGAGTTAATTTCAAAACTGCTGAAGCAGTGTGTGTATTAATTAAGCAGGAAGGGAAAGAAAAATATCCACAACATGGATTTTTCAGCGTATTTCTAAATGCAGTGATGAACTGCAAATTTATTTTGTTAAAAAAAACCTTACTGAGCAAGGATCTCTTATACTTCCCTTTTTTATGATGAACAGACATACGAATATTCTGTTTAGACCTTTAATATTGAAGGAGAGATCACTTTGAACTATCATGTTTTGCAACTTGAATGGAAACTATAAAATTGTCACAATAAATATCTATTTGAAAACGTCTTGTTGTTCATACATTGGGAAGTGGGTTTTGGGAAGGATGCGTTTATAGGTGTTATATAATACGTGGGGGGTGGGGAGGAAAGACCTGTAGTGAGAATTTGTATCGGCATCCCTCACAAATCAACCAATTCCAAAAGGCACTGGCTTTTCCAATAATAGGTAAAGGTAAAGGGACCCCTGACCATAAGATCCAGTCGTGACCAACTCTGGGGTTGCGGCGCTCATCTCGCATTACTGGCCGAGGGAGCCGGCATATAGCTTCCGGGTCATGTGGCCAGCGTGACTAAGCCGCTTCTGGTGAACCAGAGCAGTGCACAGAAACGCCGTTTACCTTCCCGCCGGAGCGGTACCTATTTATCTCCTTGCACTTTGACGTGCTTTCAAACTGCTAGGTTGGCAGGAGCAGGGACCAAGCAATGGGAGCTCAGCCCGTCACGGGGATTCGAACCACCGACCTTCTGACTGGCAAGTCCTAGGCTCTGTGGTTTAACCTACAGTGCCACCTGCGTCCCTTTTCCAATAATAGGCCCAAGTAAAATTGGATTCCAGGATTCACATGACATCTTTAATAGATTTCCATAAGATACAGAGGGGAAACTGGTAGAGGACATGCTTTGTCTGCAGGTGGTTCCAGAATCAATCCATGGCACTTTGGCAAAAAACCCTCTGTTAATAGAGCTAAAAAATTCCTCTCTACCCAAGACTCTGGAGAGTAGCTTGCTAGTCTGAACGAACAGTACCTGTCTAGAAGGGCCAAGGATCTGAGCTTGAATAAGGCACTTTAATACACTAGTTCAACACTGGCAGAGTGGGCGCTTCTATTTTCTCAAAGATTCTTCTTTCCTCTGATCTCTAAATGGTTTGCATGTATCTACCTCATGAGTAAATCCTGGAATCTGTTGCCAGAAGCACCTGCTTTTATCTTGCTTGGTAAGGTATTGCAGCAGTCCAAGATAAAATACACCTAGTAGCTACAATTTTTGCCATTGAGCTCACAGTCAAATACTTCCATATCCGCATCATAACATGAATTGGCAGCCTGGCTCAGATCAGATATTATTTAATCTAAGGGCAAAGCGATGCACAATGTTGCATAAAGCCCCAAACTGCCAACTAGCTGCAACTCTCTGAGAAAGTGATTTTGGAACTGTGATGGTGGCTTTCACTGAAAATAAACTAGCTGCAGGGATAGAGACGAAAGCAAACTCAGTACTGGAAACATACTCTTATCATTACTCAGCGCTTTTAAGGAAGCGAACATATCATGGAATTAAAAATGACGTATTCAACACTGAAAAAAAAATGGATGGGATTTAAAATACGGATACTTGAAAGCTACTTGTAAGCCTGCCTTAGGTAAAGGTAAAGGTACCCCTGCCCGTACAGGCCAGTCATGTCTGACTCTAGGGTTGTGCGCCCATCTCACTTAAGAGGCCGGGGGCCAGCGATGTCCGGAGACACTTCCAGGTCACGTGGCCAGCATGACGAAGCTGCTCTGGCGAGCCAGCACCAGCGCAGCACACGGAAACGCCGTTTACCTTCCCGCTATAAAGCGGTACCTATTTATCTACTTGCACTTAGGAGTGCTTTCGAACTGCTAGGTGGGCAGGAGCTGGGACTGAAAGACGGGAGCTCACCCCGCCACGGGGATTCGAACCGCCGACCATACGATTGGCAAGCCCTAGGCACTGAGGTTTTCCCCACAGCGCCACTCGCATCCTAAGCCTGCCTTAGGACCAATTAAAATTATAATTATACTCTGCCATTTCCCCTTGCAGTGACTTATGGATAAAATAAGAACCTAGCTAAAACATGGATAAAGACCACACCATTCGCAAAAAACAATATAAGCATGAATAGAAATAAATATATATGGATTTAATTCTATTAATGTTTAATTTTTTTTAATGGTTAACTAGACCATGGGTAAAAACAACACCAATCACAAAAAACAATATAAGTATAAATAGAAATATAAAGATTTAATTCTATTAATGTTTAATTTTTAAAAATGATTTGTGGTTTTTTTTATATATGTGTGTATAAAACATTATAGATAATATATACTGTATTACAGTAATATATTAAGGATTTATACAGCCGTAAATTATTGATACATAACACCTAAGTCCAAATGCAAAGGTTCCAAGGCCCCGCCCCCTCTCCTTACGTCACCCCGCCCCGAGCGTCACCGCGTTCCCCAGTCGCGCCTGCGCACTGGCTGCTTCCGGCCTGCGCTCCGTTGCCATGGCGGCCGGCCTGAGCGGAATGTTCGGGAACCAGGGCCCGGTCCCTCCTCCTCCGCCGCCGCCGCCTCCTCCGCCCGTGGCCCCCGGTGTGTCGGGGCCAGCCGGCCTCCTCCCGCCGAACCCCGCGGGCCCGCGGAACCCCAACAGCACCCTCGTGGACGAGCTGGAGGCGTCTTTCGAGGTAGGCCGCGGCGGGCGGGAGCCGGAAGGTACCATGATTGTAAGGGGAGGGGGGGGTGAACGAAAGTGAGCGGGAGAGGGTCGTTGCCGTGTCCCTCCCTCGGACGGGGGAGCTCTTCGAACAAGAGGCCTTCCTAACCACAGAGACGAGGACAATGGTAAACAGAGCTTGTCTGTACTTCCGGTTCCTGTTTCAACAATCCCCCCCCCCTTTAATATGGACATGTTATTGCTGTTTCGTTGTTTAGTCGTGGCCGACTCTTCGTGACCGCCTGGACCAGAGCACGCCAGGCCCTCCTGTCTTCCACTGCCTCCCACAGTTTGGTCAGACTCATGCTGGTAGCTTCGAGAACACTGTCCAACCATCTCGTCCTCTGTCATCCCCTTCTCCTTGTGCCCTCCATCTTTCCCAACATCAGGGTCTTTTCCAGGGAGTCTTCTCTTCTCATGAGGTGGCCGAAGTATTGGAGCCTCAGCTTCACGATCTGTCCTTCCAGTGAGCACTCAGGGCTGATTTCCCTAAGAATGGAGAGGTTTGATCTTGCTGTCCATGGCACTCTCAAGAGTCTCCTCCAGCACCATAATTCAAAAGCATCCATTCTTCGGCGATCAGCCTTCTTTATGGTCCAGCTCTCACTTCCATACATCACTACTGGGAAAACCATGGCTTTAACTATACGGACCTTTGTTGGCAAGGTGATGTCTCTGCTTTTTAAGACGCTGTCTAGGTTTGTCATTGCTTTTCTCCCAAGAAGCAGGTGTCTTTTAATTTCGTGGCTGCTGTCACCATCAGCAGTGATCATGGAGCCCAAGAAAGTAAAATCTCTCACTGCCTCCATTTCTTCCCCTTCTATTTGCCAGGAGGTGATGGGACATAAACTTTCAAAAACTGTAGACTTGGACATGTCCTGTGTGCAGAGCAGCTTTCGGGTATTGGAGGATTTTTTCCCTTTGTCAAATCCCAAGAGCCAGAAGGGAATCTTGCCCGTGCAAATCCTAAAAACGCTCTTTCTAGCTCAGGTCTTCTATGCTTTTTCTAATCCAGGCCTCATTAACGTCTGACATTATACATTTTAAGGATGATACGTTGTTATTGTTGCACATTTTAGTTTTTAATTTTTTTAAAAATTGGGTTTTATAAACAAGAATAATGCTATACAAATAAGTAGACCAAGTTTTCCCATGTCATTTGTATATCACAAAAATAGCATAATAAATGTGGGAAGATATCCACAACATATGTTTCATTATTAGTGGTCAATGTATAAGTTCTTGGTTCATGAATTGGTGTAAACAATTAGGAAGAAGAAAAAAAAGGGGAAAGTGCTCTGCCAAAGCAAACACGTGATCACTTTGCAGTGTGCGCCGCTTGACGCACGGCTCTGCAGTGTTAACTTTCCAGGGGGACAGCTGTTCTGGCCTGTTGCTGCCAAAACAACCAGCTGTCTTCAGAACAGACTAATGTTTGTAAGCTTTGAAGCAGGGTGTCTCAAAGTTGGGCCCCCAGCTGTTGTTGGACTACAACTCCTAGCATCCTGGACCGCTTGTCCTGCCAGCTAAGGATGATGGGAGCCCTAGTTTGAGAAACACTGCAAGGCGCCACAAGACCCTTATATGTAATCACACCCTGTTAACTTTTCAGGTATGGAGTTGAGGCTGCGGCTCCTTTGGACTCCTAGCCAAAAATCCTCCATTCACGCACATTTGATCTCTTTACGACAGTGACGGCCAAACTTGGCCCTCCAGCTGTTTCGGGACTACAATTCCCATCATCCCTGACCACTGGCCAGCTAAGTATGATGGGAGTTGTAGTCCAACAACAGCTGGGGACCCAAGTTTGAGATACACTGCAAGGCGCCATAAGACCCTTATATGTAATCACACCCTGTTAACTTTTCAGGTTTGGAGGCTGTGGCTCCTAGCCAAAAATCCTCCATGCACGGACATTTGCAAAGCTAAGCGGGGGCTGTTTGGGTTCCATATTGGATTGAGGACCGCTTGTTGAGATTTCCGCACTGCAGGGGATTGGACTAGATGACCCTTGGGGTGCCTTTCAGCGTAGTAAAAAATGAGAAAAGGAATCATTGCTTGCAACACAGCCTGGATTTTTGGGTGACCTTTAAAGTCCCTGCTGGCCACTGTTACTATTGGCACAGAGTGGCATTGATCTGAGATCTGCTGCTTTGTGCTGGGAAGTTGTCAAACCAGTTTTGGATGGGCAGTAGCCAGAAGGGTCATAGTAGTGGAGTGTGTTTCTAGACTCTAGCATTTGTTTCTACAATGGAGCAGCCCTCCCTCCAGGGCAAGGCATGGCCAAACTTGGCCCTCCAGCTGTTTTGGGACTACAATTCCCATCATCCCTGACCACTGGTCCTGTTAGCTAGGAATGATGGGAGTTGTAGTCCCAAAACAGCTGGAGGGCCAAGTTTGGCCATGCCTGCTCTAGAACCTTTAACAAGAAGTGTGCTCTTGCCTATCAGATATTTATTGTATCCAGTCCTGCTTGGTTGTCGAAACCAAAAGTGTTTATATGGTTATACAGTGGTACCTCGGTTTACTAACTTAATCCGTTCCGGAAATCCGTTCTTAAACCGAAACCGTTCTTAAACCAAGACGCTCTTTCCCTAATGAGGTCTCCCGGTGCCCTTCCACCATTCAGCTTCCGTTCTTACACCGAGGTAAAGTTCGCAAACTGGGACACTTTCCGGTTTTGTGGAGTTCGTAAACCGAATAGTTCGTAAACAGGGCTGTTCTTAAACCGGGGTACCACTGTAGTATCTATTAGCCCTGAAGATTCAGTTGGATCTCACAATACTATATTTCATGGCCCCTTCCCCCCTTCACCCCCCCCTTTCTATATACTTGTGTTTATAAAGTCGCAGTTGATGTCATTAAGGCAGATATAAATCTCTGTCAGTCGAGGAGAAAGATTTTTCATTTATTGGCGTGTGAAATAAAAGCCCACGAGTTTTTTCGTAGAAAGCAAAAATGCATTTAATGGTTCAGCATTGCTCATGGGAAACAAGCGGAAGCTGTATACCCATAATGGCATGTGCACTGTGAATGTCCTTCTGTTTCTAGTAATTGCTTTTATATATTTCTCTAATTACCCAGGCTTGCTTTGCTTCTCTCGTGAGTCAAGATTATGTCAATGGTACAGACCAGGAAGAAATTAGAACTGGTAAGCCTATACCTCCATCTTCATTTTAACTTAGATTTTGTTTTATTTTGCTGCTTTAGTTTTTATCTCTTGTTGCTTTTTTATGATGTCGCTTGGTTAAATGGTTTTTAAATTGTAAGTTTTTTTGAGAGTCCTCTGGACTAAGCCAACCAATTAGTAATTGCTTAAGGTAAAATAAATTAGATTATGCAAAATCAGTAGGGCTGGAAAGTTATTCACTTGGTGTTTCCCAAACCATTGGTAGCTAGACCGCATCTGGTGCTCCCAATTAGAAGCATATTTTACTTGAGCACATTTTACTGATTATCTTACAGGAGAGCTCCATCAGGGAATCCTGTTGGATATTTATTATTGCCCTTGGGATGATGCTCATACTTACATATTGACATTCTGGGGGACAAAGATTGGTAGATGCATCTGATATGCATTGGCTTAAGTTTAAGATGTTGTTTAGTCCTCTTTGTGATACAGTTTAAGAATCATGGTGCTACTGTGCATTTAAACTCCATCACTTGAATTCTATACAGGTAAAATTTCTTATGCATGTGGTAAAATCACACCTGTGATTTCTATTCAAAAACTGAAGGATTCTTTTTTCTCTCATCAGAATTTTTTTTTAATTACCTTTTTCACATAACTCTTTTGTTAAAATGGTTGTATTTTAGCAGACTATGTATACAACATGCAAAATCAAGATTCCTATGTATTCTTTATCAGGCCACTGCCTGACTTTGAACATTCTATTTTTTCCCTTTTAAAAAAAAAAAGTCAAAACCATGAACTACTTTATGCAAACCTCATTGTTGCAAGTTTTTAAGAATGCAGTATTTTAGCCAAAAAAATTCACTTTGCTCGTATCACAGCCTGGTCCGTAACTGGTTTGTAAAATTATGAATATTCAATTTTCCTGTGGAATAACTTTGAAATCTTGTTGCTCTCTCTGCGTATTAGGCGTTGACCAGTGTATCCAGAAATTTTTAGATGTTGCACGGCAAACAGAATGCTTTTTCTTACAAAAAAGGCTGCAGTTATGTGTCCAGAAACCAGAGCAAGTAATTAAAGAGGTACGTGCCAGATTTTTCTCTAGGCTTGAAACATGATATCTAAATCTATACACAGAGGTATGACTGATACTTTGGTCTTTGATTCATTCATTTAGTTCAGTCTTAAATGGATAAAAATAATTTAATAAATACAATGGAGTTAAATCCACATAGGGACGCGGGTGGCGCTGTGGGTTAAACCACAGAGCTTAGGACTTGCCGATCAGAAGGTCGCGGTTCTTATCCCCGCAACGGGATGAGCTCCCATTGTTCGGTCCCTGCTCCTGCCAACCTGGCAGTTTGAAAGCATGTCAAAGTGCAAGTAGATAAATAGGTACCACTCCGGTGGGAAGGTAAACGGCGTTTCCGTGCGCTGCTCTCGTTCGCCAGAAGCGGCTTAGTCATGCTGGCCACATGACCCGGAAGCTGTACACCAGCTCCCTTGGCCAATAAAGCGAGGTGAGCGCCACAACCCCAGTGTCGGTCACGACTGGACCTAATGGTCAGGGGTCCCTTTACCTTTGAATCCACATACAGTTTACTTGGCCAGTAACAGACAGATGAAGGTTTTTTTCCTGTCCAAACAATCTCATCACTGTATGTGTTCAGATTAGTGCAGCACAATCCTGACCATAATTTCCACAGCAGTAAGTCCTGTTGAATTCAGTGGGCTTACTCTCAGGTATGTGGGGTTAGGAGTGCCGTTTTAGGGAACATTTGCCTTGTGTAGTAGTTTTAGAACTGCTGGGGGAAATGAATCAACTGCAAAATTTGCAGAAAACCTCGGTTAGAGCGTGTTGAAAATTTGTTGTTGGGCCTGCATCCTGAGGAGCATAATTTTAACTCTGTGACCACACGAAAACAATTTATGTTTTAATCAACTCTTAGCAGGCAGGCGCTGCTTTAAAGTTGCAAGGTATGCATTCCAATATAGTTCATCATAGTTCTTGATGGTAAGAAAAGGACAAATGTTCATTTTGTGTGGAGAGTTAAGTGTAATTGCAGAGCAGCTGAGCTGAGCATCAAGAATGCCCATGGTCCCCATTTTGCCTCTGCCATGGTCTCAGTGTTGTAAAGATAACTGCAGGAATATGGGCAAAGTGCACTAAATACTCAAGATATTATATATGTGCTTGGGGGGGAGGAAACATAACTGGATGTTGGAAAACACTGCCTTGCTCCAAGCACCCATCCTGTATGTGTCTTGTCCTCCTTCCCTTTTTCAGAGCATTGCCCAAAGGTTGAAAGTCTGTTTCAGAGTCATTAAAAGCGCACTTAAATAGTAACTCGTACAGAGGAAGAGATTGACACTTATCAAAATCCCTGTAAGAAATGCATTGCCCAGAGAGGGAAATAGATGTTACTTTTTCTTTTGAAACTTGCATCGTACGAATATTTAAAAAGAATATAACCTCTTGTGACAACAGAAAGGATAGCTTGCTGTGAGAATTATTTCTTCAGTTGCATAGGAACAGATCTTACATAAAAGAGATTCCTTGTTGCTTGTAATTTCCTGTGTACCTGTCTCTCCTGTAGGATGTTTCAGAGCTGAGAAATGAACTGCAGAGGAAGGAAGCACTAATTCAGAAGCACTTGGGTAAACTGCGACACTGGCAGCAGGTTCTGGAAGACATCAATGTCCAGCACAAAAAGCCTGCTGAAATGCCTCAAGGATCCTTGGCGTATCTAGAGCAGGCGTCGGCTAACATTCCTGCACCGCTCAAGCAAACGTAAACAACGCAATGGACTTCCTTTTGTCTGTACGGTGCAATTTCATATGGATATTTTTTAGGTGACGACAAGAAGCATAATGAAATGATGATAAAGCCATTTGCCCTTGCAGGGCTCAGAATGGGGCCTTGGTTTAGGTTTTGTACTTTTATTAATCACCTGGCCCAACAAATTACATATGGAGCAGACTCAAAGCAAGCATATCTCTGAGCTGTTAAAATGCTTTCTGCTGAAGAAACGACAAATAGGTGTTTTTGAGCTATCACATGGGTAGTTTTGTCGTAGTAATGAATAAGTGTGTTTTTATTTTTAAAACTCCCAAACTTCACAGGTAGTGTGCCATGTGCCCAAAATATAGTGGCTGATCTGTGGAACAAAATATTGGCTGAAATTCAGAGGGTTACTTCAGGCATGCAGTTTGGGGCTAGTGCTTTTGAAATTTGCATTGGTGGTCAGTGGGGAAGGGGAAGGGGCTCTGCTGAAAACAGTAGCTGAGCCTTTGGATGTGCTCAAAATAGCCTTTTGGGTCGCTGCTCCTGGTCCTAGGGCTACTGCCTCTTTTCATGGTATAAGAAATTCAACAAAGGGCTCTACAGCACATAATCTTATTTTTTATGTTCCTTCTGCCTAAGGGAGGAGAATCAGAGTGGCCACTTTATTATTATTATTTTATTTTACAACCTCAATTGCTTTCTTAATGCCTGCCATCACAGCTTCCTACGTATTTTTCTTTTGTGTCTCAAGCCATGTCTTTTCCTTTTGTCCCTGGAAGCATGTTGCTCTAAATTATCTCTTCAAAACAGCATCAGCGTTGCTGTTCAAGGTTCCTGTTTTATAATGTAAGAACAGAAAATACTCATGACATGTATGTAGCTAGGCACAATTTCTTTAATTCCATGGATCTGACTATAAATCAAAAACTACTTTCTCTAGTTTGAATCAACAAAATGTTAATAAAACCACACATGGGGGAAAATAGTGTACTTAGTTTTATTTTGATAGCATCACCAAATGAGTTTTAGGTAATGTTCATTTTTTATTTTGATCACGTAACAGTAAGTTTGTTTTATATATACAAAGCACCCTCGGCTTATTTTATTCAGAAAATTGTTTGGCTTTCTTTCAAGTACACTGTTTTGCTTCAGACATTTCCCAAATATTCTGGTTCCAAATGGGTTTGGCAATCTGACATAGTATATTGACATTGCTGGCTGAAATTGTAGGTGTTCTTGAATTTGCTTCTTGAAAACTGAACAGTTTGAACACTAACACTTGGCTTTTATGCTGTATGTATTTAAATGCGACAATCCAAATAATGCAGACGTTCTGAAGTTAGCTTGATTTAATGTTAAGGTAAAGACAATAGAAGAACGCTATTTCCTAACCGAGGAAAAACATGTTTTGTAATCTGTCGCTAATGGCCACAGATGCACCATGAAATATTAGCATCCAAAGAACCATAAAGCTGTTGGTGGATAAGCCTTTGGCCTGATCCAACTGGACCCTTCATATATTCTTATGATATAGAGATACAGTCATACCTCGTGTTGCGTCCGCTTCACGTTGCGTCTTTTCGTGTTACGTCCTGCAGCAACCCGGAAGTACCAGAACAGGTTACTTCTGGGTTTTGCCGCTCGCGCATTCAAATACATATAACTTAACTTCTTGTCCTATGTTGCTTTCTTTGTTTACTGTGCTACCTAAATGTGTTTTTAGTGTTTTGGGTTGTAATTCTTTTATAAGCTGCTCTGGGAATCCTATTGAACTGAAGCGGATTAGAAATAAAACATTAAGAGGGGTCTTAAATTAACATAAATAAAATAGTATATACATGAAGATTGGTCATCCATATAAAAAGCACTTATTTATTTATGGTAATATTTCAACCATATGTTGTTTGTTTTAAAAATCATGTTAATTTCCTGCTGTGTCAAATCAAATTTAATGGTTCTCTCACTAACAAACCTCGTGAGTTTATGGTCCTTGTGTTATCTTGCTTATCTTACTCTGCAAAGCACTATATAAATAATTAACATCAACAGTACTATCCGTGTAGGATATTCTATAAATAGTTTCTCTCAGAAAGAGAAGTATTTCGTAAACCACTCCTGATGGCGAGGGTCCGGTTTCTGAGCATCTTTGGGTTCTGATGTTTCATTACTTTGCAGCCTGAAGAGAAAAAAAAATTCAAAGAAAGATATGAGTCGAAAATGAATTGGAAGATACGAGTAATCAGAGGTAGCTGTAACTGGTACTCTGTGTAACTGGCATTACTATGTATTGTTGCCTGTGAACTGGTAATCAGATGGAAGAGAGAAGTTTGCATTTTGAGTCCTGGCCACAGTTATGAGTAGAAGAAGAAATGGCTGCAGAGGGCAAGATTCCTCCCTCTATTCCAAAATAACGCTCTATTCCTAACTGCCAGTTGCCCCGGGACTTCAAAATCAGAAAGGAAGTGTATGCCGGGCACATCTCTTGACAAAGAGGGCTGTTTTTTAAAATGAACACCGACACAATATTGTTGCAATCTTGTAAGCCAATTTAGGGACCATACAATCAAAAGGCAAGGCAACTCATCAAAATACATGCGTAAACAAGGACTGGAAGAAGGGTTTGGCAACTCAAGATATTCCACAAAGCAGTCCAGCTCCACCAGGTTCGCTTTGGCTTGATGTTCAAGCTACTGTACGTTGAAATATTCCAGAGAGCAAATCCCGTGAAATGAAGAAGGTACGCTGAATGTTCAGCTTGTCTTCAAAAATGACGCAAGAAATACAGACATGAGGTTTTACTAAAGCAGCTTTAATATAATCTGTTTTCTGTCAGCAACTTCATACTCACTGACATCTTTATTTGAATTTTGTATTCTCAAAATATGTAATATATCTGTGCATACAGCAGGAGCTAAGAAATAAATTCTGCCACATCAAACCACTATCCCCGTCAAAAAAATCTTATACCAGGAATTATCTTGATCTAAAACTCCACCACTAATGGTTCCCAAATATTGCATAGGTTGTAATCTTGCTACCTCCTATTTGTTAAAAGATACTGCTGTTTGCATAGGCCTTAAGTTACACTTAAGAGTTACACTCTTGTCTATACTGACTTCCATTGATTTCAGGAAGTCTACTCAGAGCATGACATAATTGCTTGTGCCCATTTCTTCATATAGGTCACATAATATAAAACACCCATAAAGGTCAGTCCTAGCACTTCAGAGCTCGCGTGAGTCTCTAGGAAGTTGCTATGGTGAGGAAGACCCAAACTCTCAACACTCACACAAACCTTGTGTGGTTTGGGGACGGTAGCCATTAAACAGGTGCTAAACAAGCCTATTTTGCTGGGAAACATGTCTTTCTAAATAAGCTGACAAACTTTGTGACTATTTCGTTTCCTTTATTCCTGTTTACTCTCTCATCATCGTTTCTATTCTTTCCCAACATTCTAGAGCTCCACTTGGTATTCTGCAACAGATTCTAGGCACTGCTGAACTCATTTTATAGGAAGTAACATTTTTGATCTTGACCACACGACTCATTTTAGAGAGCATAGAATCTTAAGAGTTGGAAAGGACCCAAGGGTCATCTAGTCCAACCCCCTGTGATGCAGGAATCTCAGATAAACCATCTGTGACAGATGGCCATCCGACATTGCTTAAATACCTCCAAGGAAGGGGAGTCCACAACCTCCAAAGGGAGCTCAGATCAGAATGATGTTTTGTTATTGATGAAGTCTAAGAATACTTTGGTTAAATGAACACTAGTGACTCAGAAGTAAATACCAATGGGTTCAATAGGGCTTTACTTCCAGGAGGAATGGTATAGGATTGGAGCTTCATTATACAGGATCACAGCTTTCTCCCCGTAAGTACAGACTGATGACTTACCTTGGGGCTGGCTTGGTCTCCAAGGCTTGTACTGATGGATAGCACACTCTGACACAGCCAGGATTCTGATCCAAACTTGTAGATTTTGTAATCTGAGGTGGATTTCTCTTAGGCCTTAAGTCACCACTCAGAAAGCTTTTTGCATAGGAAGCTAAATTCGGAACGCTGACAATGCGGCTGGGAGCTTCATTCATTTTCTTCTTCTGCTTTATGAGGAGAACAGAATTGCGTATCTCATTATTATTAATATTTAATACCATGAATTAATATACCGCCCTATACCCAGAGGTCTTAGGGCAGTTCGCAGAATAAAACAAAAATATAAAACCACAAGCAAAATAAAAACAACAACCCAATAACACCGCCCCCCTGCAAAAATCCCCACATTTTAAAAGAGCATAGGATGTCAATCAAGTCAACCAAAGGCCTGGTTAAAAAAGAATGTTTTTGCCTGCACCTAAAGTGTATAATGAAGGCGCCAGGCAAACTTCCCTGGGGAGAGCATTCCACATGCGGGGAGCCACTGCAGAAAAGGCCCTGTTCTCGTGTTGCCACCCTCCGGACCTCTTGAGGAGGAGGCACACGAAGAAGGGCCTCAGAAGATGATATCAGCGTCTGGGTAGGTTCATATGGAAAATGGTGGTCCTTGAGGTATTGCGGTCCTGAGCTGTTTAAGGCTTTATAGGTCAAAACCAGCACTTTGAATTGGGCCCAGAAACTAATTGGTAGACAGTGCAGTTGGACCAGGACTGGTGTAATATGCCCAAACCGTCTTGCTCTGGTGAGCAACCTGGCTGCTGAATAGCTAGTGTCTCTAAACTGTCTTCAGACGCAGCCCTTGTTTCCTTGTACCTTATGCTTTCTTGTCATTGAATATTATTAAAATAGGTTGTACCCTCTCCTCGAACCCACCTTCACTGCTCAGAATGTAATAACGTTCAAGCACATACGTTCTTCAGCAATATTTACAACAGCCCAAGAAAGTAGGTCAGTTTTATCATTCCCCATACAGCAGATGTGAGATTAAGGCTGGGAAACTTGCCAAAGACTACCTCATGAGTTCATGGCTGAGGGAAGATTGGACTTGGGGACTTCCCAGCTGACAGTATTTATTGGTTTCACCGGTATAGAGACAGAGGCCTGACATTGTAAAATAAACTTAATGAGTTGCATGCAAAGTTAACTTAGGTCCATTAATGTCAGTGGCTCTGCTCAGAATAAAACTTCATTTGCTAACAACCCACAATGTGTATAATTCTTTATTGCCTGGCATTAGGCATATACCATAGCAAAATATGGCTATGAATCCATAACTATTGGGTTGCACCCAATCTAATCACTCTGTGAAAGGAAAGAGATATATGCTCAGAAAACAGGCAGTTGGCTGCAGCTATATGCAATTAATATCCAATGCTACTCAAACTCATTGTCTGTTGATTTCAAGGGAAAGTATCACCCATGGCCTTTAATATTATCTAGGCATTTAATCATTTAATAGACTTTTGTTTGTATTACCTTTGCAATAGGAGTCAAACACGTAGTGGGGTTTGTGTTAAAAGAAAAGGACCGGTTGCGACATGGTTCTGTACTGGGCAAAAGTGAATGTTGAAGTTTGCTTCCGTCCTGTCAAGGAAAAAACACGTGCTGGTTATATAGATCATCAGCTTGAATATTATTTTAGAGCACTTAAATCAAAACCCCTGATGAAGTCTGAACCAAAAAATAAACACAGTCTGAAATGATTAATCGTGTCCTCCCTTAAAGAGGGCACGTGTTGCGGTGAGACCTGGCAACCAAACCCTGTGTTGTGGGTGGGTACGTTTGGATAGCCACAACATTCGGTTGGTAGGTCCCTTGATGCAGGGTTCAATCAGGCCAATGGGATGCAGGCTAAACGGATCAAGGGACCTATATATACCTATGCACGTGACCCAGAGCTTCCTCTTTTGGTGCATGCATTGGAACAACCGCCCACCTCTCCCTATATTAAGGGCTGTGCACTTGACCTTGCTATGCCGTCGTGTGTCGTCTATCGTTGGGACAGGGGCATGGCAGGAATTTTCCCCACTTGGCTGATTGGCTGGTGCCATTTGGGTTTTGCCTGCCGCGTAGCAAATCGTCACAACTTGTAAGGTTGCGGATAGGCTCTGGTTCAGGTGATAGGGATGGGAGAACGCTCTCACCATCCCTATGTGAAGGGTATTCCGTTAAAGGAATCCAGGGACTCAATGGTTTGGTCAACCCTTGTGAGGGGGTTGTGCCCGTGCCTGAGTCCAGGGGGGCATCTGGGTGGCAGAGATAGCCTGTTCCCGGCTTCCCGCCTATCCAGGTGTTCACCTTAAGCTGACCTATGCTGGTGCCCTGGGTCAGCGCTACCTGCAACGGTGCAGGGAGCTAGTTGAACCAGAGCCTATGCAACCAGTCACTTTCTGTAATCAATAAAGTTGTGGCCTAAATTCTGCCAAAAACCAAACCAAAATTTGAGTCTTGTGTGAATTTATTTAAGGGGGAGGTTTAAAGGTCTGAACTCGCAAATCCTGAATGAGAGTGGGGCAAACTGATAACAGAAATACAGAGCTGGGTGTTGAATGGAAAATTGAGGAGCACAGATTATTGCCTTCAAGTACACAGCTGGGCCTGTTGCCTGGGGGTTAACAGAGGAGATCTATTCCTTCTCTCCTTCCCCCACTTTTCCATCATTCCTCTGGGCAAGAGTAACCTCTGGAGTGAAGAAGGAGGCAACTGGGTGGATGGGTATACAGGAAGTGTACACTGTATGAGTGGGATGGTGCAAAATGGGACCAGCTGAGCCCTTTGTCAATTCTTCCTATAGGAGGATGGCTCATGCCTGAAATTAATATAATTATGTTGGGGGTAGAGGGCGGAAATAGTGTTATTCTGAAACTGGAAAATCTTTCCAAAATCTTTTGTCTTGATCACTATGAATAATAATAATAATAATAATAATAATAATAATAATAATAATAATAATTTTTTATTTATACCCTGCCCTTCCTGGTTCAAAAACCGGGAACAGGGCGGCTAACAACAAATTGAAAACACTTTAAAACACTTAATTATAAAAGCAGCATAAAATACGGTATAAAAAACATGAATAACAATAAAAATCAAAAATAAATTAGATAATCCCCAGGGCTAGCTGGCTGAATTGGTCCTACTTGGGCTAGCGAGGAGGCCAGGGGAGAATTAGCTGTGGGGTCTCGGAGCGGGTGATCTTCATAAAAGGGGAGGGGGAGGGAAGAGAAGGGAAATAAAAGATCAGGCTGAATTCAAATTAAAGGCCAGGCGGAATAGCTCTGTCTTACAGGTCCGACGGAAGGAGGTTAAATCCTGCAGGGCCCTGGTCTCATGGGACAGAGCATTCCACCAGGTCGGAGTCATCACTGAGAAGGCCCTGGCCCTGGTGGAGGATAGTCTGACTTCCTTAGGGCCCGAGACCTCTAAACTATGGTTATTCATGGACCTTAAGGTCCTCTGCGGGGCAGACCAGGAGAGGTGGTCCCATAGATACGAGGGTCCTAAGCCACAAACGGCTTTAAAGGTCAAGACCAGAATATCATTGTGCTGAAGTTTGAAGTTGTTTGGGGTTGTGGCCCAGCCAAAGGTCAACGTTTAAGGGCCTTTGATTTCAATGTGAAAGATTTAAGCAACTGCTTCAATGCTTCCACTGAAATTAAGGGGACTTGAAAAGTGCTCACCCTTGACCAGGTCCTACCTATTCTCCTTCCCATGGCCAGTATCCACGTGAAATTCTGAAGATGGAAAAAAATGGGAGAATATGAAATAAGCAGCTTATTTGAGTTTTAACACCTGTGGGGATTCCTCCCTCTCACTTCTCCGAATAACTCTAAAAAATTAAGATTGTTGTGTTGTTTGCAAGCAGGGCATTCAAAGTAATGTAAAGTTGTTATGGAAAGGAAGGGGAAAAAACATATCCAAAGCAATACCTTTCCTCACCACCTTTTGGAAAATAGCTGCTTTATAGCATGTACTGTGAGTATTTTCTGGATAAAATCTCACCATTAATTCCTTGATCATCTCTTCTTTTTCATGTAATTTATCCCGTAGGCAGCCTATAAGATGTAGGTCTTCCAGCCTAGGCTCCCTCTTTCGCTCCCTCTCTTCTAATTCTTTAAGTCTGTTTCAATTACAGGATGAAAAGCACTTGAGGAAGATCGCAGAATGCAAACACAAAGTTACATATTATCAAAAATCACCATATATTAACATCTTCACTAGTCCAACACATATTGCACACTTATGCACGTAGAGCCACATACTGGTTTTCCAAGGAGACAATCTTCGCATGAAGTAGGCCTTGTGAACTACTGAAATCAGACATCATGCTTTGAATCTCCTTGCGGTGTTCTTGTTCCAAGACGTCAATTTCCCTTTTATGTATGATTTTAAGGTCCTCTTCCAATAACCTTAAATGGGGATATCAAAATGTATAATAAAAATAAATATCGAGGACACAATTGTTCAACATGCTGTAATGGCTTGAAAATGAAATATGAAACATTCCATAGATCAATTGAGATTTCATGAAGTATGATTGACATTTCATTTCACAGCTAAACTATGCAATGAAATGTTCAGGCAGCAGCACATTGTGTGGGGGGGGAAAAGGCTCTTCATTTGGAGAAGGGGAACTGAGCATTAGCTCAGCAATGCTTCTCTACTGCTGCAGTCACACTGGCTGTGGGTGATCTACACAAAGAAAACTGCCAAGACGGAGCGAATCTTTGAAAACTAGAGTGTTGTGAAGGAAAGTAGAAACACATTTGCTTCCTTCTTCCTGTTCTTCCACATCTCACTTCACATCACGTTTGAATATAGGTTTGGGGTGGCTCATGGGAAGTGATTCATAAAATAAACAATAGGTCTCGTTTCAAATGTATAATAATAATAATAATAATAATAATTATTATTATTATTATTATTATTATTATTATTATTATTATTATTATTATTTATTACTTAGACCCCACCCATCTGGCTGGGTTTCCCCAGCCACCCTGGGCGGCTTCCAACAGGAGATTAAAAATACATTAAAACATCAGTCATTAAAAACTTTCCTAAACAGGGCTGCCTTCAGATGTCTTCTAAATGTCAGATAGTTGTTTATTTCTTTTTAAAATATTTTTATTAACAATTTCAACATACAAACTATCTAAACATATCATATTCATTATTTTTTTTCCCTTACCCCCCCTTCAAACCTTCCCCCCGATACTTCCCTCAGCTCCTCTCTCTGATTTCTCAGCACATATTATTCTCTGCATGTTATAAAATTATCTATCTATCATGTTATCAACCAATAAATTTGTGTATGTTTATTCAAACCCTGCCAATGTGTCCAGTTCATTTTGTTGTCTTTTTAGGTAATTTGTAAAAAGCTCCCATTCTTCCTGAAAGTCACAGTTGTCCTTGTCCCACTGTTTGTATGTCAATTTAGCCAGTTCTGCATAACTCATCAGTTTTTCTTGCCACTGTTCTTTCGCTGGGATTTCTTCATTCTTCCATTGATAGCTGTTTATTTCTTTGACATCTGATGGGAGGGCATTCCACAATATTCTCTCCCTCACACAGGACAAGTCTCTGCACCGGGGCTTGTCAATCTCCCTGGTGTGGGAGAAGTGAATTTTCTTATTGGACAAAATATGGCAAACTGGAGATACCACTAAGTAGGAAGAAGGAGGCACAGGTGCTCACACTTTCTATTCCCTTTCCACCACTATCATATCTGAATTGCATCAAGAGTGAATATAAACATTGGCCTCTACTGATCCTATCATAATTTCCAGACGTTTGATACAAAGGGAGATCCAAAATAACCAGTTTGATATACACCAGCAATGAGTGTCCAGGGTGCTAGATGGCTGACTGGGAGCGGCCGCCAGGACCACATAACACTAAAAGATCTACATTAGCTCCCAGTACATTTCCAAGCACAATGTGTTGGTGCCAACCTTGAAAGCCCTCAATGGCTTTGGCCCTATATACCTGAAGGAGCGTCTCTGCCCCCATCATTTATCCCAGACACAGTGGTCCATCTCAGAGGGCCTTCTGGCGGTTCCCTCCCTGCGAGAAGCGAGGTTACAGGGAACCAGGCAGAGGGCCTTCTCGGTAGTGGCACCCGCCCTGTGGAACAACCTCCCATCAGATGTCAAGGAGATGATCAGTAGAATGTTGGGTACCTGGTGGGCGGGGCTTGTGTGTTCTGCTCTGGAATAAGCCCATCCCCTTCTGTGTGTTCAGTTAAGAAGGACCAATTGCCATTTCTTTTCTTGCCTCAGACTTGCCTCACGTTGTTGTATTTCGTTTCTCCTATTATGTTATTTCATTACAGTCTTCTTTATCATTAAAGCTTGGTTTACATTTACATGAGCCACTTATTTTTCTCAAAGAAAAAAAAAACTCTGCTGAGGAAAGGTGTGGAATATCCTAAACTTGGGTGAGTCAGGGGATATTCCCAGTTTGCCAGGAGGACTGATTTTGTTAACTTAGTGGAAAAGTAAGAAATCAAGGTAACAATCTTTTTATAAAAGAATGGAAATGGTTTATGGAATATTTACAAATAAATTGTAAACGGATAAGAACATTGGCAGGATTACTGTAATAACCTGCAGTTTTATAAGAGTATATATTTGAAGTAGATGAATAAATGAGCAAATTAAGTTAATTTGGATATGCAGAAAATATTAAAAATAAATTTAAGGAACCGCAGAAAAAGGGGGAAGGAAGGCAATGTTTGAAATGTTTAAATGATTGTAATATTATTGAAATGTATAAAATTGAAAATCATAAAAAAATGTTAATCATCCCCCCATATCCACAACAGGGCCTTCTCAGTAGTGGCACCTGCCCCGTGGAACACCCTCCCATCAGATGTCAAAGAGATAAACAATTATACAACTTTCTGTAGACATCTGAAGGCAGCCCTGTTTTGGGAAGCATTTAATATTTGCTGTTTTGGGTGGGGTACAAGAAATATATTACTACTGCTGCTACTACTATTGGTGTGATAGGCCAAAGTCTTACCTCATTCCACACAAAGGACTTTCAGCTAGGCCTAAGGCCACATAGTCCTACTCCCACTCATCTAATGTCCTACCTCAACAATGGCGGTTGGGGACTAGATAGTATTCCTGAAATTTAGGGGGTGGATTGGGCCCTAGGGTGAAAGTGGCAAAATATCAGTGGCAAACCTTCTTTGTTGGCTCTCCTTGTCTTGAAGCTGTGCAGACGTTTGTTTCTGTCGTTCCACTTCTACGGTCAGAAGATCCATTGTGTCCTTAAGAAGGACATTCTCATTTTTGAGCCCAGAATTTTCATGCTGACATTTTTCCAGTTCATCTTTAAGAGACTTCATCTGATTCTGGCAATTTTCTTCCTAAGAAAAATAGCAAAAACTGAGGTTTTGCACATTATGGATGTGGACAATAACATTCCATTTAGAAAATGCAGAAAAAGATAAAGATCTGTTTCGGGGGTCTTTTGCTGAGTAACAGAAAACAGCTGCACATGCCTATTCAACATGTAGCTGTATGAAATTCCCCCTCCCCAGAGCTTGCGTCTCTAAATCAGGGGTAGCCATGATGTCCTCTACATATGTTGTTGGTCTACATCCGCTATCATCCCTGGCCACTGGTCATACTGATGGGAGTTGTAGCTAAGAAACATACAGTGGGCACGACATTGGCTACCCCTGCTTTAAATTATCAGGTATATTCAATGATTCCACAGCAGTGCAGAAAAGGGTGTGGTAATGGACACAGAAGTCCGCTTCCTGAGAATTTGAGCTTTCATTTAGCAAAAAAAAGCAGACGGTTAGCCCTTATGGAAGTGATGGTCAGGCTTGAAAATGTGACTGCAGGCAATCACTGGCAAAATCCTTTTAGAGCTGCTACATTAAATTTATAGTGCTTAGCGTTCTCTATGGCTTGTTGACTCACGCAGTGGCAGCACCAGAAAAATATATCTAGGGGAGCCATAAGGGACAAAGTATACTTCTAGGAGGGACGCGGGTAGCGCTGTGGGTTAAACCACAGATCCTAGGACTTGCCGATCAGAACATCGGCGGTTTGAATCCCCGCGACGGGGTGAGCTCCCGTTGCTCGGTCCCTGCTCCTGCCAACCTAGCAGTTCGAAAGCACAAAGTGCAAGTAGATAAATAGGTACCGCTCTGGCGGGAAGGTAAACGGTGTTTCCATGCGCTGCTCTGGTTCGCCAGAAGCAGTTTAGTCATGCTGGCCACATGACCCAGAAGCTGTACGCTGGCTCCCTCGGCCAATAAAGCGAGAAGAGCACCGAAACCCCAGAGTTGTTCATGACTGGACCTCATGGTCAGGGGTCCCTTTACCTTTTTATACTTCTAGGGGGTGATATGTGTGCCACATGTTAAGATATTTGAGAGAAATATAACAGTATATGTTAATGACAGGAGCCCAGCAATGGGGGTGAAAGGGAAGGCAGGCATGTTTGGGGGAGATTTGCCCCCTGCTCTCCATGGTGCTGGCTATCCCTGAATACCCAAACACCCCAAAAAGCACTATGTAAAATAGCAAAAGAGATCCCACAAATTTGTTTCAATTGCATAATGTATACAGGCTATAATATATCTGGATTACCAATGGTTTTTATGGATGGTTTTTATGATTTTATTGTCTCAAACTATGCCAATAAAGGCTGAATGAATGAATGAGTATACAGGCTAGAGAATTCTGCTCTTGATGCAGAATCTGGGAGACTGGTGTAAAATTTAACACAAGTGCATGTGGAAACAATCCCAAAGTACTGTCAACAGTGGCAAGCTTATTATAATACACAGTAAATATAAAGTACACTGATGGGCTTTTGAACTGAGAACTCTGTACCAAAAAAAACAAAACAAAACAGTAGAAGCCATTTAAAATCTTGAACAGGATTTGTTGCAACTGATCAAGAGTAGTTTATTTGTGGCATCTGGTCAATAGTAGAGAAATAAGAAGTTTACCTGCTGCCTCTTCGCAGTCATCATAGCCTTCAGTTCCTCTTGGAGATCTTCCTTTTCTTTATTCTTTATCTGTTGCTCAGACAGCTCCCTTCTCAGAGATTCTAGAAACAAACGCAAACATGTGAAAAAAATGCAGGAAAGCTCTTCTGAAACAGGGAGAAGCTTTGAGGTACTAGTATCCTAGTAAGTGCTAAATGGACACCAAAGGAGCAGAGAACAATGTTATGTACACATGTGCATGTGTACATAGAATCAAAGAATTTGAGAGTTGGAAGGAATCCCAAGGGTCATCTAGTCCAACCCCTGCAGTGCAGCAACACGTGGCGCAGTTTAGTGAACCCAGACGGCTATGTGCATCCAAACACACCTCTGTATCGATGCTGGCTGAGTGAAGCTTGTTTCTGCACATAGATCTCTCTGTATCAGGACAATTACCGTATTTTTCACTCCATAAGACGCACCTAGTTTTTAGAGGGGGAAAGCAAGAAAAAATATATTCTGCGCAGAGCTTTTCTTGCTTTAAACCCTTCCATCCCGCCTCCCGCTTCACTGAGAAGCCAGCAGAGCAAGCTGTGCAGCTCTCGCTGAAGCCAGCAGAGCAAGAGCGATAGCTGCGTAGCGCCTCTTCTGCTGGCTTCCTAGCAAAGCGGGATGAGGGACGGAAGGGAGCCCTTACAAGGGAGCAGTGAGCAGAGCTTGTATGCATCCCAGATGCGAATGCAGGCAGGAGGCTCTGCTCAGCGCTCCCTTTAAAGAGAAGTGCGGAGCGTGTGTGAAGCTCTTGGGGGTTTTCCGCGAGGTGGGAGAAGGGACTGACAGGCTGCCCTTCTCTCTCCTCGGGGAAAAGCCCCCAAGAGCCACACGCTCCACGCGGCTCTTGAAAGGGAGCGCTGAGCAGAGCCTCCCGCCTGCATTCGCTCCATAAGATGCACACACATTTCCCCTTACTTTTTAGGAGGGAAAAAGTGCATCTTATGGAGCGAAAAATACGGTATATTAGGGCTGCACCCATTATTATTATGATGGGGGGGTAATTCTACTAAACAACAGCTGCCCTTTGGAGGCTAAGCCTTTTCTCCAAAGTCACTGGGCTTCCTTGAGGCCACTTGTTTGCTGTATAATTGTCGTCCCTCCCTCTCTTGCCAACTGGGAGATAATCCGCCTGCCGTACATCACAATGCAGACCCGCTCCTGAAAACTGGTGGTTGCCACTTGCGAAAGGAGGCAGCGCATTTGCATTCTTGTTCACGTGGCCCCGAAAGGTGGCTGAAATGGAGAAGAGGGCTTTTCTGCATGGACAGAAGATTTTGTAACAGGGGAAAAAAGGACCCCACCCCCAATTCCGACGATTTATTGACTTGCATAGTTGTAGTTATTATTCACAGACAATTGGCATTTAAAACAACAACAGCAGCTTCATCAGAGAACCGTTCTGGGGCCTATTCTCACAAGCACTTGAACATATTGTGTGAAAAACTTGCCCAAGGTGCTACTTGATCCATAGTAAGCAGCCACTTCCAACAATTTCCACATGGAAACTTTGGCAACTGTTGTGTGTTAAGAAGAAGAAGAAGTGGGGAAATGGATGCTTCTTAGCATGGCAGAGAGCCAAACCTTCCATGTGGCAATAGTTGGAAGTGGCAGCTTTCCATGGATCAGGTACCATCATGGGCAGGTTTCATTAGTTAAGTCCATTAATTTCAGTGGGTCTACTCTGAGTAAAACTTAGTTGAATACAACCCAAGGGAAACAATTGAGTGAATAATTGTCAAGTCCCCTAGTCATTACTAAAGTGACTTGTTTAATGTTGTACCTATCAGCAGTGACTGTGGCTTCTGTATCCTCTCAAGTTTGCTCTCCAATTCTTCTCTCGCCTTCTCTTCCAATGCCTGCATTTCCAGGCTGTGTGTCTGCTGTTGGATATTGAAGCCGTCGTTATATTTCTGCTTCCAGGACTCCTCTGCTTCCTGCAAACAAGGAAAAATTCAAGCCTTTAAACTCCTGTTGTAAGTGGAAGTGTTGACTGATCATGGATTTTTAGCGATGGAATGTTTAAATTCGAACTTTGTTGGCTCAATCCTTTTGGTTCTCAAGTTTACCCAAATAACCCAAGTCTATTCTAGTTTACTCTTCTGTAACGGTTGTGGATTTCTGTTTTCAGATTAGTGGTCTTACAGCCCTTGATTTGGAGAGAGTCAGATGGATTTGATTTGATGCCATTGATTCAATCCTGAGTTGCTGAGAGAGGATTTGCTTCACAGACCTCTCAGCCTTTTAACTGTGGTTAAGATCAGACCCAACCATGTCTGCACTAGCCTTTTCTTGCACTGGTTAGTTAGGAGGAGATTGGTTTGGAGAAACCAGGAAAGATCAATAAGGCAGCAATCCTCCATCCATTTACTTAAGAGCAAGCCCCAGTGATTTCCACAGCATTCTGAGTAGACATGTAAAGGAATACACTGTAAACCATCCACATCTCTCAGATCCAAATTCTTTTATGTATGTATGTCGCTCGCTTTCATGTCCATCTCTATTCAAAAACACAACTGCCATGCCCAGAAGCTGGGGGAACATTTATCTGCTGTGACTTTGATCCTCAAATGGTTAAGGCTCGGAATAAAGGAAAATACTGTATTTTCGCTCTATAAGATGTACTTTTTCCCTCCTAAAGAGTAAGGGGAAATGTGTGTGCATCTTATGGAGCGAATGAAGGCTGCGCTGCTATCCCAGAAGCCAGAAAAGCGAGAGGAATCTCTGCGCAGCGCTCCCTCTTGCTGTTCTAGCTTCTGACTTAGCCCCTCTGTCCCTTCCCCCACCTCCTGGAAAAGCCCCCAAGAGCCGCGCTTCCTTTAAAGAGCCGTGCGGAGCGTGTGTGCGGCTCTTGGGGGCTTTTCCCGAGGAGGGAGAAGGGCAGCCCATCAGTGACAGGCTGCCCTTCTCCCTCCTGGGGGAAAAGTCCCCAAGAGCCACACACACGCTCCGCGCGGCTCATGAAAGGGAGCGATGAGTAGCCTGGGATGCAGACAGGCTCTGCTCAGCACTCCCTTTAAAGAATATTCTTTTCCTTGCATTTCCCTTCTAAAAACTAGGTGCCTCTTATGGAGCAAAAAATACGGTAAATCAGCACTGCCAGTACAAATCTAACCTCAAGCTCTTGATTTTTGCTTTTCTCCAGGAGATTTATGGCTCTTTGGTGAGACACCTCCAGCTGCACTTTAGCATCTTGGCTTTGCTTAATGGTGTCCTGAAGATCTTGCAGAAGCTTTTCTCTCTCCTTGCTGGACAGTAGCTCCTGTTCTTCGAGGGCTTCCCTGAAAGCATTTGCTTGCTGTTCTAAAGCTTCCTTCAGCTGCGCAACCTTCAATTATTAGAATCCAACAAGACACAGTCATTAACCACAGCAGTTACCTCCCATCACAAGCCCGTTCAGAGAACAACTTTTTCAAAAGAAAATATCCTTTATTATTCTTTGAAAATGTATTCTCAGATAAGCTAGGCTTACTTGCTTCTACCAGCCTTAAAAGGTAAAGGGACCCCTGACCATTAGGTCCAGTCGCGGATGACTCTGGGGTTGCGGCGCTCATCTCGCTTTATTGGTCAAGGGAGCCGGCGTACAGCTTCCGGGTCATGTGGCCAGCATGACTAAGCCGCTTCTGGCAAACCAGATCAGCGCATGGAAATGCCGTTTACCTTCCCGCCGGAGTGGTACCTATTTGTCTACTTGCACTTTGACGTGCTTTCGAACTGCTAGGTTGGCAGGAGCTGGGAACGAGCAACGGGAGCTCACCCCGTCACAGGGATTTGAACCGCCGACCTTCTGATCAGCAAGCCCTAGGCTCTGTGGTTTAGACCACAGCGCCACCCGCATTACATGACACATCCCCTTTTCCATCTGTGTTCAACTCTCCACGTAGCAATGAAGCCAAGTTAACCTGAAAGTTTCTCTCCATGAGCAAAAGAGATCACTGCTTGGAGCATCCTCTCGTAGCCAAAATGGAGAGGTGCCTGCCACGTTCTTATGCTCCATGGATCCTGCCTATTCTACAAGGAGCTTGGGGCAATGTATTAGATCTTATTCCATTTTTGTCCTTGCAAAAGCTCTAGATGTAAGTTCAGCTGAAAGCTGATGAGTCATCATTTGCAGCTGATCTCAGATCTGACAAGGGTCTTTCTTTAACTTGTAGAGGCAGACTTCTATGTGCGACACAATTATAGCGCGGCTGAAGGCACAGGGCTTTTGGTCCCATCGCTGAGGTTTACTGTCATTTCTATATGCACTGGGCTGAGTTTTACATATGTAGCTGGCCTGCTGTTCAAAGGAATGCATTTGTCATGAAATAGCAATACAGAATTCGCCACTGTACTTGAGCTTGCAATTCTGTCTTTTGGTAGTACCATTCCTCTTGCAAAGCTTGTATTTCTTTGGCCTTCTCCTTCTGGAAACCGGCAACGGTATGCCTGACTTCTCTTTTTGGTGCACCTCCAGAGTCCAACCTTGAAGAAAGAGTATTTGTTGCATTACGAAAAGAATACCAGTATCTTCCGACACAATAATTACCAGACTTGAAGTTTACAGTCTTTAGGGTGGATTAGGACTCCCACCCCACTAAATACCTTGACTTATCTTCATTTTTGGCACCAGAAGGAGCTGCTGGCTGTTCTCTGCCTTTTGCTCTCTCTTTATGTTGTTTGGCGATGTCTTTCTGTTTTACAAATGCGTCCTGGGACTAAACAATAAATGCCAAGATAAAGCTTCAGTTAGGATGTTATCGTACATACTAAGCCTTCTCTCCCAAGTTTTTCAAATGCAGTATAATAAATCATGTCCCCCCCCCATTACTACACACCCTCCCCGCATTACCATTTTCCCTCTCAGAATGTATGTGGGGAGGGGGAATATTCTCAAAGAACTAGGTTGACATTTCAAAGGCAGTGTGGCCAGTTAATAATAATAATAATAATAATAATAATAATAATATTTTATTTATATCCCGCCCTCCCCAGCCAAAGCCGGGCTCAGAGCAGCTAACAACAATAAAAGTAGCACAGCATTCTAAAATCAATTCATTTTAAAATTAATTCAAAATCAAATTAATGGCAACCATTGGGCTAGAGTTCTGTGAGGAGTACTGAAGGAGGGAGTCAGACTGTGCCTTGGCCAAAGGCCTGGTGGAACAGCTCCGTCTTGCAGGCCCTGCGGAAAGATGTCAAGTCCCGCAGGGCCCTAGTCTCTTGTGACAGAACGTTCCACCAGATTGGGGCCACGGCCGAAAAAGCCCTGGCTCTGGTTGAGGCCAGCCTAACCTCCCTGTGGCCCGGGATCTCCAAGATGTTTTCGTTTGAAGACCGTAAGGTCCTCCATGGGACACACCAGGAGAGGCGGTCCCGTAGGTACGAGGGTCCTAGGCCGTATATTGAAATGGAAGTGCCACTTTTTCCCAGCCTACTGCTGTTGCTGACTGTCAATCCCTTTCCACCCACTTGCCTCAACTTTGTGACATGCGGAAGCTTTTTGCCACATCCCTTTGATCAGTTTTAGGGGTGGTGGGGAAGAAATCAGTGCAGCCCTTTGAGCATAAATACCTCAGGGTTCTGCCGTATGAGTCTCCATGGCTCAGTTCTCCAAAACTTTCTTTGGTCTGCATTCCCCTCTCCCTGACACCCCACAGACCAGAATAAAAATGACCGCAACCATCTGACTTGTCAGACACACATGGGTTGACAGAATCAAATGCGGTTTCCTTAATTTAGTCAGGCACATAGCCAAATATTTAGCTTAAAATTACACTGGAAAGAGGTAGGGGAATCATGAACACAAACTAAACACGTAAGTCATCTGAGCCAACATTATCCATCCAATTTCAACCGTCTCGTTGAAAACAATTTTCATTTTTGTTGGGCTGGAGAGACTCATGGATACTTTCACTCAGCGCTATTTTTCTAGAAAAAGAGGTGCCAGAACTCACCACAAATGCTTCCCTTGTTCTCTTATAATGGCAATGATGCCCACCTGAGAAGTGCCAGAACTGAGTTCCAGCTTTGAAAAGCCCTGCTTTTACTATGGTATCCATGCCCGGGATACCAAATCACTTATCACAGGAAACAGAATGGGAAGCCCCAGAGACGTGCTTCTTAAGGCTTCGGCGAATGTCCCGTCAAGTTAATCTGTAAGCTCAGGGAAGCTATCCAACCCAACTGAGCAAATTTCAGGCAGCCATCTGTTGACATACCCTTTTCAGACCACGGACCCATCTTTATCCAGTACAGACATCACAGGACCACACTCAATTTTGATGCCCTTAAGTAAGTTGATGTCAGGATCAGGGCAGAGGAGGAGGAGTGGTGAAGACTGCCTCCCCATCCTGACCCTTTGGGCGGGGGCAGGGAGAGGGAGAGGAAGACAGTATAGTGTTATGTACTGAGTTGAATAGGATCCAAAATGAAGCAGTCTGATTGGTCCTAGAACAATAGGATCCAGAATGCAGCAGTCTGATTGGTCCACAGGAGCCACCCAGTCCAGCTCCAGGTGGAAGTGAATCCGCAACCTGACTGGCCTACAGGAGAATCCAGGAATTAGCCAATCACATGGGGCCCATTGTGTAAATAATGTATATAAAGCAGGCATTCTAGGGGAACTTCCATTCCTCCTCACCACTATGAGCTGAATAAAGAGCATGAAATCCACTCTCGACTCCGAGTACAGTGGTACATCGGGTTGCATACGCTTCAGGTTACATACGCTTCAGGTTACAGACTCGCTAACCCAGAAATAGTACCTTGGGTTAAGAACTTTGCTTCAGGATGAGAACAGAAATCACGCGGCGGCAGCGGGAGGCCCCATTAGCTAAAGCGGTGCTTCAGGTTAAGAACAGTTTCAGGTTAAGAACAGACTTCCGGAACGAATTAAGTACTTAACCCGAGGTACCACTGTATATTTCATATAGATTTACAACAGTGGTTTGCGGGAGGTTACAGCTCAGAGGCAGATAAGGGGGAAAGTTGGGAAATAATGGGAGAGGAGGAGCAGGCAGAGCCAGAACTGCAGCTGGCTGACACGTTGTCACTAGAAAGCACCCCAGACCCACCATCTCCCAGAACCCGGCGAGCCTTAAAAGTAAAGAGCTTGATGACAAAGGGCACTTAGTGGCACCCGCAGAGGATATGACGATGACAAATGAGGAAGTGTGAGAGAAGGAGGGGTTGGAGATTCGCTCAGGACAATGCCATTATCCAAGAGGCTGGGTTCTATGGCCTCTCCCTGTAAATTTGAAATAAAAAAGGACCATGAGAAACTTTTCCTTGTCTTTAGACTTCCCTGGGCAACCAGCCGGGACCCGCTGACAGCACCATGACATTCTATATTGGTATGCTATTACCATAAAACTTTTATTCACTTGTTCATAAATATTAGAATTGCAACAGCAGTGAGATTGTTGCCAGACATCCATAGCAAGCATATTACTATTGGTCTTGGCTAAATTTCCCAGACTAAGCAAGGTTATCCAAGCCACTGTGATTTATTTATTTATTTATTTATTTATTTGAAAACCTATAACCTGCTGTTTCATAAAATACAAGGAGGCGGCTTACAGCAATAAAACCAGTCTGTAAATATCCATAAAATATAATTTAATACACCAATAAAACATGCTCATTTGGACATCTCCAGTAGTCTGAGGGTACTCCTGGATCTATCACTGTTGACTGAGGCTCAGGTGGGCTTGAAGTGCCTCCGACCAACTTTCAGTTGCTAAGACAGTGATGGCCATTCTTGGGCTGTGAGAGCTTGCCTACTGCGGTCCTGAAATTAGTAATCTCAAAACTGGATTTCTGCAACGTGGATCTTCTCTTGGGCTTAATCTGGCAGCTGCAGCCAAATGCAGCAACCAGGATCTTGACCAGGGCACCCCACCGACACCAGAGAACACCTCAGCTATGGGAGCTGCATTGGCTGACAATATGCTACCATGGACAGTTCAAGTTTCTGGGTTCAGCATTTAAAGCCCTAATCAACTTGGGATCAACTAAAGGTAAAGGGACCCCTGACCATTAGGTCCAGTTATGGCAGACTCTGGGGTTGCGGTGCTCATCTCGCTTTATTGACCGAGGGAGCCGGCATACAGCTTCCGGGTCATGTGGCCAGCATGACTAAGTTCTGGCGAACTAGAGCAGCACACAGAAACACCGTTTACCTTCCCGCCGGAGCAGTACCTATTTATCTACTTGCACTTTGACGTGCTTTCGAACTGCTAGGTTGGCAGGAGCAGGGACCGAGCAACGGGAGCTCACCCCGTCGCAGGGATTCGAACCGCCGACCTTCTGATCGGCAAGTCCTAGGCTCTGTGGTTTAACCCACAGCTCCATCCCTGCCCGGCATTTTCTTCTTCTTTCCCTGTTTGGAGCCACTGTGCAAAAGGCGATATAGAAATAAGCTGCATGTATAAATAAAGCAATGAAACAAATCAAGAAAAGGAAAGATGGTATTTCCTTTTCACCGGCAGTCCCAATTCTGATCACGCAAGAGAAAAATAAACAAATCCAGAGAGGAAGGGTGCTTATTTCCTTTCAAAATTAGCCTAGAAAGCTGCTGATAGTTGTTACCCTCCTCTGTTTGTGTAGGTGTGAAGCACATAAATGTTAAAGCACCCCCTGGGTGCCTCTCCTCCTCCTGAGCTCTGATAATGAAGTGAGCGGAAGTTGCACAGAATAACTTTAAAGCAAAATGTTAGGGATTAACAGTTCACATTTCCCTCGTTTAAAGGGGGAAAAGCTTTCATCTCAGATCCTGCAAATAAAACATTTATGGAGAATACTAAGCATCTGAACTCCAGTTGTGCTTTTGTAGGTTAAGAAGGTACCAGGGGAGGAATCAATGATTGAAAATACTCTGAATGCCAACAGAAAGATCAAATTAGCTGGGTACAAATTAATTGAGCAAGCTCAGCTAAGCCTGGAGGCAGGCAGTGTTAGAGAAATAGCTGCTTGTGGTGCGTTTACTCATTTCACTTTTGTCTCTGGTAAACTGGCTTTGCAGGTTTTTATATGGTTTCAAAAACTTGCAAAGCGCGTTTGACCAGAGGTCTCTGCTTAAAAAGCAGAGACATCACCTTGCCAACAAAGGTCCGTATAGTTAAAGCTATGGTTTTCCCAGTAGTGATGTATGGAAGTGAGAGCTGGACCATAAAGAAGGCTGATAGCCGAAGAATGGATGCTTTTGAATTATGGTGCTGGAAGAGACTCTTGAGAGTCCCATGGACTGCAAAAAGATAAAACCTATCCATTCTTAAGGAAATCAGCCCTGAGTGCTCACTGGAAGGACAGATCCTGAAGCTGAGGCTCCAATACTTGGGCCACCTCATGAGAAGAAGAGACTCCCTGGAAAAGACCCTGATGTTGGGAAAGATGGAGGGCACAAGGAGAAGGGGACGACAGAGGACGAGATGGTTGGATAGTGTTCTCGAAGCTGCCAGCATGAGTTTGACCAAATTGCGGGAGGCAGTGGAAGACAGGGGTGCCTGGCGTGCTCTGGTCCATGGGGGCATGAAGAGTCGGACACGACTAAACGACTAAACAACAACAATAGAGGGCCAACACAAATGTGTGTGTCTGTGTCTATGTCTCTGTGTGTCTGAGCTGGGCAGGAAATATCTGTCTGGTGGACCACTGTCTACCTGTGCCTCTTCCACGGAAAAGGGAAACCACTTTGTCAAGCGCCCACTCTTACATTGAACTGCGTGTGAAAATTATGAGTGACAGTTCATTGTGACAACACAATGTTAGCTGGAAACTTGGATCTGTGCGAACAGGCAGTGGGAGCTGCTGTTCCTTAACAGCCATTTTTGCTCATTAATTGGCACCTAGTTTGCCAGTTAGCTTTCAGCTTTGCTGACTTTGTTATGCCATTAAAGAGGCACAAGACATTTTGCTACGTGAGGTGGAACAGCAAATGCCCCTCGCACAAGTCATAGAGCACAATACCCAAGGCCAACAATGTTATCCTGGCATCTGCAGCCTAGTATTTCTGAAGCACCTCTCTCTCCTCTTGGCCATAAAAATACAATACTAAATTAAGTAACTGACAACTTTTTGCTCTTTCATGATGCACAAGATCAGCTGCCAGAGGAGGCATGTGAAGAATGGCTTCTGTTGATGACCTTAGGGTGTTCCATTAGGTCCCAAGTGTGTAGGGTTTTTATAGGTCAGAACCAGCACCCAGAACTGGATTTGGAAATAATCTGGAAGTCAGTGCAAATGAGAAAGTCCCTTTCTTGTTCCTCTGCCTTGCAATAGTTAAAAGTGAATTATCCTGAAATGTTGCTGTGCCTGATGTTGTTGTGAGCTACTTTAAGCATGGTTTGCCAAAGAAAAGAGGCATTACAACTTAGCTGGAACTGGAAACTCTTATTCCACCTTTTCTCCTCCCTGCAGTGAGTTTCCTCAACACTTATTAGAATAATGGACCTTCTTTAGGAAAGTTGTATTGTATTAAGCAAGTATCTGGCAAAGTATCAGCAAGAGTGACTGGGTATTTAAAAAATGACCTGAATTATAACAACTTTAGCTGTAACATTTTTGTCTATTCCACATAGGCTGAATTTGGTGTTGGGCCAAAACGTGCCTTACGCAGGCAAGGAAGTTATTTTTAGTTTACAGTTGTGCCCAAGTTAGAACTGCATTGCTGAGAGCATGCCGCTTCAACTGGGAAGAAGAAACTAAAGCCTGTTTCATTTCACTGCTCTCAGCTGGGACTCACACTGTCAGCAAAATGCACACTGTCCTATATGCTCTGTAGAGGCCCTTCCAGTTGTGACATTTGAAAGAATAGCAAATTCTTCATTGCTTATGCTGCTCTCTCTCATAACTTGAATGGTACCCTGCTTTTGGGTTGTGCTGCCAAGAAGCTATGGCTTCCCATAGAAATGACACTAACAATGCAAACAATGCTGGACAGCATCTTAAAAAGCAGAGACATCACCTTGCCAACAAAGGTCCGTATAGTTAAAGCTATGGTTTTCCCAGTAGTGATGTATGGAAGTGAGAGCTGGACCATAAAGAAGGCTGATCGCCGAAGAATTGATGCTTTTGAATTATGGTGCTGGAGGAGACTCTTGAGAGTCCCATGGACTGCAAGAAGATCAAACTCTCCATTCTGAAGGAAATCAGCCCTGAGTGCTCACTGGAAGGACAGATCCTGAAGCTGAGGCTCCAGTACTTTGGCCACCTCATGAGAAGAGAAGACTCCCTGGAAAAGACCCTGATGCTGGGAAAGATGGAGGGCACAAGGAGAAGGGGACGACAGAGGACGAGATGGTTGGACAGTGTTCTCGAAGCTACCAGCATGAGTTTGACCAAACTGCGGGAGGCAGTGGAAGACAGGAGTGCCTGGCGTGCTCTGGTCCATGGGGTCACGAAGAGTCGGACATGACTAAATGATTAAACAACAACAAATGCAAACTGTGCTTTTCCAAAGGCAAATATTTCAATCTAATGGCTCTAACAGGATGTGATGAAAGGCAACAATCTGATCAGCCACGTCTGTAGGCACTGCTAGGTCTTCCAGAGACAACTTCTTTCTCCTCAAGGAGCTTCCACACAACAGTTTACTGTTGATTCGTGGCTGCTCACAGACACAAGAGTCACCCAGTGTCTGCATGACATTGTCCTCATCAAAATGCTATTCCATATTATTTTCTCACTTCTTCAATGGTTACGGTTTCTGCAGAAATCCAGAAGGTAAAAACAATGATGGAAATGGCACATTTGGATTAAACGGGAGAGGGGAGAGAATATGAGATGGCATTTTGATAAAGATGTCATCAGCTAGAATAGATGCTGCACAAAACTTTCATGCATGAGAAGTCCACAATAAATGCCATGTGGAAGAACCTAAAGTTGCCAGGATACAACCTGAAGATCAGCTCTACCACTTTGAACTAAATCACTTTATCACTTTAAAACCTGGAGCCACAGATGTTAGAATTCCTGCTCCATGATTGCAGTCATAGGATTGTAGTCTTTCACATGATGGTGTATGTTTTGACTCCACAGAGTGGGAAGTGACGGAAACAGGATGTTTGTGTTACTGTGTTCCATGAAGTGGGACTATTGTCCTTTGTTCTTTTTCCTCTTGGCTGTCTGATGCTAGAGAGAGAGGGAGCCATGTTGCAGTGCTCCGGGTGTGTTTATATGTACATAAAGTAAATTAGCACAAATGCTGAGTTGCTGAGGTCTGTTATGCAAGTTGCGCAAACTCTGCGGATCTCTAAGAGCGCGGGTGTTGGTTGGCATCGGTCGCTGTGATGTTTGGGCTGAAGAAAGCTTTTGAAGCTCCCGAACGATCGACCAGGAGGGAGAGAACATGCCAGTCATTATCAGCTCCATCTGGTACGCAGGCTGAGACCCTCCCTGCCCGCAGACTGTCTCACCAGACTGGTGCATGCTCTAGTTATCTCTCGCTTGGACTACTGCAACGCGCTCTATGTGGGGCTACCTTTTAAGGTGACCCAGAAACTACAACTAATCCAGAATGCGGCAGCTAGACTGGTGACTGGGAGTGGCCGCCGAGACCATATAACACTGTTCTTGAAAGACCTACACTGGCTCCCAGTACGTTTCCGAGCACAATTCAAAGTGTTGGTGCTGACCTTTACAACCCTAAACGGCCTCGGTCCAGATACCTGAAGGAGCGTCTCCACCTCCATCGTCCAGCCCGGACACTGAGGTCCAGCTCCGAGGGCTTTCTGGCAGTTCCCTCGCTACGAGAAGCCAAGTTACAGGGAACCAGGCAGAGGGCCTTCTCGGTAGTGGCACCCGCCCTGTGGAACACCCTCCCACCAGATGTCAAAGAGAAGAACAACTTCCTGACTTTTAGAAGACATCTGAAGGCAGCCCTGTTTATGGAAGTTTTTAATGGCTGATTTTTTATTGTATTTTTAATATTTTGTTGGAAGCCGCCCAGAGTGGCTGGGGAAACCTAGCCAGATGGGCGGGGTATAAATAATACAATTATTATTATTATTATGTGTCTCTGCCAGGGTCCTACTCGAGTGTAGGCTGAACTCCTGACAATAGGTGCAGAACCTTATTTAGCAGTTTGTTATTGATAAAGTAAGATTCCCAAGTTCCAACCTGGCAATGAAATGGTGCTGATAAGTACGATTCAACCAGACTGAAACTACCTATCTTTGCTTTCTGAATAGCAAAGCAGTGTTATTTCACACACACAACAAGAGAAGTCATTAATCACAGCTTCTCCCTCCCTTGCAAAAGGAAACAGAAGCTGACATTTAATTACCCCAAGAGGGTACTCAGGTGACAATAATCCCCTTGTTGGAATCAACAGGAATGCGGGGAAAAACAGGTTGTACTTGCAAACAATAAACTTGTAATTGAAGTTGCCATAGACTTTATAAAATTAATGTGTGAGTGACGATTATGCGAGAATCTTTGCTGTAGTGAGAGCACTGCAGGCTAGTGTATTGCCAAATTCGTGCTGTGTGGAACCTCGATTTTGATTCCTATTAATTACAGAAAGCAATACTGTGGAAATGCTAACAGGCTCTAGTATGAAAGCAATTTAGGTTACAATATGAAGTCAGAAAAAGCTGGCTTCGCCCTTTAATGACCAACAACGTCCACCCCTTACCTCCTGTTGCCGCTCATGAGTTTTTCTGGCATGAGATTTAAGAAATTCTGCATATTTGGGGATGTCTCGGTTTTGCCTGATGAAATTCTCTAGCCTTAAAACCTAAATTAGCAAGATAAAAAAAAGGACATAACATGGGGAACATACACTGATGCAACATCTGCTTATCTGATATAATCCTAATTGTTCCAGATGAGGCCGAGTTCACCTCTCATTATGAGCAGGGCAAGCCTGCAGAGGATGCTTTTTATAGTGGAATCCTAACCATATCTACTCAGAAGTAATGCCTACTGATTTTAATGGGGCTTAAAAAGTAAAGGTAAAGGGGCCCCTGACCATGAGGTCCAGTCGTGGCCGACTCTTGGGTTGCAGCGCTCATGTCGCTTTATTGGCTGAGGGAGCCGGCATACAGCTTCTGGGTCATGTGGCCAGCATAACTAAGCCGCTTCTGGCGAACCAGAGCAGTGCACGGAAACGCCATTTACCTTCCCGCCAGAGCAGTACCTATTTATCTACTTGCACTTTGATGTGCTTTCGAACTGCTAGGTTGGCAGGAGCAGGGACCGAGCAACGGGAGCTCACCCCGTTGTGGGGATTCGAACTGCCGACCTTCTGATCGGCAAGTCCTAGGCTCTGTGGTTTAACCCACAGCGCCATCCGCGTCCCTTTTAATGGGGCTTACTGCCAGCTAAATAGGACTACAGCCTGAAGTAATGAACATACACATTAGGTGTGGAGCCAAAATTTGGGCTGGTAAAAGCATACCTTCCTGTCCCCTTGTTGCCCAGTCAATAAACCATGGGAGACTCTCCCCTTATCTCTCCTCCCCATCTTCTCCCTGATGCACGCTCTGTTTGTGTCAAGGCTTGGCTGCCACAAGCAAAAAACAATATAAAATTTGACTTTTGCATGGAATTCACGTATGATTGGCTGAGAATTGGTGACAAACGCAGTTCATTTGCCTGGATTGTTCTCCAACCTTCATGGGAGATAAACGGTCAGAGTTTTGTACCTCTGATCATTTTAATAGCAAGAAATAAAACCTCCCAGCCATAAAGTTTTAAAATATACTGGGCAGATGATGCCTTGGAGAGAGCCAACCATTATTCTCTGGATCATATACTGCACAGAGTTGCTGGTACTATTACAGAACCAACTCATTCTATCAATGAGGACCCTATTTAAATGATGATCAGCATAGTCATTTTTTTCAGGCTATAGTTTCAGGCTATAGTCTTGTGAAGTCCTTCTTGAAGAATAAGTTGAAGCTTATGAATCCCATCAAGAGGTTTTCAGGTAGGAAGAAAAACTAAAATGGCTTGCATGATCACAGGTGGATTTATGCTTTACACACCTCCAGAGAACAGTCTTCCAGCTTTCCATTTATTGCTTCTTTTTCCTTTTGTAGCTGTCTTATATCATTCTCATATTTCTTTTTTAATTCCTCTATCTGTATCTGAACCTCCTAAAATTGAAAAATAAAGCAATTGTCATATTTGAACGCTATACAGCAAAACAATGCGTAGAGGCACAGGGAGAAATATTTAACATGTAAAACACACACTCAAAACAGATACACCGAACCCAAAGGAACGAATAACACTTTTCTCATTTCTCAAATCTGGCATGTGGGAGAACATTAAAAGTATCTGAAATATCCCCATCTTCGCAAGAACACTCAGTCTTCTCAAAAGTGTGTGTGCATTAAGGGACTTTGGTGGGGTGGCTATATTTTTAGATTTTTTGTGTGTGGCTGCCACCTACCACTCCAAGAATGCCGCTGGGAATGATGCTATGCCATGACTTCCCAATGCTAAGAAATAAAGGTAAAGGTACCCCTGCCCGTACGGGCCAGTCGTGTCCAACTCTAGGGTTGTGCGCCCATCTCACTTAAGAGGCCGGGGGCCAGCACTGTCCGGAGACACTTCCAGGTCACGTGGCCAGCGTGCCGAAGCTGCTCTGGCGAGCCGACACCAGCGCAGCACACGGAAACGCCGCTTACCTTCCCGCTATAAAGCGGTACCTATTTATCTACTTGCACTTAGGGGTGCTTTCGAACTGCTAGGTGGGCAGGAGCTGGGACCGAAAGACGGGAGCTCACCCCGCCGCGGGGATTCGAACCGCCGACCATGCGATCGGCAAGCCCTAGGCACTGAGGTTTTACCCACAGCGCCACCCGCGTCCCTATGCTAAGAAATAACCTTGAATAAATTAAATAAAATCAGCTGCTGCTGCAGTAAAAACTGACAGGTTTGGGAGAAGGCTAGACCAGGTAGTTTAGGAGCAGCTGCATTCTTGGGAACAAATTTCTCAACCTAATGATATTAGTACACTCCCACTTTCACATTCTACAGCATTTCATAGTGTTGCATTTGATAAGATTGCAATCCCTCTTATTAGGGAGCAAACCCCACTGAAATTGCTGGGACTTACATCTGAGTAAACATGCATAAGATTTAGATTTGTCTAGTAAAAGGTAAAGGGACCCCGACCATTAGATCCAGTCATGACCGACTCTGGGGTTGTGGCACTCATCTCGCTTTACTGGCCAAGGGAGCTGGCGTACAGTTTCCGGGTCATGTGGCCAGCATGACTAAGCCGCTTCTGGCAAACCAGAGCAGTGCACAGAAACGCCGTTTACCTTCCTGCCGGAGCGGTACCTATTTATCTACTTGCACTTTGACGTGCTTTCGAACTGCTAGGTTGGCAGGAGCAGGGACCGAGCAACGGGAGCTCACCTCTTGGCGGGGATTCGAACCGCCAACCTTCTGATCGGCAAATCCTAGGCTCTGTGGTTTAACCAACAGTGCCACAGCATTTCATAGTGTTGCATTTAATAAGACTGCAATCCCTCTTATTAGGGAGCAAACCCCACTGAACTTGCTGGGACTTACATCTGAGTAAATATGCATAAGATTTAGATTTCTCTAGACAAGCCATCAAAAAAAGAAGAAAATGAGAAATGAGAAATGCACCAGAACCATTTTCTCTGAATCATTGAGCTCCCCCCACCCCGAGTAAAACCATTCATAGTGGTGTAATTAGGCTTGCTGAGTTGCAACTTCAAATAGAAGTCTGTACTTTTAACAGGGTAGACTAGTATATTCTGTAGAAGTGCCCATGCCATAGCATTTGATCTGTAGAAAAAGAAAACTCAAGGTTCAAGTCTGGCTAAAAGCCAGGCCACCTTATGGTTTGGAAGTCAATTCCTTTATTCTTCTGTCTGTGAGAGTTCTTCGCACTTTCCCAGTGTGACACAAAAAACTGCACTTCTCACTTGCCCAGTATACCTGAAGGAGCGCCTCCAGCCCCATCGTTCAGCCTGGACACTGAGGTCCAGCTCCGAGGGCCTTCTGGCGGTTACCTCCGCGAGAGAAGTAAAGTTACAGGGCCTTCTCGGTGGTGGTGCCTGCCCTGTGGAATGCCCTCTCACCAGGCGTCAAGGAAATAAACAACTATCCGACTTTTAGAAGACATCTGAAGGCAGCCCTGTTTAGGGAAGTTTTTAATGTTTGATGGTTTATTGTGTTTTTAATATTCTGTTGAGAGCCGCCCAGAGTAGCTGGGGGAACTATTATTATTATTATTATTAATCATCATCATCATCCAGTCATTCAAGAGCTGATGGGAAGTTCTCCTGCATAAGGTTCCACTGAACTGAGCTGAGCAGAGCTGAGCATGAGATGTGTGAAAGTGCTAGAGAGGCAAGCACACCTGCCCCCTTCCTTCCCATGTGATGATTGATGCTTGTCCTACCACTCCGATTTTCTGGGCATACTGCTAAGATGTGTATAATACCCAAAGCCAACAAGTATCATAAAGGTAAAGGTAAAGGGACCCCTGACCATTAGGTCCAGTCGTGACTGACTCTGGAGTTGCAGCGCTCATCTCGCTTTATTGGCCGAGGGAGCAGGCGTACAGCTTCCGGGTCATGTGGCCAGCATGACTAAGCTGCTTCTGGCGAAGCAGAGCAGCGCACGGAAACACTGTTTGCCTTCTCGCCAGAGCAGCACCTATTTATCTACTTGCACTTTGACGTGCTTTCGAACTGCTAGGTTGGCAGGAGCAGGGACTGAGCAACGGGAGTTCACCCCGTCGTGGGGATTCGAACCACCGACCTTCTGATCAGCAAGTCCTAGGCTCTGTGGTTTAACCCACAGTGCCACCCACATCCCAAACAAGTTTCATGCTACTACAGAAATCAGTTATTTAAACTTCTGAGCCCTGAGCTGAATGCCTAGCTCACAGAGTCCACTGGGAAGCTGCAAAACCTGAGAGCTCATTTACAGTGGAAAGAGCTGAATGTTCATCTTGTAAGAATTGCCTTAGGATATCCCTATTTAGCATACTGGTGAACTTACTCTTCCTACTTGAACCAACTTGCTGACGGAATACAATATTTCAGCCCGATCTTGAAAGACTATGAATTGGGGAGGGAAGCGGGGAGTGCCGATGACAAGGGCTTCGTCCCTAGTGGAGACCGATAAATTTCAAAGCAGAGGAGCTTAAGATGATTCAGAGCAATCAAGCAAGGCTCTAAGACGTACTGAGTAGAAGCAATAAAAAGGAGAGCCATAACACCCGCAAAGGGAATAAGTGATGAGGAAATTTAGATTTAATCTGAGGATAGCTGCAGTAAGCAACATTTCAAAGTAAGAAATGGGTTTCTTCCCCTAAAAAAACAAAGGTTCCTATTCAGCTAGAAATAATTTGCTCTTGACGTTCCTGGATAAAACACAAAGATTCTTATACATAAAACTACCAGGGCTAGTAAACAAAAAACAACAACTATCAATGTCTCCAATATCTGAAGCCGAGATTAGGGAAACAATCTCAAATAAGGCAAATGGTAAAACACCTGGGCTAGACTGCTTTCCAGTGGAATGGTATAAAACATATTATCTAAGTGACAGGAGATCAATATATCAGTTATATGATGAGATCTTTAGAGAAGGAATCAGCTCAACACTATTTAACCAGGCTTATATTACTGTTATTCCAAAGCCTGGCAAGGACTTAACACAATGTGCCCAATTTCTTTGATAAACATTGATACAAAAATCTTAACAATATTGGCAAATAGACTGCAAAGAGCAAGATCAACTATTATTAAAAATGGCCAAACAGATAACATCAGACTGGTAGTGGATTTGATACATTTAAACAGGAAAGGTGAAGATTTAGCTGCACAGTGGTACCTCTGGTTGCGAACGGGATCCATTCCGGAGGTCTGTTCGCAACATTGAAAGAATGCAACCTGAAGTGCCGTATCTGCGCAATTTGGCGCTTTGTGCGCAAGCACGAAGCATGATTTAGCGCTTATGCGCATGCTCGAGTGGCGAAACCAGGAAGTAACCCTTTCCACTACTTCCGGGTCGCCGTGGGACATAACCTGAAAGAACGTAACATGAAGCAAACGTAACATGTGATATGACTATACCGGGGTAGGCAAACTAAGACCCGGGGGCCGGATGCAGCCCAATCGCCTTCTCAATCCGGCCCGTGGATGGTCCGGGAATTGGCGTGTTTTTACATGAGGAGAATGTGTCCTTTTATTTAAAATGCATCTCTGGGTTATTTGTGGGGCATAGGAATTTGTTCTTTCCCCCCCTCAAAAATATAGTTCGGCCCACCACATGGTCTGAGGGACAGTGGGCCGGCCCACGGCTGAAAAAGGTTGCTGTCCCCCAAGCTATAGATGCAGAGGGAGCAGGCAGGAGTAGACAGCAAACCAGCCCAGAGGTCATTTGCTCCATCGCCTGAAAATCTTAGGCTGCTGAGACACAGCCTACCTGAATTTCCAAGGTCATTTGCCTAATAGTCCCATCAGTTGACAAGATAGCTCAGTTGTGGAGTGTGGCGCGGATAATGCCAAGGCTGCAGGTTTGATCCCCATAAGGGACATATTCCTGCACTGCAGGGAGTTGGACTAGATCAGGCATAGGCAAACTCGGCCCTCCAGATGTTTTGGGACTACAATTCCCATCATCCCTGACCACTGGTCCTGTTGGCTAGGGATGATGGGAGTTGTAGTCCCAAAACATCTGGAGGGCCGAGTTTGCCTGTGCCTGGACTAGATGATGCTCAGGGTCCATTCCAACTCTACAATTCTATGATTCTAGTCAGCAAACCACAAATACCCAACGGAAGCCAGAAAGACCCAGCCAAGGGAAAAAACCCCAAAAGCCAAATATCAGTACAAGTTTGTAAAAAAAAACAACAACAAAAAAACCCTATGGCATGTAAGACCATTATGGACTCTTGAGACAAATCCACAGCTGGACTTGTGGTAGGGCAGACTTTGATTAATGGCTGCTCCCTGTTCCAGTGCACGAGAAAGCAGAATACTGCCCAGACTGACACTTCCCTCTGTGTGATTAATTTCTGTAGCCACCGGGTGCTGGAGCAAGCCAATGGCACACTGCAAACTCCTACCTACAGCATTTCTGCATGAACGTTGGAGTTGCCAGGGCAACCAGTTTGGAATAAGTGGAAAGAAAGTCAACCTGGCTGGGAGTGAATTATGGATATAGGCATCAGCTCACTTTGATCACAGTTTGCAGCTGGTTGGCCAGAGATTTCTGCACAGTTGGACAACAATCTTGCAGTGGCATATGTAGAGAGAGACCAGGGCTACAGTACAACTTTCCACTATTACTTATGTATTGTACATGTATTGAACTCACAAAAGAAAAGAAAAATGCCATTCCAATACAGAAAGCTGTACATCAGGTAAGACAAAGATTTCTAAATCCCCTCCAACGAAACCACCACCAGCATCAGTATTACTAGGTGGGAAAAGCTTCTGGATATAAAGTGGGTTTGCCTGTTGGTGAACCAAGAAGAGGGAGCTGACAAGGCAAATCTCTGTGGGGACCACTAAAACAGCCCATCCAACACTCTGATTAATTTCATTTTCAATAACGATGATGATTTGTTAACCCCAGGCACTCGGGCGGCTTCCAACATATATAAAAACGTAATAAAACATTAAACATTTTAAAACTTCCCTATACAATTGCTGCCTTCAGATGTCTTCTAAAGGTTGAATAGTTACTTATCTCTTTTCCAAGAACTAGGGGACACTTTTGGTGGGGAATATATTCAATTCTTCATTAGTTTCTACTCCTTCTTTTGGCTTGGTCTCCACGGCAGATGACAATAACAGATTTAAAGATTTAGGGCATGGGCCCCACAGACAGAAATTTGCATAACATTTGTGTATGCTAAAATATAGACATAGGCAAGGTAAAGGGACTGCTGACCATTAGGTCCAGTCGTGGCCGACTCTGGGGTTGCAGTGCTCATCTCGCTTTATTGGCCGAGGGAGCCGGTGTATAGCTTCCAGGTCATGTGGCCAGCATGACTAAGCCGCTTCTGGAGAACCAGAGCAGCGCACGGAAACGCCGTTTACCTTCCCGCCGGAGCGTTACCTATTTATCTACTTGCACTTTGACGTGCTTTCAAACTGCTAGGTTGGCAGGAAAAATATAGACATATATAGATGCAAATTTAAAGCTTAAATGTCACCAGCCAACTCATTTCCCATTCAAATCTCTCCAGACCAATTTTTCAATTACTTTGCATCCCACTTCAGATCATCCCCAATTAGTTTCCCAGCAGATCTTTCCCTCAATCAATTACACTCCCCGTCGATTTCCCATATTAATTACCCCCCAATAACCTCCACGTGTCTTAAATTCACTTATTTCCCCAAATAAACAGCATAACCCAGATCTTCTTTCAATTCAGGTCCTCACTCCCCGCCCCCCGCCATTTATTATCTATCTGGAACCACTTAGGACACTTGAGGCAGGAAGGGGGCCTGTGAATTAGGGCAAGCCAGGGCTGGCCCAAGACATTTTGCCACCTGAGGCAAACCACAAAATGGTGTCCCCTCCTCTCCAGAAGTGAGTGAAGAAGTGAGTGAGAAGTGAGTGAAGATCTACATCAGGAACAAGAGGGGAATAAATATCTACATTGGGATTTTCTGCTCTTGGGGATCCTGCTGCCTGAGGCAGTCGCCTCACCTTGCCCCATGCATGGGCCGGCCTTGGGGCAAGCCTCTTTTGCTGCTTATGCTAAAGAGGAAGGAGCTAAAGAACCCTTTGCCCCATCCAAGGGCAAGTCAGTGCTGCCACTTCCTCGCTTCAAGATAGGATTCTTGTTTTGAAAAACAAGCCAGGAGGATCATACCAGGCTTGAAAAAGCAAGGACCCTAAAACCTGTAGTTTGGAGCACACATTTGCAATCTGCATTGTTTGTTGCGGCAGCGATTACATTAATCACTGCACTGTCATGACGAGAAGCACAGGCGAGCAACGGCAATGCCGGGAAGACAAGAATCCTGTCAAGGGTAAGCTAACCTTCCTTCCTTCCTCTCTTGCAAAAGCTTTCATTTCATCGGAAAACATCAGCTCAGCTCCTTTTTAAAAAAAAGAAAAACACAGCAATAAAATCCTCGTTGTGATTTAAAGCTCCCTGTCTAGGAAGAACAATTTAAATGATGTCACCATGACTAAAGAGATTTAAAGGAACAGATGAATCACAGCCCACTATTAATAGAACAATCCCACCTTGTGCAGTTTTTTTCTCTCGGCGTCCATGGAGGCTTGGGCTGATTTGATTTCAAGGCTGTGCTTCTTCACAAGGTCTTCCAGACCTTTCACCAGCTGCGCTTTCAAACGAATCTTCTCCTCGCCCGGCTCGTGTTTGGTTTTGCGGAACTCTTCCCTCTGCTGTGGCTTAACGGCGTCTTTTTCCAAACCTGCCGTTACCTGGAGTGACAAGGCGCAGCCACATCAATTAAAGTGACCACAGAGAAAAGGGTTAACTCAAGTAATAAAGCAAATGCACACATATAAATGCAAGCTATGCAGGTAAACATTTATCAACATAGGGGAGGCTATTGAAGACAGGCAATTAAATAAGAGACACTACAACTAAATCAAGAGGTCTTTCATTCTCTTTTAAAGCATACATTGGGGTGAGACTGGAATACAGTGGTACCTCGGGTTATATACGCTTCAGGTTACAGTCTCCGCTAACCCAGAAATAGTACCTCGGGTTAAGAACTTTGCTTCAGGATGAGAACAGAAATCGTGCGGCGGCGGGAGGCCCCATTAGCTAAAGTGGTGCTTCAGGTTAAGAACAGTTTCAGGTTAAGAACGGACCTCCAGAACGGACCTCCGGAACTGTACAGTGGTACCTTGGGTTAAGAACTTAATTCATTCTGGAGGTCCGTTCTTAACCTGAGACACCACTTTAGCTAATGGGGCCTCCCGCCGCCGCACGATTTCTGTTCTCATCCTGAAGCAAAGTTCTTAACCCGAGGTACTATTTCTGGGTTAGCGGAGTCTGTAACCTGAAGCGTCTGTAACCCGAGGTACCACTGTATACAGGTAGATCTCAGGGTGATTTGCAGGAGATTGCCACGTGTTCCTGATTCCCAATCGTTTAACAATAGCAGCAAGAAAATTATTTCCACCACCTAAGTGAGGCTGCTGGAATGAAGGGAGCCAACCAAGGATGGCCCTATGTTTGAAAGGACTGCGAGCTCAGCTTAGTTCTGGTACTGGCAACCAATTCCCAGCTCTTTAACTCTAACTTTCACCCCCAAAACAGAAAAGCAGATCCAACAAGCCGGAAGTCTGCACACCCATAAACATCAACGGGGAGAAACGTCTGCAGAAAGCTGGACTGTCACAAACAAGACCAGAACCCTTGTCCCTGATGTGCTAGCACCCCACATGTAGGTGGAAGGCACTGGGACTCTCGAGATGGAGATAATAATTTATAATAATAATAGTTTATTATTTATACCCCGCCCATCTGGCTGGGTTTCCCCAGCCACTCTGGGCAGTTCCCGACAGAATATTAGAACCACGATAAAACATCAAACATTAAAAAATTCCCTAAACAGGGTTGTCTTCAGATGTCTTCTAAAAGTCAGATAGTTGTTTATTTCCTTGACATCTGATGGGAGGGCGTTCCACAGGATGGGTGCCACTACCGAGAAAGCCCTGTAACTTCACTTCTCTCAGGGAGGGAACCGCCAGAAGGCCCTCGGAGCTGGACTTCAGTGTCCAGGCTGAACGATGGGGGTGGAGATGCTCCTTCAGGTATACGGATCTGGACCTCAGATAATTCCAGCTAGAGCATCAATACTTTACTCCTTAAACCATCATATTTAAACCACAGTGGCTTGCCAGAAGAGGGAGCCACTAGACCAGGAGAAGCCAACATCAATAACAAAATGGAGCCCAAGGGCATCAGAACATTCCAGAAGCACAGAAAGAACTCGGGCCCTTCCAGGTGGTTGCTAATTTTGGATGGGATTCAGTCACATGCCAGCAAATTCATGTCTTGCAATTACGAGTTGGTTTGGAGATCTTGTGCCACAAACCCTTTCCCACCACTTTTTACAATGAGGAAAGCGGTAGGGAAATGTATTTAAAAGGTAAAGAAGAAGAAGAAGAGTTTGGATTTGATATCCCGCTTTATCACTATCCGAAGGAGTCTCAAAGCAGCTAACATTCTCCTTTCCCTTCCTCCCCCACAACAAACTCTCTGTGAGGTGAGTGAGGCTGAGAGACTTCAGAGAAGTGTGACTAGCCCAAGGTCACCCAGCAGCTGCATGTGGAGGAGTGGGGAAGCAAACCCGGTTCACCAGATTATGAGTCCACCGCTCTTAACCACTACACCAAAGGGACCCCTGACCCTTAGGTCCAGTCGTGGCTGACTCTGGGGTTACGGCGCTCATCTCGCTTAATTCACTGAGGGAGCCGGCGTACAGCTTCCGGGTCATGTGGCCAGCATGACTAAGCCACTTCTGGCAAACCAGACCAGCGCACGGAAACGCCGTTTACCTTCCCACCTATTTATCTACTTGCACCTTGACGTGCTTTCGAACTGCTAGGTTGGCAGGAGCTGGGACCGAGCAACGGGAGCTCACCCCGTTGCGGGGATTCGAACCGCTGACCTTCTGATCGGCAAGTCCTAGGCTCTGTGGTTTAACCCACAGCGCCAGCCGCGTCCCACGAAATGTATTTACTTTACTTTATTTATTAAATTTGTATACCGCTCTTCATCCAAAGGCCACAGGGTGGCTCACAACATTAAAATACAAAGTGAGAACACAAAACAGGTAACAAATAAGCAAAAACGAACCAATAACCCCCATCCTACAAACACATTTGAAAGGCCATGGGTTGCTTAATCAGTCATCGGCCTAGATGTAGAGAAACACTTTTGCCTGGTGCCTGAAGATACGGAATGAGCAGGCGAGCCTCTTTAGGCAGAAAACCTCCCTAGGGATAGCATTCTGAAGGCAGCCCTGTTTAGGGAAGCTTTTAGTGTTTAACAGACCACGGTATTTTAATATTTTGTTGGAAGCTGCCCAGAGTGGCTGGGGAAACCCAACCAGATGGGCGGGGTATAAATAATAAATTATTATTATTATTATTCCACATACAGGGAGCCACTGCAGAAAAGGCCCGTTCTTGTCATGAAGTGAAAAAGGGTTGTCAGGTCCTTTTGCAGACTAGCTGCAATGAACCATGAGCAATTTACATGGAAATGGAAGGAATGGCTCCCGGTTAACTTAGTCTATCAAGCTGCATCATCATATAGAACTCCATCTGCAAAAAGAGAAATGTGAAGGTTATGCACCTGAACGTCTCCACCGTCCTGCTTGCCTTGGCTCTGTTTGGTGGACGCTGCTTGCTGAAGGGGTAAGATCTGATTCTTTAGTTCCTCCGCTTCGCTCCTGGTCTTGCTTTGGGAGTTCTGCACCGTTTCCATTGCTTCTGTGAATGTGAAAAATGCCGTGTGATGTGCTTATATTTTCATGGGCACGATGGATGAATGCATTTAAAAGAGTGTTGCATTCAAATAGTTCATTAAGGGCTGTTGCTGTGAGACCTGTAAGGCGAGGCCAGTATTATTATTCTCATGTTGCAGTTGGGGCAGAAGCAGGGAGGGCAGTAGCATACATAACAAACCTAAATATAAAATTCATAGCTGGGGTCATATTTGAACTGGGAATTTCCCAGATCACGTTCATAAATGTTCCGCTTCTGTATCTCCCTGAACGGAAGCAAGTCCTACCTGTTTTATGCAGTATTTCATTTTCTTGCAACAGAAGCCTCTCTTTGGCAATAATCAGCTCCTCCTCCAGTGCTTTTGTGAGACTTTTTGCCTCCTTAGTCGTCTGATGAGCCTCCTTGAGCCGAATTTCCAGGTCCTGTAAATGCACCACACAATTACAAACTTAAGACTGCTGTTTTTGCCTTTAAAAAAATAATTTCCATTATCTGGGAGCACCCCAGTTGTCAATGAATTTCTTTCCCTCTTGATAAGTACTGTCTGACCATGTGGAGATAAGAATGATTTGCAGTTTCTGTTCAGGGCAGCAGCCCACAAGTTTTCTCGTCTTGGAATATGGCGGTGGATTTGGTAGGAACTATTACCCTAATCAGGGATGCGGGTTAAACCACAGAGCCTAGGGCTTGCCGATCAGAAGGTCGGTGGTTCGAATCCCCGCGACGGGGTGAGCTCCCATTGCTCGGTCCCTGCTCCTGCCAATCTAGCAGTTCAAAAGCATGAAGTGCAACTAGATAAATAGGTACCGCTTCAGCGGGAAGGTAAATGGCGTTTCCGTGCGCTGCTCTGGTTCGCCAGAAGCGGCTTAGTTATGCTGGCCACATGACCCGGAACGCAGGCTCCCTCAGCCAGTAAAGCGAGATGAGCACCGCAACCCCAGAGTTGTCCACAACTGGACCTAATGGTCAGGGGTCCCTTTACCTTTATTACCCTAATCAATTGTAAAAGGGCTTATGTGATGAGAGCAGGGATTTGCTCACAAGCTCCACCCTTTCAATGCTTCAGTCCCACTACTCTCCACCTGCTGAAGAGTAACGGTCTACAGGGGTGTGTGTGTGCAAAACCAGCTAAATTTTCACCAGCTAAATGGTGCGTTTCCCTGTGGGCGCTTGCTTGATCTGCACAAGTACTGTAGGATTTTGCCTTTACAGGTGTGATGCATTCAACCTCTCTCACACACATTACAAGGAAGTATTGCAGATAGACAGGCAGATGTGAAGGCTAATATGTTTAACATTCAGGTGCTCTTCTTCTTTTTTAAGTGGCTTATAATTATTGGGATTACAGGAAGAGTAATGTGGGAACTTAACACTTTCCTCCATAGCTGCAGTCCAGGTAAAAGGTAAAGGTAAAGGACCCCTGGATGGTTAAGTCCAGTCAAAGGCGACTATGGGCTTGCGGTGCTCATCGCACTTTCAGGCCACAGACAGCTTTCCAGATTATGTGGCCAACATCACTAAACTGCTTCTGGCACAACGGAACACCGTGACAGAAACCAGAGCACACGGAAATGCCGTTTACCTTCCTGCCATAGTGGTACCTATTTATCTACTTGCACTGGTGTGATTTCGAACTGCTAGGTTGGCAGGAGCTGGGACAGAGCAATGGGAGCTCACTCCGTCGCGGGGATTCGAACCGCTGACCTTCTGATCGGCAAGCCCAAGAGGATCAGTGGTATAGACCACAGCGCCACCCGCATCCTTTACCTTTTACCAAGCAAAAACCCTCTACTGCAGTTGGTATTTGGTTTAGGGCAAAATCCAGCACAGACAGATTCCATCCCAATGCTTTCTGGTGGTCCCCACTTCACAGCTGGTCACTTGGGAGCTATCAAAAACCAACATCATCTGTCTCTGTGTTTTAGCATCATGATAAGAAGTACGATAAGTAGAACACTTAGCATCTGTAGAGCACTTTAGAGTGCTCCAATGTGGTTTCCTGAAATTTTCTCAGCAAGCCTTACCATCTTTACAAGGTAGGCTGGTATCATTATGCCTATTTTGCAGGGAAAGGTGCTAGGGTAATATGGCTTGCCAAAGCCACTGAATGAATTTTAAGCAGATGTGAGTTTTGAATCAGGGGTTTTCTAGCTGACACTCTTAGCCACTCAATAGATCAGCTTAGCAATTAATAATAATTACTCATTTGCAACAAGAATGTGCCTTTCAATTGCTTTTCTATAACAACTTCATATTCACACGAAGGAAAACACATCCGGAAAATCGTGGTAATGTGTCAGTCCTCTCTATATAACTTTGCCTTAAGAATTAATTAATGATCAGACTGATGTTTCCCAAGAAACACCCCTTTCATTTCATCCTTTCATCCTACGTAAATTTCTGGGGGAACAAAATCTCATGGTACTGAAAGAAGTTTCTGCCAACCGAGAATTCTGCCCTAAGCAAAATAAGCTTTCATAAGAAATCAAAAGAAGCTTGCATGATAAATGTGTAAAGTATGTTCCTTTTGTTCGCATTGCCCACAATTTTTTCTGGAGAATGGCTGCTTTCTTTTGACACCCCGTGTTAGCTTGTGAGTTGGAATAAAATCAGAAGTTTTAAGTTATTTCAGTTGTGTAGTGTTGTTTTCCACTATTGCAAAGCTAGCTGCTGGGACAGATCTTTCTAGCACAGTCAATTCTCTGCAAGATTTATTCAATCAGTAACAAGTACATAAGGCACACTTTTCAAGGGGGGGCAGTGTGTGCTGTGTTCCCCCTGCCCCTGATCGTATAAAGCCTTCACTTGGCTAAATCGCAAATGCCTAAAGCAACGTGCTCATGTATAGACACAATTAACATGTGCGCAATTTATGTTTTTGTATTGTAGGTTTTCAATTCCCAAGAATACTGCCTTGAAATCCATTTGTTGATGAAGATATGGTTGATTAATTAGTAATAAACGAGAAAAATGTCAATCGTAATGGGAACTGGGTTGCGCGCCTGCGAGGAAGAAAGGAAAAGGATGAGTGCTACTTAGATGGCTTTTAAAGCAGATGACACAAATCCATTAAACTGTTCCCATTCCATCAGCCCCAGCCAGCATGTGTCATGCCTTGAGGCTGATGGCAGCTGGAAGGCTGCATTAAAATATGATGCAAGTGGGCAAGAAGAATGTAACCCTGTGGTTTTGCCGTATCATCACTCGAGAGATCTGGAGTCCAGCTGAGTGCTGCTTGTGGTGTGCTAACCCCATGCATAGCGAATGAGGGCCTGATGCAACAAAAACAGGTAGCCCCCAGCACCACATCATTTAAATCGAGCCCATAAAGCTTTGCAGGTGGAAAAGAATGTAGATTTCCATCCATTTTTCAAACCCCACTTACTACAAGTTCATGCGCCCAGGCAGTGCCAAACTACACATTACTCTTAATGTGCAGCTTGTAGTCACCGTATTTTTCGCTCTGTAAGATGCACCTTTTCCCTCTTAAAAAGTAAGGGGAAATGTGTGTGTGTCTTATGGAGTGAATGCAGACTTCACACGGCTATCCCAGAAGTGATCCCTCTTGCTGTTCTGGCTTCTGGGATTCAGAATATTTTTTTTCTTGTTTTCCTCCTCCAAAAACTAGGTGCGTCTTGTAGAGCGAAAAATACGGTAACTCTTCTTTAAAAACAAATGAACTTTTATCAATTATAGGTGTGACAGAAATGCAACATGTAAGCTTACCTCTTCCCTCCACAGCACGATCAGAAGGAAATTCCAGTCCCCATCCTAATTTGGCTACAATCCTTAGGAAAAAAACCTTCCCATGGACACCAATAGGAATTTCCCCCCCATGTCATTCTAGCTGCATAGGGGATTACTGATTCCAATAACTCCGGAGAGGGATGAGATAAACCTGCCTTCCCCTTGTGCCGCGTTTCCTGTAAAGGTTGTCCAATTTGGCATGCCGGTAATTGCTAAGAGTAAAAAAGGGAGAGGCAATTACAAGCTACACACATTAAAACGTAGCTTGGCTGCACTTTCCAATCTAGCAGAGAAGCTGTCCTGATTCTGCTCCCAACTCCTCATGCTACAACAGCTAAAGCTGAAGATGAATGGGACAGCAAAGAGTAGGGGCTTACAGCTTCTCCTTCCATCCATCTCCTGCCCCCTTCCTGCCCATTGCCTCTGCTGGAGAAACTGAGGTCCCACCTCCTGTTACCTCACACTGACCACAGGAGAGAAAATGCCCCTCACAATCCAGAAGATGCGTTTAGGATGGAGGCAGCCATGGACAGCAATGGGTTCCAGGGGGGGCCCATTCTGCTGCTCCCCAACTGCGTGCTTACCTGACAGCAGCAAAATGTTGCTACAAGCTGCTGTATTTAATTTCCCACAATGCCTTGGGATGCCCAGTGGGGCACTTGTGAGGCATTAAAATGGCGGCTCTCAGTCACCCACTGCAAAGGGCCCTGGATGGGTGCCAGTTCTGATGGGTCCTGATGGTATGACGAAACCCAAAGGTCTCAGGTGCTGCCACTGGACTTAGCTCTGCATTGCCCTCCTTAGCTCAGCTCCATCAGTTTTCTTTTGGTGGGGGAGATAACTTTAAAAAAACTGCCCCCTTCAGAAAGGGAAATCAAAGCTCAGGTTAAGCCAACCAGTGTTATGGATGGTGCGCAAGCTTTGCCTTTGCTATACAGTGGTACCTCGGGTTACATACGCTTCAGGTTACAGATTCCACTAACCCAGAAATATTACCTCGGGTTAAGAACTTTGCTTTAGGATAAGAACAGAAATCGTGCTCCAGTGGCGCGGCGGCAGCAGGAGGCCCCATTAGCTAAAGTGGTGCTTCAGGTTAAGAACAGTTTCAGGTTAAGAACAGACCTCCAGAACGAATTAAGTTCTTAACCCGAGGTACCACTGTATTGGTGTCCTCAAATGTAGTATTTTATATATATTTTTCCTAAATGGCAGCCATTGGCTTTGAATGCCTCTGGTGAGAGCTGCACACAGCCCCCTCATGAATTTTCACTCTTGGCCATCCTTGGCCAAGTATGTTTAGTATGTTGTACTATTTTATTGTTGTTAGCTGCCCTGAGCCCGGCTTCGGCTGCGGAAGGCAGGATATACCGTATTTTTCACCCTGTAGGACACACTTTTTCACCTCCAGAAATGAAGGGGAAATGTGTGTGCGTCCTACGGGGTGAATGCAGGCTGCTGAGCCTGGAGCGAGAGGGTCGGTGAGCACCGACCCTCTCGCCTCCAGGCTCAGGAAGCTTCCCACCGCTGCGGAGAGCTGCCTGGATGCAGAAGCCTGGGGCGCGCTGAGCTCAGCGCCCCAGGCTTCTGGGCTGCGCGCAGGTCTCCGCAAGCAGTGGGAGAGCTGTGCGATGTTGCGCAGCCTCCCACTGCTTGCGGAGAGCTGCCTGTTCTGGGGCTGGGGTCGGGGAGCTCGGGCTTCCCGCCCAGCCCCGTGCCAGGGGAGATAAATTTTCCCCTATTCCCCCAAATCTAGGTGTGTCCTATGGGCCGGTGCATCCTATGGGACGAAAAATACGGTAAATAAAATTTATTATTATTATTATATTATTGGCTGCCAGGAACTCATTTCATAGATTTAGAAGCATGCTGATGACTTGACGACTCAAGGTGCAAAGCAATAAAAAGCTTTTGTCACTTGCTCTAGCGTTATGGTCCTACCTGCATCTTCTCCTTCTGCTTCTGGCAACACTTATTCATTTCACAGATTCGCTGGCCTTTTGCCACCAGGTCAGCCTCCAGTTTCTTCACCTGCTGCTGGGAGGCAGCTTCTCGGGCCTGGTAATTTTCCCTCTGCTCCAGTTCCCTTTGCTGCCATTCTTTGTACGAATCAGCCAGGGATTGGTGCATGGTCTTCCTCCAAGTTTCTTTCTCCCTCTCGTGGGAGGCTTGGAGCTGCCTGACTTTCTCGGCAAATTCACTGGCGAGTTTCTGCTTCTCCCACTTGAGGTGGGCTGCCTGTGTTTCCACGCTGGCCTTTTCGCTTAACTCCTCCTTGCAATCCAGCATTTCTCCTGCAAATGCCCAGTGTTTGTTGGCAAGCTCATTGGACTCCTCACTTGAAGACTGGATTCCATTCTCGAAGCTGAGCTTCGTGTGTGCCATCTGCTTCGGGAGGACAACCTTCTCATCTACTAGATTGTCCTCTCTTTGTGGTTCCCTCTCTCCCATCTGCCTTTTGCACATGGTGAATTCTGAAGGTACCACCTCTTTCAGCCTCCTATGTTTTTCCAATGTTTCTTCCAGGGTCTGGATGTGCTTCTGGAGCGCCTCTGCTTCCTCCACTTTGCTTTTGTACTGGAGGAGAGTTTCCCTTGTCTCATCGAGGATGTGCTGAACCTCTTCTTGGTGGGCCTCTTTGAGAGCTTGGATGCTGGCCTCATGCTCATCATTTCTAGTATTCAAGGCATAGATCACCTGCACCCAAAAGGAAAGAACAGCGTAATGTCATACGTGTGGAGGAAAAACTTAAACACATAGAAGAGTTCCCAAAATTAGACCAGAGGCAAGAGTAGCAACACCCTAGTGGTCCCAGGCCCTAAGGAAGTTAGATTAGCTTCAACCAGAGCCAGGGCCTTTTCAACACTGGCCCCGGCCTGGTGGAACGCTCTGCCTCATGAGACCAGGGCCCTGCAGGATCTGATTTCTTTCCGCAGGGCCTATAAGACAGAGTTGTTCCGCCTGGCCTTTGGCTTGGAGCCAATTTGATTCCCTCCCCCTCTTTCTTTTTTCTTTTCCTTTCTCCTCCTGCGATGAGGCTACATTTTAATGTTTCAATATTTTAATGTTGTATTTTAATTTTGTGTTTTTAAGTTGTATTCATTCAACTTGTTTTTATTATTGCTTGTTAGCCGCCCTGAGCCCGGCCTTGGCTGGGGAGGGCGGGGTATAAATAAAAAATTATTATTATCCAGCAGAGCTTTACTTGTGCTGAAGGCAAACGAGCGTAGTGGTCACAAATCCAAATACATTCAAGATTGGCACAGTCCATAAAAATCCAGTTGTAGCACTTACAAAAACTTATAAACTTATAACAAGACTAAACCTTAACACTATGTACAGAACACCACACCAGAAGTAAGAGAGAAAGTAAGACCAGGCTCCTTCTGGCCTATATTTATAGTCAGCATGACCTTATTTGGAAGAGATAAGAGAACCAGTTCAAACCAGCTTCCCAGAAGGTATAACCCAAACAGTCATGAAGCTTCTGCCTGCTTCTCTCACACAGAGAAACTTCTAGTAGCTTCTAGAATCCTCTTGTATTAATCAGAATAGGAAAGATCTCCACACATCAGATCAATACTTTCTGCGCCAAGAAATGCAAACTGACACCTAATGGGGAGGGGGATGACCTGTTAATATATTATAGTGGAGGTTCCATGGTTTTACTTCTAAGTAGTCCTGGGCACACTTGACTGGGAGTAACCTCTACTCAACCAAATTTATCTTTATTTATTTAAAAAAGTGTTTAGATACTGCCCTCTCATAAAGTATCAAGATAGTATACAGCTGTGATGTTAACATAGAGTGCTGGAGGTGAAATAGTTAAACAGGTTACCCAATCAGAACCCAGGGGGTGGAGTCAGAGGGACTATAAAATCAGCTCTAGGAGGGGCGAAGGGGGAGAGTTCATTGGGAGTTGGGTGGTTGGAGTGGGAGTGAATTGGGATAGAGTCTGTGGGTAGGTTGAGTTAGTGTAGTGAAATAAGCTGAGTCAGGAACAGTTAGGAGCTAGGAAGACGAGTAAATATCTGAGAAGTTGTTTAGTGAGGGAGAGCAGGTAGCGGAAGTTATAGGTCTGGATAGGCACCCCATGATTGTAACTGACCGATACCATTTATGAAACCACACACTTGTTAAACTGCAATAAATAAACAGAAGTTTATGTTCCAATTTAACCCTGACTGGACTCAGTATTGTCCCAGGTAGGGCCTGGATGGTGGCAGAGTGAAATAAAGTGGTGGCACAGGGATTAATAGACGGTGAAATGTCCGGGGACCCTGTGAAATCGGCAAAACAGCAATATAGAAGCATTTTGTTGTTCGAATGATGGAATGCACAAGGAAATGTTAAACAGTTGCGTAGGCCTGTTTGCATTTAAAAAATCTTCAAGAGATGCCTGAAAGTCTAAAGGATGCCAAACCTCTGCTAGAAGAATTGTCTGCGGTCTGCTGGTGCCACTAAATTTCTGGTCCAAGCCAGTTGGGCCTCTCTGCTGTGTGGGGATTGGATTTACTTCCAACAAAACATGGTTTGCATTGCAGTTTATGCATTTTTTAAAAGTTCAGGGACACATGTGTGCCCCAAGTGGTGACAACTGAAGGGATTAATAGGCAATAAGGGCAAGGACCAATAGTAAAGATTGGGAATGGGGGGCAGGGAGCAAATGAGATGTTTCTAATGAATGCTCAGAGGAAAAACCATTTAAGTTTTTTCTCCAAATGTATGTGGTAGATTACTTCCTTCTGGTTATGTGTAAGGCATGGAAGTAGGGACCAGAATAATAGCCAGCCATACCCCCACAAAGATTAACCACAGTGTGGGGACACTGAAAATTTAGCAAGCTTAAGCTGTTGGTTCTGCCAAGCCAGGAGAATGATGTCATTTCTCTGTTTTCACAGATTTCTCATCAGTGACACAGATGCTACAGATGGCTATAGGGCAGGTGTCCTACCCAGTGCTTTTTTTCTTTAAAAATGTTTAGGGGGTACTCTCATCTTCCGACTCCTATTGAAATGCTGCCCTTCAATGAGGCCAAACCTAAATGTAAGGAAGTTGTGTGGTCGTGGTCCAAAGGGCCACAATAAATATAATAATGTGAACCCCTATAAATCCTTGAGTGTGCTTCTAATAGAGAATTTATGGTAACCTGTTGCTTTATGAAACTGATGATTTTGCAAGTTGCCGCCCCCCCACCGGGGCAGAAGTACAGCTCATATGAGAATCAAAAAGATACAGCTCATAAACTAGAACATAAGTTGCTACATGGTGCAAACGGCTACACGTAACATAGGTTCCCAACATGCATACTAACACAATGTTACAAGTGGTGGGAATCAGAGCTGAATCAACAGAAATTGCTAGTGCTTATTGTGCATGTGTATTAAACATGAAATGAGGTAATGATGTACATGATTGGTGAAAATGGAAATCCTTTGTTTGAAATGTTATAAATACCACCGCCCGGACCCTTGGGCGGTGTTGCAGTTTTGCGAAAAGATTTGACTGGTACCTATTGCTTTGCAATAAACAACAATGGCCACCTAACTCCTCTTGCCTCCGATTTTTATTGGCTTAAACTCAGAAGATAAGCCATTTTTGGCTTACAACATTAGCTTTCCCCTGGGAAGCTGTCAAGTCTCAACCTTTTGTTCACCAGTACAGTGGTACCTCAGGTTAAGTACTTAATTCGTTCCGGAGGTCTGTTCTTAACCTGAAACTGTTCTTAACCTGAGATACCACTTTAGCTAATGGGGCCTCCTGCTGCCGCCACACAATTTCTGTTCTCATCCTGAAGCAAAGTTCTTAACCTGAGGAACTATTTCTGGGTTAGCGGAGTCTGTAACCTGACGCGTCTGTAACCTGAGGTACCACTGTATACTGCATTGTTGAAACACTTATCACAATGCTATTTCAATACCGGTATTCAACAATATGACAATTTATCGCATAGCCCTACAGAGGAACAGGCCCTGCTTGTGCATTCTCTTCTCTGCAGGAGAAATAAATGGGATGAATGAAGTTTCCTGCATTGCAGGAAGTTGGTCTAAATGACCCTCGGGATACCTTCCACCTCTACAATTCTATGAATTAAATAGGCTGGCTTAATATATATAGCCATGTGTGTAGGTCCCATTACTTATTTATTTGTAAAAGTAGTTATATACTGTACTACCCTCTCATAAGGGACGCAGATGGTGCTGTGGGTTAAACCACAGAGCCTAGGACTTGCCAATCAGAAGGTCGGCGGTTCGAATCCCTGCGACAGGGTGAGCTCCTGTTGCCAACCTAGCAGTTCAAAAGCATGTCAAAGTGCAAGTAGATAAATAGGTACCGCTCCGGCAGGAAGGTAAATGGCGTTTCCGTGCATTGCTCTGGTTTGCCAGAAGCGGCTTCGTCATGCTGGCCACATGACCCGGAAGCTGTACGCTGGCTCCCTCGGCCAATAAAGCGAGATGAGCGCCGCAACCCCAAAGTCGGTCATGACTGGACCTAATGGTCAGGGGTCCCTTTACCTTTACCTTTACCCTCTCATAAAACAATATGGGAGCAATGTGAAAAATAAATAAATGAAACACTATTAAAAGCAGGACAGATAAATTACAAAAATGACTGGCTATTAAATAAAATGACATTAGAAAGTCTGCAGGCAGCTGAGGAAGATGCATGAACTTGAAGAATGATCCAAAATCCTGCTGTCTACAACCTGCAACAGCTAAGTCTATCAGTGCAAACAGCTTAATATTACTTGACTTGAATACGCAAGCTAAACGACAGCCTCCAGGAGTATTGAGGCCAAGCCGGTTATGCGCACACGCACACACCAAGACCGCACATCAAGAGATAGTGGTGAAAATTATCTGTCTCCTCTTCTTGAAGCCATTTCCCCCTCCCCTTTCCCTTCCAGGCATCAACAATGGTTTTCATATCGCCTATGCACTGATGCCAGTAATTTGGATTGCTGTACTGTGTTTATGGGATGCGGGTGGCGCTGTGGGTTAAACCACAGAGCCTAGGACTTGCCGATCAGAAGGTCGGCGGTTCGAATCCCCGCAACGGGGTGAGCTCCCGTTGCTTGGTCCCTGCTCCTGCCAACCAAGCAGTTCGAAAGCACGTCAAAGTGCAAGTAGATAAATGGGTACCGCTCCAGTGGGAAGGTAAACGGTGTTTCCGTGCGCTGCTCTGGTTCACCAGAAGCGGCTTAGTCATGCTGGCCACATGACCCGGAAGCTGTACGCCAGCTCCCTCGGCCAATAAAGTGAGATGAGCGCCGCAACCCCAGAGTTGGCCACGACTGGACCTAATGGTCAGGGGTCCCTTTACCTTTTTATGCACTGAGGGAAAGCATGGCCGAGCGCTTGTCCACACTTCCGCTCGGGCTGTGTCTAAAAAGCACAGGTCTGTGCTCTTTATTGACACCCTTTCTAGGCAGGGGTCCAAGAGGTTTTCCCCTTTCCGAGGGAAAACCTCTTTAGCAGTAGATTGGAACAAATGGTATTCTCTGATTTGCCGTTTGCTCTGACTGAGTGCTCAAGAGCAGTTTTCCCCGGGGATGGGGGAAGCAACAGAACAAGAGGAAAGGTGGATAAGCCCTGAGCTGAGGGAGGAAGACAAAAACACATCTGAAAAGTCTCTGCATACAGAGCAAGAGATGTCCACACTAGGGCTGGGCAATAAATCAATATATCATCCAAAAACTGTTTGAAGTCTACATCGCAATATGGGTTTCATAATTTTTGACCTGGCAATATATTGCAAATCATGATGTATATATGTGTGTGCTATGCAAAAATCACAATGAGGGGAAAACTGCGAAGCCAGGCAATGTCTCTACATAGCTCCATCCTTGTTTCAGACATTGTGATATATCACAATGTTTAGCTGGTGATATATTGCAATGCAGAAAACCAGATATCGCCTGGTCCTAGTCCACACATGCCTTCCCAAAGGGGGCACATGCCATAGAAGGCTTTGGCACACCAGTCAGGAAACCAAATAAAAACTTTATCTTTCCCAAATGAGAACAGAACAGAGTCAGGAAACTGATACAACAACTAAGTCCAGCGACATAATGATACACAATGTGCACATGGGCAGAAGTGAGATAATGGAAGGGGTTCATGGGAGGTGATAAGAATTTCTGTTGTCCCCCCCCCAAATATTTTTATTGTTTTTTTCACAAACATAAATAAAACTTAATCTTTTACAATCATCATATTATATCATCTTATTTACACTGCGTAAATTCACGCCCAGATTTCCATCCTTCCCTGCTTCAGTGTTCTTAGTTTATAACTTCTCTTGTAGATTCTTATTTACCTTCTATACACATCACAGGATTTATGTTAACCCTACTACAGTTTTTAGACTTCTACAGTTAATTCTTATATATGCAACAAATTTACCCCACTCTTCTTCAAACTTTGTCCCTTTTTGGTCTCGAATTTTATAAGTCATTTTAGCTAATTCTGCATACTCAAAAAATTTAGTCTGCCACTCCAATACTGTTGGGGTCTCCTGTAATTTCCACTTTTGAGCCACGAGGATCCTAGCTGCAGCCGTAACAAATTGAAATAGTTTAAGATCCTCCTTTATCAGGGAGGTGAGCAGAATTTCTGGAATTACCCCTAAGACGGCTCAAAAGCCATGGGGCAGCTGCTGAAACAGAGCACCCTCTGGGGTTGGGTAGTTGATGCTAAGTGGTGTTGCTGTAGATAAGATTCCACATGGCTGCTGTCCATTAAGCAAACGACATTAAAATAAAAGCCATGCACATGCTCATTGCTAGGTGATATTTGAAGACTGCAGTCTTAAAAATAACAGGAGTATCCGTGCTGAGTCTGGGAACATTCCAGATAAATATGCAACAGCAAAACATATTCTGGGAACTGAGCAAACAAACACCCCAAAGCTATATTGGTTGTTAAGACACTCCTGTGAGGGAGTTTCTTATTACTTCTTGTGATTTCTATGTACAGTGGTACCTCTGGTTACGTACTTAATTTGTTCTGGAGGTCTGTTCTTAACCTGAAACTGTTCTTAACCTGAAGCACCACTTTAGCTAATGGGGCCTCCTGCTGCCGCTGCACCGCTGGAGCCCGATTTCTGTTCTCATCCTGAAGCAAAGTTCTTAACCCGAGGTACTATTTCTGGGTTAGCGGAGTCTGTAACCTGAAGCGTATGTAACCTGAAGCATATGTAACCCGAGGTAACACTGTAATATCAACTCTTCTCTTTTCTTTTTAGCCAGAGAAAACGGTCTTCCATAATCCTTCCTCCTAGTGGAGCGCTAATGAACCCAGATGTTGCTCAATTATTCAACGACTGCTGTCAAATTGGCGGAAACAGAATTAAATAATTCTGCATGTTGCCAATTAGAAGCATTGGCTTAGATCCTGGGCAGGGGTGCTCTTCTTTAGAAAGGGACAGGAAGACATTTCATCTGAAGGATGAGATTACTTGGGAAGAAAGATCATGGGGTCACACTCCATCAGTGGCCGGGCCAGATCCGTAGGGGATGGGGCCAAGTTGCTGCCCCTCCCCAACCTGTTCAGCTCAGCTGAGAAGCGAGATATTTTCATCCCCGGGCAGGGCAGCGAGATTTAAAGCAAGATGAAAGCCTATCTCTCACTCAGATGATCCGTACCAATATGGTGAATAGTAGTGAGGGCCTGACTTTCCTTCCCTTTGTCTCACGCTGGGTTTAAAGCTCCTTGCCCCACACAGCAGGCAGAAAGCCACACCACCATCAGATCAGCTGAGAAGCAGTCAGCTGTTTTCTTCCAGTTCATGCTTACTGGGTTGGGAAGGTTTAAACCTGTCTGCCCAGTGGGCTGTGCTGGCGATGACATTGGGCCCTCCCTGCCCCTCAGTTAATCCAACCTGCCCTTCACTGCACACTTCCTGTAGTTTCTGCACCAGCAGCATAGTGATGGGAAATGGCAGCACCAGCCTAATTTCCCATACACATTATTATTATTATTATTATTATTTATTTATTCTGTCAAAAAAAATTAGAAGTGCAGTTTGCTAGCACAGAGGCAGAAATGATAGCATCTATTCCTTGAAGCCAAGGAATGAGTCTCCTGAGCTGGGGTTCATGAGTTCACTTCATTTTTAACATTAAAAACAACTTGGAGAAACGGATCCTGCTTTTACTGTCTTTCGTTCTCTCACTGCTGTCTCAATTCTGGTTTTTTTACTGTGTTGTAAAATGTGTCCTTCGCTGGTTTGTCATCTTTTGTCTGTTTGGATATATAGTGGGTTAAGAACTTAATTTGTTCTGGAGGTCCGTTCTTAACCTGAAACTGTTCTTAACCTGAGGTACCACTTTAACTAATGGGGCCTCCTGCTGCCTCTGCGCTGCTGCTGCGCTCATCCTGAAGCAAAGTTCTTAACCCGAGGTACTATTTCTGGGTTAGCAGAGTCTGTAACCTGAAGCGTCTGTAACCCGAGGTACCACTGTATTTTAGAAGCCTCTCTGCTCAGGCACACAAGTAGGGATCTGTTGGTTTTAAGAATTACCTCCAGGATGAAACCAAGGCAGGTCCACAAACCCACTCAGTTGAATGCAACTCATAAATCATATACTAGATTGTGATGTAAGAACTTTACTGCTTTCCTAGTCCTAGGCATCAACAATACATGACTGCTGAGCTGTGTTTACCTCTCTAGTCCTCAAGATGTGTTGGCCTGGACTGAGGGCCAGGTAGGATGTACGTTCTGGATGCACTCATCCTGCTTGTTTGGTCGACTCTGGGGTTTTGGCGCTCATCTCGCTTTATTGGCCGAGGGAGCCGGCATACAGCTTCCAGGTCATGTGGCCAGCATGACTAAGCCACTACTGGCAAACCAGAGCAGCGCACGGAAACGCCGTTTACCTTCCCACCAGAGCAGTACCTATTTATCTACTTGCACTTTGATGTGCTTTTGAACTGCTAGGTTGGCAGGAGCAGGGACAGAGCAATGGGAGCTCACCCTGTCACGGGGATTCGAACCGCCGACCTTCTGATCGGCAAGTCCTGGGCTCTGTGGTTTAACCCACAGCGCCACCCGCGTCCCTCCCAGAAATAAATATATACGCAGCCAATATAAAAACAAATCTTTAAAACACCACATTATACAAACACAGCGGTGTTATAGACTTAAGGGGGACCCCCCAACCCTAGAAATTAATAAATTCTAGGATTTGGGGATATGGATTTAAGTACAAGCCAGTGGCGGAGCGCATGCTTCCGGTGCCCGGTGCAAATGTGCATGGCGCATCCCCAAGGTGGGGCAGGGCAGAGACGGAGCCCGTTGCCCCTCACCGCAGTCCAGCCAAGGAGAGGGGCAGTACTCTCTGCTGCTGACTCCTCCACTGCGCTCCCGGATCAGAGCTTCACACGCTGGAGCCTGCCCAATGGGAGCCTGTTCTGGGGGCACCTGGTGGCACCACCTCCCCCAAATCTGCCCGGGGTGACAGCCCCCACTCCCCGCTATGCCACTGGTATACAAGCTGCAGAGCTCTGTTAGACAGGGGATTCCTGGCCTGGCTTATGGAAACCAGCCTGGCTGGCTTAGTGAAGAGCAAACCTGTTAACATGACAAAAGGTGCTGACAGGCCATCGAGGAGGAATCCTTTGGCCTGGGGAGTCAGATGTTACTAAGGTGATGGGGACAGAAAAAGGGCATTTTATAGCAAGGGTGCTGGGAAGGAGAAGCAGGAGGAAGAGCCGAGATCCATTTTGGGGGAAGCTGGCGGCAAGTCCCTCTTGAAGCGACCATGCTGTAAGATCTGTACTTCCTCCATGCAGACTGAGGGTGTAAATAGGTGAATAAACCGTATTTCATGACAGTCTCCTCCATGTATTCCTTTCTCCAAAGGGAGACAGACCCTGTGTGGGTGCCTGGTACCCCATGGCTCTTGCTACCACTCGGCAGAGAGAGGGGCAGGCACCTGACTTTTGTAACATGATACATTATCAAATGGCAAAGTCACACTTCAGGGAAGGCTTTGATGCTATGTCTGGCTCTTTTGAGCATCACCATATACCTGGAAATACAGTGGTACCTCTGCATGCGAACGGGATCCATTCCGGAGCCCCATTCACATCCTGAATAGAACGTAAGACGCGTCTGCGCGGGTCACGTTTCGCCGCTTCCGCGCATGATGTCATTTTGAGCATCTGCGCATGCGCAAGCGGCGAAACTCAGAAGTAACATGCTCCGTTACTTCTGGGTTGCCACGGAGAGTAACTAGAAAAAGCTCAACCTGAAGCACATTTAACCTGAGGTATGACTGTATAAAGAAAATGAGAATAATAATATGTGGAAAGGGCTGGTCGGATACTGGACCTTATCTAGGGAAAATCCAGCAAGTAAAAAACAACAACAACCCCCAAAACTAATGGCCCATGTGCAGATTAAAATCCTGCCTAGAAGCACCCAGCACTGATAGATCTGAATCTTCCTGAACTCTCACATGCAAAGGCACACACCTTTAAAGTCTTTGGTGAGGCTGTTCATTCCCTGCTGCTAAATCTTGTACTAAAAGTTATGTGTTCGTCTTGGCAGCATAAAACATGCAGTGGATGGGGCTGGGCAGAGAGATGTTAAGTGATTCTTGGAGAAATGTCGTGATTTATGTTTGTTGTTCCTGTCCCATTAGTCTTGCAGGAATCTGCCATCAGCACTAAAAGAGCTGTTCCAGCAGCCAGACTCATTAACTGTGTAAAAGGTGTCATGAGAAGGTGCGAGGGAGGATAGAAAATAGAGGAGAAAACCCAAAGAATGAGAAAGCTTTCTGAAAGGCAGCAGGCAGAGATTTATATATATCTTATTTATACCCTACCTTTCTCTCCAGATACTTATATGGTAAGTAGCTAACAGGAACTAAAAGCAGGACAAACATGCATGAATAGTAATCAACATGAGGAAGAGATTAACAGCAATTCAAGGGAAACATCTAGATTACAGGTGTCATTTTTGTATGTGTTGTAATTTTTGTATGTGTATGCATGTGTAAACATTTATACTATCCTTTTCTGACTTTTTAAAAACAAAAATAACATTTGTTTGCTTGGAAATAATCCCCACTGAGTAACTGGATTGCAGTCATCTATATACCATTTTAGGGACACGGGTGGCGCTGTGGGTTAAACCACAGAGCCTAGGGCTTGCCGATCAGAAGGTCGGTGGTTCGAATCCCCACGACGGGGTGAGCTCCTGTTGCTCAGTCCCTGCTCCTGCCAACCTAGCAGTTCGAAAGCACGTCAAAGTGCAACTAGATAAATAGGTACCGCTCCGGGGGGAAGGTAAACGGCGTTTCCGTGTGCTGTTCTGGTTCGCCAGAAGCGGCTTAGTCATGCTGGCCACGTGACCCGGAAGCTGTACGCTGGCTCTCTTGGCCAATAAAGCGAGATGAGCGCCGCAACCCCAGAGTCTGTCACGAATGAACCTAATGGTCAGGGGTCCCTTTACCATTTACCCAGAAGTCATATTGAACTTAATGGGGCTTACCTCTGAGTATACAGCGTTGCTTCTAGTTGCAGACAGGATCTGTTCTGGAGCTCTGGTCGGATCCCAAGGTTTCCGCAACCAGAGGGACCGCTTCTGCACATGTGTGCATGGCGGTAGAGCGCTTCTGTGCATGCGTGCGGGGTGAAAACCGGAAAAATACTTCCATGTTTGCCGCGTACGTATCCCGAAAGATACGTAACTGGAGGTGAACCCAAGTAGAGGTACGACTGCATATTTCATGGAATCATAGAATTGTAGAGTTGGAAGGGACCACAAATATCATCAGGAATCTTTTGCCCAACGTGGGAATGTGCTGTTAGTTTTTATTGTATTTTATTGTTTTAAAATCCATCTTCAAAGCTGAATGTAGAAAGGTAGGATGGAAATACTCGTATTTGTAATGCATAAATACAGTGGTACCTCGGGTTAAGAACTTAATTCATTCTGGTAGTCTGTTCTTAACCTGAAACTGTTCTTAACCCGAGGTACCACTTTAGCTAATGGAGCCTCCTGCTGCAGCCGCCGAAGCCACGCGATTTCTGTTCTCATCCTGAAGCAAAGTTCTTAACCAGAAGTACTATTTCTGGGTTAGCGGAGTCTGTAACCTGAAGTGTCTGTAACCCGAGGTACCACTGTACCTGGTGGGAAATGGGATCAGTTTCAATCTGACCTGAACATCTTCTGATTATGTACCATGTCAAACGCAGCCCACTGGCTATGTCAAGTAAGTAACTCACCTCCTGGAAGTCACAAATCTCCTGGTCTTGCTACCTGCAACCACGTGGATATTCTTGACCTCAAGATGAATCGATGGGGAAAGCTTCATCTACTTCATCAACTTCCTGACAGTAAGAGCTGTTCGACAGTGGAATTTGCTGCCAAGGAGTGTGGTGGAGTCTCCTTCTTTGGAGGTCTTTAAGCAGAGGCTTGACAACCATATGTCAGGAGTGCTCTGATGGTGTTTCCTGCTTGGCAGGGGTTTGGACTCGATGGCCCTTGTGGTCTCTTCCAACTCTATGATTCTATGATTATATCTGCCTACATGTTCAGACTGCTCTTAAAGGCGCAGCCCATAACCATAGTCCACAGTGGTTGATGTTCATTTACTAGCTTGGCAGCTATTACACAAATTCACATGAAAATTTTATAAATAATCTTTAAACTTCTGCAGATTCCATACGTTTTCCCTGCCTGTTCTGGATCTATATACACAGCAGGAAGAGATGCAGTAAAACATTTTCAGCCTTCCAAAATGTAACCGTTTTGAGTTTTGTCTTGAGTTTTCTGTTGCCCGGTGCCTGGATTGTTCTTTAAATATAGTTGGAGAGACTGGAGCTCAGATGCCAGCTTTGTGTGTTTTTGGTGGCCCTTTATAAAAATGACATCCTCTACTGTAGTTAAAACAACAACAACCTAATTTCACTTTTTCTCTTCTTTTAGCCATTACTGGATTTTTCTTTATTTATTTTTTTCACCCCACTTATCTAAGATTACATGGTCTGGCATTCCTGAGATGCAGAAAGCTCAGGTTTTACTTCCAACATTGTTCTACTGGTCACACAAGGGGATAATCACAAAAGGAATGAAAAGTAGGGCAACAGAATGTCTGTCCTGTGAAATATATAGATGCACTGAACCAGGCTTCAGCAAACTTTTTCAGCAAACATGTATAAAACATGTAATAAGTGTTGGAAATGTAAAGAAAAAGAAGGAACATTTTATCATATGTGGTGGGATTGTAAGAAGGTGAAGGGCTTCTGGGAAATGATATATAATGAGATGAAAAAGATGTTGAAATATACGTTTGTTAAGAAACCAGAGGCTTTTCTTCTAGGAATAGTAGGAAATGAAATAAATAGAATGGACTGTAAACTTTTCCAATATGCAGTAACAGCAGCGAGAATATTATTGGCCCAAAAATGGAAACAGGAACAACTGCCGACGCTCGAAGAATGGAGAATGAAACTGATGGAGTATGCTGAACTGGACAAACTAACAGGAAAGATCAGATATATACGAGATCAAAAGTTCATTGAAGTCTGGGGAAAATTTTCAGACTATCTGAAATGTGTATGTGATGAGCAAATAACGCTAGTGGGATTTCAAGAAGTTCTGTAAATGATAGAGGACTATTGTATTGATGAAAACTAAGTGTGTGAAGGTTTATAAAATGCAATATAAAATTAGGAAATGCGTATTTAAAAATTTGAATAATGGATGATTGTCAGAGAGGTTGAAGGAAGTCTAAAAGAGAAAATATGTGATAAATTTAGATTGGATACTATAAATGTATGTTGGAAAATTTAATAAAAAATAAAAAAAAAACACAAAAACTTTTTCAGCAGGAGGCCAGTCCACTGTCCCTCAGACCTTCTTGGGGGCTGGACTATATATATATGTATTGGGGGGGAATAAAATAATTCCTATGCCCCACAAATAACACAGAGATGCATTTTAAATAAAATCACACATTCTACTCATGTAAAAACACCAGGCAGGCCCCACAAATAACTCAGAAAGGCATTTTAAATAAAAGGGCACATCCTACTCATGTAAAAACACGCTGATTCCCGGGCAGTCTGCGGGCCAGATTTAGAAGGCGATTGGGCTGGATCTGGCCGCCGGGCCTTAGTTTGCCTACCCATGCACTAAACCTCAGTGGACTGCCCATTTAAGGGATAGTGAAGTCAATATGGCTGGAAGTGGAAGCAGATTTTACCGGTGATATCAGGGAGGTCTGCTTAGCTAGCCCAGAGATGGAAAGAATAAAAGAGTCCCTACCAGAGAGGAATGGCAAGCTAAACTGATGGGACTACAGTGGTACCTTGGGTTACATACGCTTCAGTTACATACGCTTCAGGTTACAGACTCCGCTAACCCAGAAATAGTACCTCGGGTTAAGAACTTTGCTTCAGGGTGAGAACAGAAATCGTGCTCCGGCGGTGCGGCGGCAGCAGAAGGCCCCATTAGCTAAAGTGGGGCTTCAGGTTAAGAATAGTTTCAGGTTAAGTACGGACCTCCGGAACGAATTAAGTACTTAACCCGAGGTACCACTGTATGCCAAAATGGCAAAGCTGACTGGAAAGCTCAGGAACCAAGAGGACAAAATAGAATGGGAATTTTAAAAAAATTATTTAAGAGACCACTGCAAGCAGATGTAAACATTAGCAGGATTTTAATCTCACTTGTAATGTAACAAATACTATAGATAATATGGATGGATGTAAAATATAGATCAGGCATAGGCAAACTCGGCCCTCCAGATGTTTTGGGACTACAGTTCCCATTATCCCTGACCACTGGTCCTCTTAGCTAGGGATGATGGGAGTTGTAGGCCAAAACATCTGGAGGGCCGAGTTTGGGGGTGCCTGATATAGATTATGGAACAATATGCAGTTGTCAATGATGACAATAGGACCCATGTGTTGCAGGAATTTATGTATAGGTTGGGGGGGGGTTGCCCCTCCAGCAGGTATCACGCACATGCAGCCCACTACCAAAACCAGCACAATCACTTTTGTGACTTTGGTGATTTGTCCCCACAAAACACTTCATCACAGTTTCTTCCTATCTATTCATAGGGCCTTTGCTGCACGATACCAAATGTAACTATTCACTGATAAATTTATCTATGTACTGGCTCACTGGGAAAATTTCAGAAATTCATATAGACATGTGAGCTCAGCTACTCAGCAGCCCCTCTGCCTGAGTGATAATTCCTGGCATCCTGATACCTGAGTGCCAGACAGGTAGCCATTCCAGAAATAAGAAACCCAGATGAGGACAAAAGGGTGTGATTAACTTGGCTGGGAAACAGGGAAATGTAAATACCTCTTTTGTTACACTTGATGGGTGTTTGGTGGAGGGCAAGGAGAACCATGGGGCAGGGTCCAGGATGCCCAGATTACTGCCACCAGACCTCCCCTTTCATGATGTAACCATGATGTATTAGTGATGTAGTTTGGGGGGGTGTAACATGGGGATTAGCAGCTAATAAAAGTTTGGGGGCTCTTTTGTTCGGAGCTTCCATCTTGTTCCACCATGTGGCAGGTGGGAGTCCTGTCGCGACAGTCTTCAATAAAGACCAAGCCTACTGGCTGCTGTTTTGCTCTGGTATTCCTGGCTGGTGTCTTTGTTTTTTGTCCAAGGGAGCCCTCAGATTTCTCCGTTAACACATGGAAGGGTTGGGGGGAAGTTGTGAGAGTCAGAGCAGCAATCTCTATATATGGATATCCATTTGGATTGTTAGAAACTTATATTTGTAAAATCAAATAAAAATGTTTTTGGTTTTCGTTTTTAAAAAGGAAGGTTTTGCTTAGGTTAATTTATAAATTGTACTTACCCACCTTTCTTCCAAGGGGCCCATGGTGGCATACGATACATCAGAGCTTTCCAAACTTTTGGTTGTTGGCGACACACTTTTTAGACGTGCATCATTTCGCGACACAGTAATTCAATTTTACTACCAAACCGGAGGTTAAACTAACCCCCTTCCCAGCCCCGGAAGGGGTGCAGGCAGCATTCACACAACACACCTAAACACTGCAGCCAACACACTAACATGTCACTACACAGAGTTTGGAAAGCTATGCTATCCTTTTCGCTGAGCCTCCCATCAACCTTTGTGATGCAGGTATGCCATAGACACCCATGGGGAGGTCAGATGAAAAAAGAGGATTGTGTTCTACACTGAAATAGGTTGTGTAGAAGAAGGAATTCTATGCATCTTTTCTATACAAGTAAAGGCGCAGGCGCTCTCGTCATCCTGTCACTCAGAGTGCATCAGAGTGGGGATTTGAACATGAGCCAATCTAGTCCATCACTCCCTTTCCTTTCTGCCTCTTGTTATATGAAGAAGCCATTAATGAGGATACTCACAGGAAGCTGATGAATGGCTGATGTTAAAGGTAAAGGTAAAGGGACCCTGACCATTAGGTCCAGTCGTGACCGACTCTGGGGTTGCGGCGCTCACCTCGCTTTATTGGTCGAGGGAGCCAGTGTTTGTCCACAGACAGCATCCGGGTCATGTGGCCAGAATGACTAAGCTGCTTCTGGCGAACCAGAGCCGCACACGGAAACGCCGTTTACCTTCCTGCCGCAGCGGTACCTATTTATCTACTGGCACTTTGACATGTTTTCGAACGGCTAGGTTGGCAGGAGCAGGGACCGAGCAACGGGAGCTCACCCCGTCGCAGGGATTCGAACTGCCGATCTTCTGATCGGCAAGTCCTAGGCTCTGTGGTTTAACCCACAGCGCCACCTGTGTCCCTTATGGCTGATGTTAGAGGCAGGGAAAGGAAGATCTCCCAGGTAGAGACAGCAGTATTCCGGATATGTCCCAGAAATTCCGGGCATATGGCAAGCCTAGTCTTAGAGTACAAAAAATGGAAGTCTCTCTGCTGACCTTTCTAAAAGAAGATTCTATCTCACATATCTTGGTGACACTTCAGCTTTTAATGTTCTTGTGCTCAAAACTGAAACTGAAATGACAAAATACCTGCAGAAAGGATTGCAAACTTTACTAATTTAATTCTCTATTTCCTGTATAATTAACTGAACAAAAGTGGTCCACGAAGCAAAGCAGAAATGTATTGGATGCCATAAACCTGATTTATAAGGGTAACTGAAGGCTCTAAGTGTAATTGCAGGAGGCTTTCGAAAGATCAATATACTACAATATAGTAAATGATGTGAAAGCACTTTTGGAGGATCCTAGAAGAGAACAAATACCAGATGATTTCCTATTTATTTTTACTCGCCCCGTTAGTCAGAACAAAAGAATTCTTAGGGAAGCTTTCAAGCCTTTTTGTACGATGAACTAAACATGTATTGATAACCATTTGTTGTCCTACACACCAGCAAAATAAATATGTGGAAATTTAAGGTTTGGGAGATGGACATGTTAACTTCACTGAAAATTCAGTTTGTTCTTTGTTCTAAAGAATAAGTAATCCCACTCCAAGGAACCAGGACAGTTAACAATACAGAACAATCATTAATTAGAGAAATTGTAACTAATTTCAAGCACTGGAAATGAAGTTTTCACAGTGCTCTTTCAACAGTGTTAATTGATTGTTTTTATTGTTCTGTTGTATATCTTACTGTTTTAATTTACACTGTAAACTGCTCTCAGCTAAACATTATGAAGTGGCGTTTAAATTTCTTAAGTAAATAAAACTTGGCGTACTTCTGTACTGTCTTTTTTCGGGGTGAGATTCAATCACATATTGGCAAATTTAGATTGCTGCTTTCAGGCACACATTATTAAATACTGCATCTTGATGAGTTTTCTCCCAAACAGGCTTTGATCTGAATTGGAAAAAATAATGACCTAGTTGCATTTTAAGCCAGCGTTGTGTACGCAGCCCATGTGTGGAAAGAATTGTGGCCTTAGAAGGCAATCTTGCATTATACTGACCATAGCTGTCAACTTTTCCCTTTTCTTGCGAGGAATCCTATTCGGAATAAGGGAATTTCCCTTAAAAAAGGGAAAACGTTGACAGCTATGATACTGACGGACCTGGAAATAACATTCAGTGAGATAAACAAATTGTGTTTTCAAATAAATGAACTTAGGATGTAAGGGCATGGATACTTAAAAGACGGATTTGCACAACAAATGGAAGAACTTGACATTTTCGCGATTATTCTAGACCAAAGGGAAAATCAAAAATGCAAATGATGCTCAGCTTGGTTTTCTATGTTTGTGACCTAAACTCACTAAGTGTTATGCAAAGGAGATTAGTTGTGATCTGTGGTCCTTGGTGCACTTTGCCGAATTGGGGTGCCAAGCTTTCGGTTAGCTTTTCAAGCGTAGCATGCGAAGTTTGACACACAACTTCCTCTAACAACAATTAAAACCGATAATCTCATTATCCATGTACTGGTTTCTCTAATGGGTCCATAAATTATGTATTCCAAAGAATCAAGGAAATTCAGAGCTCAGGAGAAAGGCAAAGATAACTTGCTTTTGAGATTCCGTTCAACTAGGAAACGCACAGCCTGCTGCTTCAAGCTTCATTAACTCCCTTATTTGTCTGCTCCTCCTTCGAAACAGCTGCACGCGCAGAGACTTCTGCTGCTAGGCCCTGTCTGTGAATGGATATTGCCAGCACACTTGTCTTCTCTCTAATCTCTGCTTGCTCTGTGTCTCTGCTTTCCGCCACTTTCCTCTGCTACCGTATTTTTCGCTCTATAGGACCCACTTTTTCCCCTCCAAAAATTAAGGGGAAATGTGTGTGCGTCCTGTGGAGCGAATGCAGACTCCTTGGCTTCAGCGATAGCAACGCGAAGCCTCCGAAGCGCAGAAGGAGCGCTCCCTCCGCGCTCCGGAGGCTTCGCGTTGCTATTGCTGAAGCCTGGAGAGTGAGAGGGGTCAGTGCACACCAACCCCTCTTGCTCTCCAGGTTTCAGGGATAGCCGCCTGAAGGGTTCCTTTTGCTGAAGCCGGGAGAGCAAGACTCTCCTGGCTTTAGCAGAGAGGGAGAACTGCACAGCGCCCCTTCAGCCAAGTGGGAGGAGAAATGGAAGGGGCCCCGTTTCTCCTGCCGCTTCACTGAAGGGGCGCTGAGCAAAGAGTGGGAGAATTTTTTTCCCTTGTTCTCCCCCTCTAAAACAATGTGCGTCCTATGGTTGGGTGTGTCCTATAGAGCGAAAAATACAGTATTTACTCAGGGTCAAAACAGGTGTGGCATGAAACGTGTGAATGCATGGAAGGTGTCTTGTCTTGGACTTGTAGTGTCGGGTTTAACCCTCTGCGCCACCCACCATGTTCTGCATTGGGTCAACCACCCTTCTTCTCTCCCTCCCCAGAAGCACCAGTGACCTGCTGTGCTGGGAAGCTAGGAGAGCGATGGCACCCCACCTGTGGTTCCTCACAGCCACTACTGTGATGACATATGGGTTATTGGACTGGGATTGTGTGGGATGTATCACCACTGAAGCAGTCAAATACAACATTTCCTGTTGCCCAGAGTGGACACACAGGGGAATGTTGCTCCAGACACGGAGAACTTTCTGTCATACCTGCTCTGGATTATCCTGCCCCTGTGTGTGGCCAGGTAGATGGGTGTGACCCTGGCAGACACTATAAAAGGGCTAGTCACACAGCCATCTTCTTCTTTTGCCATCCTCCTCTCTGCTGGCTCTTAGCCATCAGCACATGGCTCATCCTTACAGAGGATGGAAGTCACAGGGTAGAAAGTCTGAGGCTCAGACTTCTTTTCTCTACAAATGAAACTGTAACCACAAGATTAAAGCCTGCCTTCAGAATACAGTGGTAAAAGGTAAAGGTAAAGGGACCCCTGACCATTAGGTCCAGTCATGGCCGACTCTGGGGTTGCGGCGCTCATCTCGCTTTATTGGCCGAGGGAGCCGGTGTACATCTTCCAGGTCATGTGGCTAGCATGACTAAGCCGCTTCTGGCGAACCAGAGCAGCGCACGGAAACGCCATTTACTTTCCCGCCGGAGTGGTACCTATTTATCTACTTGCACTTTGACATGCTTCGCCACTCACGCATGCGCACAAGCGCCAAATCGCGCCACGCACCTGCGCAGATACGGCGCTTCAGGTTGCGCGCTTTTCCTGTTGCGAATGGGCCTCCGGAACAGATTCCGTTCGCAACCAGAGGTACCACTGTAATTTCTTGGAGCTGCCCTGGTCCTGAAATCTGCCCTGGGGTAGGTTAAAAATCCCACAGACTGAAGAACATCCAGGAATATCCTGGTCAGTGCTTTTGTGGGACCTTCTGCTGCCTCAGGGAGGCCCAGCAAGGCCCTCTGCCATCACAGATATATATCATGATATATCAAGATATTTAGCCGGTAATATATCGTGAGATTGAAAACGGGCTATTGCCCAGCCCCAATTTCCACTATTGATTATATTGTACTACTGCACTGATAGCTTTATGTGTTAACTAGCTTATTCCTGAAAATTGCAGGGTGTGTGTCTGTGTGTGCGCGCGTTTCCTTTAGAAGTTTTAGCTTTCCTTGCTTGCTGACAACAGTTATGTGTTTTGGCAGTTGGACAGATGGTTGTTCACAGAAGGTGGCACAGTTCTACTGAATGAGTCTTGGGCAGATGGAGGTATAGGAAAAGCAGACAAGGGAAAGGAGATCTAAATTGGGGTGGGGATTGAGATACTGCAAATTAATTAATAAAGCTGTAAGCGTGAGGAGCACCTGTCTCCCAATAAACACCTGCCTGGAAGTGCCACTAGGTACAGTGGTCCCTCGGGTTAAGAACTTAATTCGTTCCAGAGGTCCGTTCTTAACCTGAAACTGTTCTTAACCTGAAGCACAACTTTAGCTAATGGGGCCTCCCACTGCCGCCGTGCCGCTGGAGCACGATTTCTGTTCTCATCCTGAAGCAAATAGTACCCGAGGTACTATTTCTGGGTTAGCGGAGTCTGTAACCTGAAGCATCTGTAACCCGAGGTACCACTGTATTATGGGCAGGTAGCTCTGGTTTAGAAGAAGAAGAAGAAGAAGAAGAAGAAGAAGAAGAAGAGGAGGAGGAGTTTGGATTTGATATCCTGCTTTATCACTACCCTAAGGAGTCTCAAAGCAGCTAACAAGCTCCTTTCCCTTCCTCCCCCACAACAAACACTCTGTGAGGTGAGTGAGGCTCAGAAAAGTGTGACTAGCCCAAGGTCACCCAGCAGCTGCATGTGGAAGAGCGGGGAATCGAACCCGGTTCACCGGATTATGAGTCCCCTGCTCTTAACCACTACACTACACTGTCTTATTTTACACATGTCCTACTCTCTTCCCCGGTGCCCTGCTTAACAGTTTGCTGGCTTTTGATATTTGCACTTGAGGATGGGCCAAAGAGACAGAAGAGGGATTCTGTTAGTCTCACCCACCGTACAGTAGCCTCCTTGCCTGAGCATGGGACTTACTGTTTCAGGGCAGTTCAACATCCAAGCTGTTCAACTAAGCTACATTTTACTGCCTGTGCAACCTTTCTGACTAATGTATGGAAAAGCACATGAACCTGACCTTTGGAGTGTTTGTAAGTAAACCCATCTTTTAACTTATCAAATCTGTGGTCTTTTCCTATGCTGGGGGAGAAAGGAAACTTTGGAAGGAGCTTGAAAGGGCATCTTCTAAAGGTCTAACAGCCTATATTTCCATGCTTTGCTTTGATGCATATTTTTGTGGGTTTTAAATTTCTGCTGGAGTTCTCTCACCAAAGAGTACTTGCCCAAAACTTGGATCTTGGCATCCAGGAATTATGCTTTCTATACCTCATTTTGCACCAGCACTATGTTGACAAAGAAATTTTATCACATGGGAAATCTCAGAAAGGTGAAGGCTAAAAAAATGCTGCAATGAAGAGTTTTGATTACTCTGGAATAATTTGTGGTGGGCATGGCGTTGCTGTTTCAAATGTGACTGCCTTTCTCTGTGTGGTTGCTGCTGCTGCTGTTCCCTTTAAAGCAGCTGTGGGTCGTGAAGAGGGCTTTAATTTGGATCAGGGCCATAGCTGTCAATGTTTTCCTTTTTTTTAAGGGAAATTCCCTTATTCCGAATAGGATTCCTCGCAAGAAAAGAGAAAAGAAGAGTTTGGATTTGATATCCCGCTTTATCACTCCCCGAAGGAGTCTCAAAGCGGCTAACATTCTCCTTTCCCTTCCTCCCCCACAACAAACACTCTGTGAGGTGAGTGGGGCTGAGAGACTTCAAAGAAGTGTGACTGGCCCAAGGTCACCCAGCAGCTGCATGTGGAGGAGCGGAGACGCGAACCCGGTTCACCAGATTACAAGACTACCGCTCTTAACCACTACACCATGCTGGCTCTCAGAAAAGTTGACAGCTATGATCAGGGCAAGGATGCCCTACCTGTCTCAACCCTACTCAGCCTTCAGTGCCAAGATTTTCTCCCTCCATAACAACAACAAAATGTGACTTTAGCTAAACTTATACACACACTCATCCTGATGGAAGCATTGAGTTAGGCTATCTGCTTGCAAACTCGCCTTATAGTCTGGTGAACGAGACACCAGGATGCAGGTTTATAATGAAATTAATACTTCACCCGGCCAATCTGACATCCTTTAAAATATCCCATCAGTAGTTATTAATAGCTGTCACTGATCCTGTGTGACATTTTCGATTACAGCCTTCCTCCCATGGAATCTCAAAGGCCTTTACAGATATCCTAGCAAAATGCCTAACAGGTGGGGTTTTTGCAGAGGGAAGGCTTGCATATTGGAAGAATCCTACAAAGTACATCGCAGTTCTGCGCAACCTACATAGAAGGACACATTGCCTTCCTTTTGGGGATCTCTCTCAGCAGGTATCCAGCCCATCAAGTATCAGGGAAGCAGGAAGTTTCCCTCCCAAATGCATTGCTTAAAGTTTCATTGGGATGAGGGTGGCGCTGTGGGTTAAACCACAGAGCCTAGGACTTGCCGATCAGAAGGTCAGCGGTTTGAATCCCCACGACGGGGTGAGCTCCTGTTGCTCGGTCCCTGCTCCTGCCAACCTAGCAGTTCAAAAGCACGTCAAAGTGCAAGTAGATAAATAGAGCGGGGTGAGCTCCTGTTGCTCGGTCCCTGCTCCTGCCAACCTAGCAGTTCGAAAGCACGTCAAAGTGCAAGTAGATAAATAGGTACCGCTCCGGTGGGAAGGTAAACGGCGTTTCCGTGCGCTGCTCTGGTTTCGTCAGAAGCAGTTTAGTCATGCTGGCCACATGACCCAGAAAAACTGTCTGTGGACAAACATCGGCTCCCTCGGCCAGCAAAGCGAGATGAGCGCCACAACCCCAGAGTCATTTGCGACTGGACTTAACTGTCAGGGGTCCTTTAACTTTAAAGGTAAAGGGACCCCTGACCATTAGGTCCAGTCATGGCCGACTCTGGGGTTGCGGCGCTCATCTCGCTTTATTCAGCTTCCGGCTCATGTGGCCAGCATGACTAAGCTGCTTCTGGTGAACCAGAGCAGCGCACGGAAACGCCGTTTACCTTCCCGCCAGAGTGGTACCTATTTATCTACTTGCACTTTGACGTGCTTTTGAACTGCTAGGTGGGCAGGAGCAGGGACCGAGCAATGGGAGCTCACCCCGTCGTGGGGATTCGAACCGCCAACCTTCTGATCAGCAAGTCCTAGGCTTTGTGGTTTAACCCACAGCACCACCCGTGTCCCTTTACCTTTAGTTTAACCACAGCATGTGGTGAAAGGGCTGCATGGTGGGCAAAAGGCCACACTTTCTAGGCACCTTCTAGCTCTGTGTTTTAAAGCGCCATATCCAGCTGCTTCCCTTAGAACGGTGATGTGTTCTTTACAGACCTATAAACTTTAACTAACCATGTATTTGGCCATTTAGCTCATGTTTCCTGTAGAATCAAGGTTTATTCATGTGTGAAGTTTGTGCATCCATGCATATAGATGGAACTATTACAAAACACATACTTGGTCTTCTGAAAACGTATAAAAACTCACTCTTGTATACATTTCTACGTACTGTGTATTATCCATGCACAAAACACATGGTTTGTCATTATTAAGGCATGAGTGGAAATCACAAGCAGCAGATCACAGAAGTATGCGATGTTCACATCCCTGAGCCGTAAACATCTAAATAGGGTTGTTGTTTTCGCTTTTGCATATTCATGACAAAAACTAAACTTAAGAATAGAGTTGCTTGTGTGGAAACTGGAACCTCCATTTTTGAGTGCGCACACATAAAAGCCTTCTGAAAATTACAGGTCACATACTACCTACAGACCATCAATAGTAAAAAGCTCCTTTTAAAACTGATCACAAGCAGCTAAATTATATGTTGTGTGTAATTAAATGTTGTGGAACATAACTGAAAACCTTCCTATGTTCCATCAATTGCAGAGTATGGGATATGGTTCTTAGAGTGTGGGGGAAAGTAATTAAGCAGGTATGAATATCAAAATGCCTACAAAAGTGTAACAATTTTTTAGTCCCATTTCTAGCACACCCAGACCAAAATGAGTACAGTCATACCTTGGTTTTCAAACAGCTTAGTTCTCGAATGTTTTGGCTCCCGAATGCCACAAACCTGGAAGTGACTGTTCCGGTTTGTGAACTATTTTTGGAAGCCGAACGCCCGACGGGGCTTCTGTGGCTTCTGATTGGCTGCAGGAGCTTCCTGCAGCCAATCAGAAGCTGCTCTTTGGTTTCCGAATGTTTTGGAAGTTGAACGGACTTCCGGAATGGATTCCGTTCGACTTCCAAGGTACGACTGTTCAGTAGGGAGGTCAGAGCTTTGTGGTATATAAAAACACTTACATGCTACAAGGTTGCTGTTAGCAAGATTGTGTATCCATGGCTGAATTAATTGACAGGTATGTTTTATTTTCTACTGAGATGAAGGGACAATGTTTCAATGGCACCCATGTGGGATTTTTGGAGAGGAGATGGTATGGGATGAAAAGGTCAAACCACTCTTCCTTCATGCTGAAATCCTGATATTCATCCTCACAAATGCTATTTCTATTAAAATGCAAGAAGCCCCAGGGAATCTCAAATGGTAAATATATCCTTTAGTCTGGTCCACTGAGCAGTTGAATTCTCTCTTACGGGAGTTAGAACCCACAAGTAAGCGTAGAATTAAAGGATAGGCTGATAAAATATTTGAAATGTGCTGATCTTGTTCAGTTCCATATTCAGGCAGAAACTACCACCCACAAACCAGATCTATTAAGTTAATTAGCATGGACTATAATCAAGCAATATTTTCCTAAGCAGAAACAGCAAGGCTAAGCATTTTTTGTTTTTTTAAATAGATAAATTTGAGGGGCAGTGCAAAAAAAGATAGAAAACACAACTTTTTTTTTTTATAACTGATATATTAATTATACTTTGCATTGAGCTAGGAGACAAATAAAATGATGGGAGAGAGGAAGGCTATCCGCTATAATAAACTATAATATACTATATTAACTAACTATATTAACTATTGTGCAAAATCGAAATGAAACCGAAACAAGAGAAAACCCTGCTATTTTCGATTCTTAAGTTTTCTTCTCCATCACCACAAGATTCACTTCTTGATGGGCTTTACTGTGCTAGGCTGCAAGCATTGTGCCAATAAGAAGATACAGCTGCATCACTCTGCCTGTCCTGCTGCCCTCACCAAGCCTCTGAGGAAGCTCGCTGCTATCATCTGCCACCAGGGCCGGTCCAAGACATTTTGGCGCCTGAGGCAACAACCCCCAAAATGGTGCCCCCTCCCTGCCAGGGAGAAAGGGATGAGCAAATCTCTACATTAGGAACAAGTGGACAAGAAAGACTGATGTTGGGATCTGCTGCCCCAGGGGTCCTGCCGCCTGAAGCGGTCACCTCACCAGGCCCCTTGGGTGGGCCGGCCCTGTGGCCACCTTGAAAACCTACTCCGTTGCTGCACCCTGAAACAGAATACAGTGGTACCTCGGGTTACAGACGCTTCAGGTTACAGACTCCGCTAACCCAGAAATAGTGCTTCAGGTTAAGGACTTTGCTTCAGGATGAGAACAGAAATCGTGCTCCGGCGGTGCAAAAGCAGCAGGAGGCCCCGTTAGCTAAAGTGGTGCTTCAGGTTAAGAACAGTTTCAGGTTAAGAACGGACCTCTGGAAGGAATTAAGTACTTAACCCGAAGTACCACTGTATTTCTATTAAACATTCTATTTCCTCATTTGCGCCCTTATCCCAACTGAAAGGACAAGTTCTCCGTTCTCTCCACGACAGCTACAGGTTTACAGGCAACATCCAATATTAGCACTGCAAAAAAAAAAAAGCAAAAGCAAAACTTCCCTGGCGGTTTGTTGAAGATCGACTCCACCACGTCGTTAAAAGCAGGGCTAATTTCACCATGCAACCTGCAACCAGCGCTGGCGGCTGCTTTTTCCCCATTGTTTTAAATCGCTAGACTAGAGAGGATGGAGGCGGTCAGGCGTCCAAGACGGCCGATCTTTTCCATCCCAAGGGGGAAATCACTAGACTCTTGGAGAGAGTTGCGGGGGTACCCCTAGGGTCATCTAGTCCAACCCGCTGCCATGCAAGGATCTCTCTCTCTCTCGAACCCACGACCCTGCGATGAAGAGTCTCGCGCACTCCCAACGGAAACGAAAGTTTCTAGGCGTTTCCCTTCCTTGGGAGATGGGAAGCACACGCGTAAACTTCTCCTTGCCTGCAGCAGCAGCTGCCAGCGACCCTCAACACACACACCCCCCGTATTGTATTGTATTTATTTATTTTTACCTTGGTGAGCTGGGCGATCTTCTTGCACATTTTCACCTGCAGGTCCGGGTCGCTTTCCTCCGACGCGCTGCGCGCAGGACGCGCTCCCGGAGCCCCGTTGCAAGTCCGGGGCTGGGGGACTTGGCTGGCGCCGGAAGCCATCGGGAAAAAAATCTCTCCGCGTGTTGCGATCGCCTTGTCGTGACACACACACACACACACACACACACACACACAGCCTTTCCTCGCTAGCTAGAAAATAAAAGAAGCACGGGGAGCCCTCAGTTTCCAATTGCGCCTCGCATGCCGGCTAAGCTTCCCTGCTGCGCCCGATCCACAACACAAGGCAGCCGCGCGCAAGGAGAAGGCGAGCACCCCACGCGCGCGCCCGCCCACCCACTCCTCCGCCCGTTGATCGTGGCCCTCCCCTCTCGGCGAAGGGATCGGCCTCCGCCCCCGAGAGATGAGACCACGCGGGCGGGATGCTGCGCATTCCCTGGCGGAGACGCCGAGCCGCTTGCCCGCCCCCGGAGAAGAAGGAGCGAAAAAAGGATGCAGCCGCGCCGGATTAAACCTGGAGAGAGTGAGTGAGTTTGTCTGGCGCAGCGTCCCGCTTCGACGGTGACCGGGCGGAGACGTCCAGGGCGAGCCAGGATCCTGCCCACCCCGCTTGGGTTCCCAGCAGCACCTCTCCTTCAACGCCTCCGCGCGCCGAGGTTGCCTACGGCTCGGTGATGCGCGCCCTGGATCTCGGCCTTTTCTGCCTCCTCGGAAGCTGCTGGGCAACTTCTGGCAGCAAATGATCCCATCGCATAATAGCGCAGGGGAGAGACACTTTCAGCAGCAGGCAAGGCAAAATGCAGCCAAATGAGACTTTGGGTTTGGGGCTTGGCTACCAATTGGTGGATGGGACGAGGGTGGCACCGTGGGTTAAACCACAGAGCCTAGGACTGGCCGATCAGAAGGTCGGCGGTTCGAATCCCCGCGACAGGGTGAGCTCCAGTTGCCCGGTCCCTGCTCCTGCCCACCTAGCAGTTCGAAAGCACAATTAAGTGCAAGTAGATAAATAGGTACCGCTGCAGCAGGAAGGTAAATGGTTCGCCAGAAGCGGCTTAGTCATGTGAGCCACATTACCTGGAAGCTGTACGCCGGCTCCCTCGGCCAATAAAGCAAGATGAGCGCCGCAACCCCAAAGTCGGTCACGATTGGACCTAATGGTCAGGGGTCCCTTTACCTTTACCTTTACCAATTGGCGGTATTCAGGACAATATAAGGGAGCGGGTGGTGCTGTGGTCTAAACCACTGATCCTCTTGGGCTTGCTGATTGGAAGGTTGGCAGTTCAAATCCCCACGACGGAGTGAGCTCCCGTTGCTCTGTCAACCTAGGAGTTTGAAAGCACACCTGTGCAAGTAGATAAATAGGTACCGCTGCAGTGGGAAGGTAAACTGTGTTTGTGTGCGCTCTGGCTTCCATCATAGTGTTCCCTTGTGCCAGAACTGGTCTAGTTATGGCCACATGACCTGGAAAGCTGTCTGGGGGCAAATGCCGGCTCCCTCAGCCTGCAGCAAGATGGAACACCACATCCCATAGTTGCCTTTGACTGGACCCAGGGGTCCTTTACTGCCGCCTCTGCAACACCTTGCAGGGTGCCGTTACAGCCTCGCAGGCTGCCACTGCTACTGCTGCCCCTCCCATTGCTGCCATGAGGACTCGCAGGCCACCACCGCCAGGCCTTGCAGGTTGTTGCTGTTATGTACTGAAGTTCTCACCCTGGGCCAGCAGGGGGATACTGTAGATAGTTATGCAAATGAAGGATCGAAAGTGACGTTCAGTGATTGGATAGTTTTAGAAAGTTGTTACAGTAACATGGTACTGGAGCTCTATATAAGCAGGCTGACTAAGCCCTTCAGTTCAGTTCTGTCCTGGCCTGTGAATAAACAAGAGCTGTTTGAAGAATCGCTGTGTCGTCTGATATGTTCACCCACAACTTAACAGTTGCCACTGCTGCCAACACGTACTGCAGTTATGGCAAGCTGTTTCTGCCACTACTTCTTCTGTGTCCTAGCCTGGCAGTCCCAGATTATTTGTATTCACTATGACTTATCGCTGTCCTTTGGATTGTCCTGAACACCACCATTTGGTAAAGGTAAAGGTAAAGGGACCCCTGACCATTAGGTCCAGTCGTGGCCGACTCTGGGGTTACGGCACTCGTCTCGCTTTATTGGCCGAGGGAGTCGGCGTACAGCTTCCGGGTCATGTGGCCAGCATGACTAAGCCGCTTCTGGCGAACCAGAGCAGTGCACGGAAATGCCGTTTACTTTCCCGCCGGAGCGGTACCTATTTATCTACTTGCACTTTGATGTGCTTTCAAACTGCTAGGTTGGCAGGAGCAGGGACCAAGGAACGGGAGCTCACCCCGTTGCGGGGACTCGAACCGCCAACCTTCTGATCGGCAAGTCCTAGGCTCTGTGGTTTAACCCACAGCACCAGCCGCATCCCTTACCATTTGGTAGCCAAGCCCAAAACCAAAGTCCTGTTTCGATGCGTTTTGGCTTGCCTGCTGGTGAAACTGAGTGTGTGATGATTGATAATACTGTCATTTATCCGTTTTAGACCCCCAAGTGGTAGCACTTGCCAGGACCTTGTTCTGTTCGCCTCTGTCCATCCTTATTTCAGACATTGTAGATTGCAATGTTTAGCTGGTGATAACATTGCAGTGTTTAGCTGGTGAGTTACCGCGATGTTGAAACCCAGATATCGCCTAACCCTTACACACATTGTGGTGTGCGATACATTGCCCGCTCAAATATTATGAATCAGTTATCACGATATGAACTTCAAACTGGTGTTGGACGATATATTGATATATTGCTATATTGCCCAGCCCTAGTTAGAAGCATAGCGTTGGAAGGGACCCTGAGGGTCATCTAGTCCAGCCCCCTGCAATGCAGGAGTCTTTTGCTCGAACCCACAACCAACTGAGCTACCCTGGAAATGAATGTTGTTTAGAAAAAGAGAGAAGGTTGCAAGTGTTTGAGAATTTAACTCTTCTAAAAAATAAAAATGCTGTCTTCTTAAGCAAAAAGCGCTTTATTTATTTTGGAGGCGGGCTGGATTTTCCACAATAAGGAACTCAGGTGTGCTGGAAAACCCCCCCACACACACACACCCCACCACCAAGACTGGAGGATGTGAAGGTTAATGTCCATGCATCACTTTTGTCTGCAATTGTTCAGCAGTCAGTGGATTCCAACAGTCCCAATGAAAAGTCCCAATGAAAAATGGGCTGTCCAATCCACGGCTGCCACATTGTCAAGTTCTTACCAGCATCGTGGACGGTTGCAGTCCCCTGTGCATCTACATGGGCAATCTACCACAGTGACCTCAGTACAGTGGTACCTTGGGTTAAGAACGTAATTCTTTCTGGAGGTCTGTTCTTAACCTGAAACTGTTCTTAACCTGAAGCACCCCTTTAGCTAATGGGGCCTCCTGCTGCCACTGTGCCACTGGAGCATGATTTCTGTTCTCATCCTGAAGCAAAGTTCTTAACCCGAGGTACTATTTCTGGGTTAGCGGAGTCTGTAACCTGAAGCATATGTAACCTGAAGCGTTTGTAACCCGAGGTACCACTGTACAACTTATTCCCACTATACACACGTAGGATTGGGTGGCATAGTAGCAGACCTGTAGACCCACGCACCCACCTCATACAAATTTTCTCAGAAATAGTTTCCGAGTTCATTGAACACATGCTGTAGTAAATGTGCACAGAACTTCAAAGGAAGTTTTACCTGTCCCATGTTGCAGAAAGAATGAGAAAATTGGTCAGTGGGGTAGGTAAAGGTAAAGGGACCCCTGACCGTTAGGTCCAGTTGTGGACGACTCTGGGGTTGCGGCGCTCATCTCGCTTTACTGGCCAAGGGAGCTGGTGTACAGCTTCCGGGTCATGTGGCCAGCATGACTAAGCCACTCCTGGTGAACCAGAGCAGCGCATGGAAAAGCAGGGTGGGTAAGTGCATCTAATGCCTAGCTGGAACCCTGTTTAATAGAGGAGCTGTTCAGCCTTTCAAACAATATAAATTTCAAGTGAGAAATGTTTGGACATGCCCCTCCCCACTTGGGAGGAAGTGTTGCCCAATAGTACACAATTTCCAGATGTTGCTCAAATAATACCACCTTGGATCACATGAGGATTTGGAAAAGTGGTCTTTCATGTTTAGCAAATCAGAGGTACGACTGAGAAGTGGCGAACTGCTTTGCAAGAGCACAGCCTTGCAAATGCCCATGATAATCGCAACAACACTTTTGTAAGCCTGCCTACATGCATGTATAATAGTCACTATGAATTTCCCCTATCCTATTCCCCGCTGGTGACCAAATGAATGCCAGTTTATAAGTCGGAAACAATATTTCAATTATTTTACACAGTTATACCATAATAACCATTTATATTATTTTCTAAAACGAAGTCCAAAACTATTGTTACAAGTTTTGAGGGGGTCAGTCTAGATGATGTCCTGAGTTCCTTCCAATCAAAATAGAAACTGAATAAAACAAGGAACCACCTTTTCAAACAGAATTAACTTTTAGCCAGTGAGCAGTGTAAGCGACATCTCGGTCTAATGTCTGGCGCCCTTGTTGCTTTCACACTGTGTTGTATTCTTAATTTACTGTTATTAGATGCCCCTGAGAATGACTTTTTGCTGAAATATGATGGGCAGTGCATTTGAATCCATAAACTATCCCTCTGGAAGTTGGGGGCTTCCTTGCTTTTTGAATCTCTGGCCAAATTAGTTCTTCCCTCCCCACTTTTTTCCTGTTTGCTTTGGTTTACAGCTTCACACCTCAGCTCATTTAACCATTACAACATTTTCCTCCAAATATTTACCAATCTCCAAATATTTACACCTCAGTGCTGAGTAACTGACCTCTGATTACTCTGAATGACCAGGCAGGGTTTTCTTTCAGAGGACATAGCCCCATACAGTTCTGCTTTTCGGCTTTGCCTGTATTTGACAGTGTTCTGTGAATGCAGTCTAAAATATTATTTAAAACTTGTAAGGTTGTAACTTGTAGTGATACACCCACACCACTCTGTCCTTGGCTAGATTTACTCACTCACTGTGGGCTGTAAAATGCATTAATTCTTGCAAAACTACGTGAAATCCAAACTGGATCCTTATTGGCTTCAGTGGGAAGCCAGGTGATTACAAGATCCAGAGTTTATTTTGATTACTAAGGAGACTTCTGCTGCTGCTGCTGCATGCATCTGCAACAGTGGAAAGAATAAATATAGCAGATACCCGGAGTCGAAGGAATGTTGGCAGCAGTTTGCCGTATCTTAGTATCAGAGGCACATATACATTCCTGAAAATTATGGCTCAATAACTGTAATGGAAACCCAGTTTGATTAAAGAGTACAAAATTACATTTCATAAAGCTTCCCATTAACTGATTAACATTAGGACAGGCATAAAGCTACCACTGTTCCATAAGTAATTTAAATAATGTTAAGACGGGAAGGATGGAGAAATAATGAAAGGGTGACTGGCAAAAGAGGCGTAAGAAAGAGGTAAGCTGCAGGGAGGAAGTAAGAAAATTCTGGGAGTTTTTGACAGAGAAGTCATTCCTAAGAGATTAACAGAGCGTGTGGGGAGTGTTTGCATCTCAGCCCCTCAATGAGAGGGGGAGTGGAGGGGGAAATAGTTCACTGTGGTGGCAGTTTGGTTCAGCTGTTCCTGAGATTACATGCTCTGATAACTGGACATTTGTGGTATAAGTGTAGGATGAGCGTGGTGTGGGGGTATTGGTATCATGTTGCAAGTTATTTCTGGGAGGGGAAGTTGCAGCATGGTGAATGGCAGGGATCAGAAAAACGGTGTGTGTG